GAATTATTTCTTATTTGTATTTTGGTTTAAACGCTAACCACAAGTACCTTACGTTGTATGTAAAATTAGGTAACAGGCAAAATTGAATTTTTTAAAAGAATTTCAGCTAAAAAAGCTGTAGTAATTATGGAATTGTACAAGCCTAACGGCCTTTTAAAGTGTTCCACTGCACGGATGATGATTTATAAGCTCATTAGCCTTAATGTATAAGAAAAAAAATAGTTCAGATTGTCACGACGTACCTGACATGGTGAGATAATCTCTTGGAAATGATCTCTTGGACAATTTTATCACCTCATTCTTACGAAAGAAACAGGGGAATAGCCTCAAACCTTTTCGTAGGTTTTGTATCTGATTTAAAAAAAAAACGAAAGAAAACAAATTTAAACACTTCCTTTTGATGTAACAGTCTTCAGAGCCACATTAGACTATGATTGCAGTCCCTTCTCTTTGGCGCGACGGACTTCGCCAAAGGTGGGGACTGATCGTAGTCTATATCTAGAAAACACTGCCTCATCGTCAAAGTACTTTTATTTGATCTCTTTCATTATTTTATGACAATTCCTCTGACACCAGTGAGTATCGACATCTGTCGGCACTTTGTCTTTTTCATTCATGTCAACTTCGAGTATTGCGAATTTCGCCATTTCGAAAAAGTAATTTTCTGTTTGGGAATCTGGCAAGCTCTTTGCGTATCAATTTTTTCGACTCTGTATTCATACCCACAAAGGCGTCAATATAGATTTAATAGCAGGCTTTTACTTTTGAACGTCATTAAAAAAAAAAGCCAACAACAACAACAAGAAGAAAAACAACAAAAAAGAAAAACAAACAAATCCTCATTACCCCCGTGAAAAAACATATCTGGAATTCATTACTTGATACATTTAAAACGCACTTTACTATTGAGAGCCATGAAAAAAAATTAAATTAAAAAAATAATAATAATTCCCATCCATACCTAGAAATTATTTACAGTTATTCAAAACATACGGTGACTGTTCTGTTTATCAAAGATATGCTGTATATTCGTCAAGTTTGAGTTTGCTTTAGGAGGTTAATTTACATAGTCAACACTTAGTCGTACGTGTTGTTTTGATCTCACAAAATGAAGATAAAACTTCCATTGACAGCCAAGGGTAAACGAGTCACAGCCATGATCTTGAGATGTATTAGGATCACTGTATCAGCTTTGAAAAAAAAAAACAAAAAAGGGGAAACTGGGAGTTTAAGTCTAAAACGCTAATCAGAAGAAACTTTAAACTCGCGTGACTTTGTCCGAATGCATCAAGAACTGAAATCAATCTAATTATACCATGGCGTGGCCAAGTGGTTTAAAACAATGTTCTAAATTAAGCCTTGAAACTGACCAACTTTTCCACCTTTCTCAATCTACGTTTTGAATTCAACAAAAATTTCGAAAGAAATAAAACGATAACTGGGCAAAATATTATTCTACCAAATATCTAACCTTTTTAATTATCACCATAAAAGTCGAGTCAAAGTGGACAAGGCGTATGTTTGGAACCGCTCGGTCACTTAAAGCGAGCTTGCCCTTGGACATACCTGAATGGCACGCCCTAAGAAAATATTTTCTTGTACGTGCATATCATATAAATAGAGTTTTGTTATGTATACGTATGTGAATCAAATTTAGTGTCAGTCATTTTGCTGTCATAGCAACCGAAACGATTGTCGTCCCGATAGGTCATTTAGTCGGTTGTGGTCAGCATTGCACCGAGTCTCACTCGATGATGTTCAGCGATGCGATTGTGGATATCTCCTTTCTTCGTCGCTCGCTTGTGTTCCGTCAATCTTATTCTGAGGTTTCCGCTAATCTTTGTAACTGAATTAAAATGATGTAAGAGGCCTGCGTCTTCTTAAAATTTTAATTAATGGTCGATCGGTGAAGTACTTCAAGGCATTTTTAGCATAAAATTTTGATTAAATAAAGGAAACAGTAAATTTTGTGTTTTGTCCAAATATTGCCCAGCATCGTTTTAACCTGCGTGCGTTGCCTGCGGTGGACCAGAAAAGATAATTGGAGGTGACGAAAAGTAAAGATGAAGGAAGACAATTTTACTCCCAAATGTATAAAATCGTCCATGGAATTTTAGAATTTTTATAAAAGGGAAGCGTGATTTAACTTTTTGTTATAATTCCCTAAAATAGTTCATCAGGGTGCCTTCGGAAAACTAAAATTCATTATGAAATATCGCATTTTTCAGCAGACTTTCCGCACACAGGCTTTAAACTAACATTGATAAGGCAATCATCAGCTGGCAGACTCTGGAAATGCTGCTGAATATTTGTGAAGGTTTATAAGTTTTGAAAGGCGATTTTGTACCTTTACGATCGACTTCAAAAGAGAAGGGAGAATTAAGGGCGACTCACTGATTTTTCAGTTTTATTTGAACATTTTCAAGAAGTTTTTGCCCTACCTGTTACCCGCGCTGCTTTCAAAATATAAATGTAAACGTAGATTTCTCATAATTTTTTAACGTTTGAAGCCTAGGGGCGAGACTGTTTCTGCGAGGGTCTCTCCCTGCTAAGTGTGACGCTGAGAAATACTATGGTTATATATATTTTAGTTTTGTTTTAGCAGCCTCCGGTGAAAATAAATAAACACCGTATGACAATCATGTAATATCATAGTCCACCTTTTACACGACAATGCCAGCGGAAGAGTCGTAAAGTTAATTGCTTGCTCGTTCGTGCCCATTGCCTCGAGGCTTTTAGCCAATAAGCCATCAAACACGTGCAAAGAGCACTAAATTGGCCCAAATCGTTTCCTATCTCTCGCGCCATATCATGCGCACGTAATTAACTGAACCAGTTTGCTTGAAATAGATCATTTAGTAGCCCCCTCATTTCGGTATAAATAGCAAACCCCGCCCGGGGCTATGTAGGTAATGAGGCATCGTTCTCCTAATATAAATTGGAATAACATCTATTCTTGTGTTTCCCAAAAAGGTTTTCCTCTCCCTTTCTTGAAGAGAAGTATTAGAGATATAAATCTTTGGCCAAACAGAACAAAACAAAACAGTATTGAAACAAACAACTTCAGAACATGGAATATTGCACCGCAAGGCCTACGAATCGCACCCGCCCCACGCCTCCGCGCGTTAATTTGCCATACCACTCACGGTGCAAGTCCAAGCCATTCCGCACACCACAATGTATTATGATCTGGGTCACCCATTATGAATTTGAAAAGCCGCTGTTAGCACGAAAAAATTCCTTTCCTAAGGACCTGTAAACAGCTCGGGCTTAAACAAATTACGAAGAGATCTAATCCACGTAGTCACCGAGGAATCCAGTACAGGTACGTTTAAATGTTTATTGATATTTTACTTGTTCCATTAGCTCTCTTTGTGTACTTTGCTCTTCTACACGAGCTTAGGAAAAGAAGAGCATGCCGTTGCTACGCAGTCAAGTTTAACCTCTCATACGTAACTCTCGAATTATTTCTATGTTTTTTGGCATGGGCGAATTTCCCATGCATCTGGCTTTTAAGAATTGCCAAGGACAATGTATATAAATCGTTCTCAAACTTCCAAACCAGAAGGGATCAATAACATTAAATTATTCTGACAGTAAGCTTTGTTTTGCCTTTGGTAATAAACGTGCTCAGTCAATTAGAAGCACACCATGGCATTCATTTGAGTTAATGATTTGTAGCGACGGAGTGTTAATGATTTCCTTTTAAGCAACACTTTACTCGCTTGATTAAGAAAAAAAAATTCTCGTGGATGTTCTTTTATGCAAAACCAAAGACCAGATCTGTGCGCTGATGCGAAACGCGAGTAAATGATGTTTATAAGGCCAAGGCAGATTTGAATTGAATGCGAACAGATTCGTATACATTGAATGTGTGTGGCTTACAGTATCACGCAGAGCTAGTATTAGCTGTCGTAGCGCAATAACATGACGGGTCGCATAGCTGGATATTTGTGGTAAACGGAGGAAATGGAGGCTTGAGATCTATGCGGCGGTTGTTTTTTTTTGTTGTCGATCTTTACTTTCCTTTCCAGAAGTTTCCTGCCAGTCGTTACCTTCCGATCTCGTGCTTTGAAAGCTGCAGCAATCCGAAGTCACCTTTGATTTGACCTATTTGACGTACGTCCTTGGTTATCAGTCGAGTTTTGCAATATAGTTCCTTTTGAGTCTGGTAAGGAACGACGACCAACAATTTACGATTTCCGAACGCGATTTCAGTGGAAAACAATTCAGCAGTATCTCAGGAGAATCTTCGAAGAGGTATCAAGGACAATGTTGTTTGCTCTTTTGTCTTTATTCTTGCTATTGTCCATTGATAAAGAACATATATAATTGTTTATGCTGTTCACAGTGCATACTTAAACGAATTTGTGTTTCTCGCCGTGAGCCTTAGGCGAAACTTGGCTGCCTAATAGTATTATTTTATGTTCAAGTGGTCTGTCGTTGATGCAACCCTTAAGCTGGCCATAGAGAAGTAAGCGTCAATCTTTTGTTTTTACACAAGTTCTTACCGTCTTCTCATTTGAAACTTATTAGAACCATTATTAGAAAGAATTATACAGGAGAAAATAATTAACCGTAAGCTTGTCATTTAATGAGCAACATCTCCAACGAAAACGAAGGAAATTTCAATCAAACATACATCCAAAAAATTATGTTAGCAGAAAAAATTTAGGTCCTCGATTGACCCACGCGATCGTTGTGTTTATGAGGAGCTTCAATTTTTTCTCCAAGTTTCGATACTAGACATGTTCTTCTCGTAAATTTTGGTTTCTTTCATCTGCCGTAATGGAATTTAGCATAGCTCAATAAACACGGTACCATATACGCATCGCAGGATTAGAACAACATTCCTTTACAGTTGCCTAATCGTCCTTCGAAATTCCGGAGCATTAGTTTCTTCGCTGTTGAGTAAACGGTGCCAAGGGTTTCTATAGTTTCAGAGACTGTCAAATCAACTAGATTTCCTAAATGGAGTTCATGAGATCAGTCGATCACCCCAGCGGAATCGGGATTAACTCGCGTGAAAAAAATAGTAAGTTGAATGTATGTATGTGCCTGCATCTGTCAGAGATATTCCATGTCTGTTTATATTTTTAATCAATTCATTAAACGGTTTCTCATGCCACTAAAATTCGTCACGACATAACAACGGAGCTCTCTAAAATTGCTCTCAGATTATATATAATTGATAAATCCCCGCCAGTAGTAGAATTTTAGCGTTTTTTTAAACGAATTGCAAGAAAAGTAGCGATGTAAAACGGCATAGATTCGTGAGTTACGCGTTGTTTTAATAAGTGCACGTGTATATAGTGCGGATGTTTTCACAATCGCTCAGCGCAATCTACCGATAAGATAGATAAGAACAGAAGGTTAAGTTGTCATTTCATTGGTTACTGATATTATGCCTTCATTATACTCCATAGCAAGGCAAACATCTTCATTTAATGACTTTGTAACTATATCTTTTGGGAACTTCTTCCTGTACGTATCTGCTCCCAGCAAACAAATTAACGTGCTCGAATTTCCTTTAAAATGGCGGTCAAATACGGTAAGGACTATCTGGAACCATTTTGGAAACAGTTTCAGCATATTTGAAACTCAGATGATAGCGTAATTTACAGAAATTTTTCACAGTCGTAAGTACAGAAGCACAATTGGACAATATCCTTCAAAGTAACTTATATAGAACTTTTATCTTGTGAGAGGTGATAAAATATCCAAAAGCGATACGCCATTTTGAGATTTTGATGCACAGCTGTTGTGTGAACTGCCATATTCCGTCAAAAATCACAGATTTTGAATTTTTGACTATGATAACTCTCTTCTCTTCTTGATTTGGCGATGGAATTTCATTAGAAAGCATTTTTTATTTTTGCAAGGAGTGGAAATTATAGTTTGCTTCTTCAAGAAATGATGGACATTCCTCCATCTGTCCCCTAATGTGTTCAACAAGGGTCATTGTTAGATGTCTAGACAAACTCTCTCTTCCTGTCAAGTTTGTTGGATCTGCTGTTCAAAACTAAACTGTAGGGAATTGAAAATGGAGATTTTCCCTATCTAAGAGTCTCATTATAGTTTAGATTTGAAATTTTGTTATAATATCACATGAAATTTTATCTCAGAATAATGTCCCAGTTAAATTTTAGTGATATTTTCTATTTAATTGCAATTAATTGTGAACCATAAATGATTATTGCACAATCAAGTCTGTAGGTGAAAGTCATTGAGTTAACCCTTCAACTCCCATGATTGACTAAGACAGAATTTCTCCTAATAATGTCAGTACAATATCAAGCAGACAAGTGATGAGAATAAAGAAAAATATCAATTAGGGGATTATTAATTGATCCAATGCCAAATTCTTAGAATTAACATCACAAGAATTGTATGACAGATAAAAATGAAAATAACTCATGAGATTTTGGGAGTGTAAAGGTTAAGAAATGAAAACATAAACCTGAGAGACAATTGTTTCTTGTTCTCTTTATTAAATAAGACACTTTCTTTAACTCTGACAAATCTGTACTAATAATGTGATCATAGAATTGATATTCCAAAAACTATTGGGATGAAAATCTTCCTTTTCCACAACCTGTGATAAACCTTTTAACTCCCAGATCAAATTTGTCATTATTCTCACTGTCAACCATACAATTCTTATAATGTTAGGTCAGTTAATTTGGTATTGGATCAACTAATTATCTCCAAATTGATATTTTTCCTCATTCTTATCACTCGTCTGGTTGATGCTGCAATGATATTGTAAGGAGAAATTCTGGCTTGGTCACTATTGTGAGTTAAAGGGTTAACCCTTTAACTTCCAGAACAAATTTGTTATTCTCCTTACTGTCAATCATACAATTCTTATAATGTCAGTTCAGAGAATTTAGTGTTGGATCCACTAATTATCCCCAAATTGATATTTTCTTTATTCTCATCACCTATCTGGTAGATATTGTATTGATATTGTAAGGAGAAATTCTGTCTTGGTCACTCATGGGAGTTAAAGGGTTAAGTAACACCTGTAAATATATATATATATATTTGCGAGTTACAGACCTGAACTTTGTCTTGGTCCATAAAAATGTTAAAAAAAAATTGGCCAAAATGTAGCCATCTTGACCTCATGTTTGGTCCGTAACACATATAAACATGTATTTAGTTACTTCTTGGTCAAAAGTTGTTCAAAGTTCTTTTTTCTTCTGTGCACTTAAAAATTTGAAACTTCAATGGCTATTCCCCAAACCTGAAACTCAATCCTTGAACCTTGATCCTCAATTCTTGAAACTTTGGAGATTTAGGGATGGAGTTTTAAGTCAAGACTGTCAATTAACATTTGAGCAGTACTCAACATCTAATCTGTTTTTTCTTTTTTAATTGCAGGACCTGGATAGTACTGACAGGGTGATGTGAATTTAAACCCTTCTTCTGTCATTTATTTGTCTGGCAATGTCAAAACCATTCTTTCTCAAGGGTGGAGTTAGAAGAATAAGGCCCTCGTCACTTGGTTCTGATTCAGACGAGAATGCTTTGGTGCGTCAAGGCACCCAAGCTTATGAACTGGAGTTAGAAAACATTTCTGACAGTGATGGGAGCAGTGTCAAGAACATGGAAGAACTTGATCCTTGCAGTCCAAATTCATCAACTCCTAGAAGTCTCTCCCCCCTTAGCTCACTTAGTAGTGGAGAAAGCCAGTTCACCAACAGAACATTTGAGTTTCCTCGAGAACCATTTAATGTTCCACAGTATGACAATTTGCGCTCCCCTGTCATGCGACCAAGTACATCTCTTTTAGAAGTGTCAATTGCTAACTTGCCACCAGAGTCTGAGTTGAAGCAGTCTCTGTTGAAAATCCGTGAACAGATGGCTTTGAGTCTTGTGCGATTAAAGGAGCTAGAGGAACAAGTTAGGAATGTACCAACCTTACAAGTTCGCATTTCTGTGTTACAAGAGGAGAAGCGCCAACTTATCAAGCAGTTGCAATCCAAAGCTACTAGAAAAAGGAGCCTATCAGTAGGCCCTTCATTAGGTATTGATTACTCCGTGTACAACAATGCACACCCCAAAGGTTCAAAGAGTGACACAGAAAATGATGGTGATGATGACTATGCTCTGATCAGGAAGAAACTTAGAGTCAAGTTAAACTCTGTTGGTGTTGGAGATTACTCAGTAAATGGACCTTGTTCTTGTTGTCCCACAGCAACACCAGTAGTAGTTAAGGCTCCTGTGAAGTCTGTGTGCGTTGGTACGGATATGGATTCAGATCAGAACAGTCCACTACCAATAAAAGAGGTTGAGGAACCAGTTAAACCAGTTGTACAAACAAGATCGATTGGAGTTGGAATGATGAGGTCTTTCACAAGAGATGTTGGTGTGGGTGAAGATAAACCAATCATTAACTCTGAAAGCAAAGGTTCTCAGGCTTCAGTAGGAATGGTGGATTCTGCCTGTGATGCTCTGTCTGCCACACCTACAAGTGATATGGCAGTGTTAGTGAAACCTGATGTATGCTCAAAAGGAATTGGCACAATGGAAGAAAACTCAACTGACAGTTCTTTTTACAGGGGAACTGAAATTTGTTCTTCAAAACTGTTGGTTCACACTGGTGTTCAGACAAGCAGAAGTCCAGAGGTGTCATTAGTATCAATTGGTGTGGGAATATGCACCATTGATGATGAACCATCCTGTCGAAAGTGTTCCAACAGAAAGTCCCGAGCAGTGGTGAAAACTGTTGACGAGATCATGGCCAATCGTATTGACATCCCATTTTACAGATCTGTTGGGGTTGGTGATTCTAGTCTCGATGACAACTATCTTTGCAATCACTGCAGCAACATTGAGACAAGAACAATTGCAGTTGGAGAAAAGATTGAATATAGAAACATTGCTATTGGCGACTTCAGTGTATCTGAGGACTCTTGTTGTGACCGTTGTAGTAACCTCAAGCAAAGAACTATAGGCTGTGGCACTGATTGTGTTGTTACTGTGGACACTGGTTCTGGAGAAGAGAGGATCAATGACTTTCTGTTTTGTGATCACTGTTCAAATTTACAAACAGCATCCATTGGAACAGGTGATTATACACTGGAGGAAAGCTCTGTTTGTGAACTTTGCAATTCCAAAATTCAATCAAAGGCTGAAAACATCATGGAGAGTGTGGTGACTACAGATATTGCTGTTACAACAGAATCAGTTGTTGAGGGTAGTTATCCAGGTGCTGAGAAAAACAAGGAAGAAACATGTGTATCTATGAAAAATATCAGCTCTGCTATGGGAAGTTCATGTACACGTACAATCGGTGTTGGCAGTTGTGGCATCATGGACTCTTTCTGCAACAGGTGTGACAATCTCCACACCAGGTCTATTGGAGTCGGCAGTGGTAACATTTCAGTTGATGTAATTTGTGACAGATGTTCCAATAAGAAAACAAAGTCAGTTGGAACAAGCTGTGACATCATAGAAACAAGAACGCTTGGTGTCAGTGAGTGTTGCATTACAGATAACTACTGTGACAGATGCATGAACATCAGGACTCAAAGTGTGGCCATTGGAGACTGTTGTGTCACTGACAGCTTCTGTGAGCGCTGCTTTAATGTCCAAATGCACTCTATTGGTGTTGGAGACTTTGATATTAATGCAGAGGATGACACACCTGTAGTTATACAAGCTAATCTAATATCTGTCGACAATAACAACAAGGTGGACATCAACATGAACATGAAAACTAAAAACAGCTCTATTACTACTAAAAATGTAGTCAGACACATACAGTCTACACAAGGCAGTCCTCTTATGTACTCAAATGATGGTGTTAAGAAGGTGTTTATGAACAGCAAGGAGAGTGACCTTCATGAGTCTGATGAGAGCATTGACAATGATAACCCCAGCAGTGACACAGCAAGCCAAACTAGTGAAGTTTTGGTAACAACACCATCTCCAGAGCGGATTAGGTATGGATCCTTCATAAAGCTATAGCTAATTTACCACAGAATAATTAAGACAATTTTTTGAAGTTTGAAGGCATTATTTGTTCCAAAAAAATGGTAAGTTTTTGAGTCAGAAAAGAGACAGTTGGCTGTGACATCTGGTTGCCTGGGGGAAGAGCATTACTCACAGCAGGGACTGATGTTTTGAACACATGTAAGATATAATTGTCTAAAATTTCGTTCAGTACAAATTGGAATGCAATTCTTTCAGAGATCCTTAAGATGTTTCATTTCAAAAGCATCCATTTGGCTCAGGAAACAATTAAATTCAGGATACACTTAATTCTCATGAAATTTTCCAAAACATTTCCAATGTATTTGTACAAAGTGTCAAATTTGTTGTGGGTGTTTTGCAGTTATTCAAAGTATTTACATAGGTGAAGTAATGTTACAGCCATGTAATGTAATGAACCAACATATTTTTGTAGGCAATCAATCTGCAACTTTGTCACTAAGTGAATAATACTTGGTGTTAATATATGTCATAATCGTAGTTGACAAAGATTCAGGGTTTTTTTTCTGATAACAAATGAAAGTTAAATCAAAGCCATATCGGTAGTTAATGCTTTTAAGACATGCATCTGCACATGAATAGCCAAAATGAGAAAACTTTGCAAATGGCCAAGTAAAAATAATTGTTAAAGGAATTTACATATATTATTTTTACCTCCAGAGTCATGTATAGTCTTGACCTTTCCCTGTGCAAGGTTGTGTCTTCTCAATCCTTTGACTCTTGTGAGTGATCAGCTCATCAATTCTCCGTATCATTTTGATACACTTTCAAGTAGTCTGGTAATAAGAAGTTATGAAAAATTAGTTCTTCTAAATCCTTTGACTCTTAGGAGTAATCTGCTCATCAATTCTCCTTATCATTTTGATACACAGTGAAGTAGTCTGTTAATGAGCATTAATGAAAAATTATCAACTGGTAGAGAAGTCTTGACATTCCTTGTAGCACTATATTTATAGGAGGAGCAACAAATGAATGAATCAACTTGAGAAGGGAAGATTAAAATAGAGAAAAACATGTGCAACAACAGAAATGCACAAATTATCTATACTATAAGCTAAAGCTAAACTACATATACACTCTGTGACAAAATTAGTAGACACATAAAATTTACGTGGCTTTTTGTAAGGATGTATTAGGTTATGACATGGGCTGAATTTTTCTACTGAAATACAGCCCCCAAAATTGTTCGCAGAGAGAGGAAGTGAAAGTAGGAATATTGGTGACAAAATTGGTTTACCATTCCAGAATATCAAGTTGAAGGTGTCAGAAATTTTGTCACTGGTTGTAGAGAAGCATTTGCTAAATGAAGTGTTAATTTCAGCAATTGTAGTGATCAGTGCAATGATCACTGTGGGAAATGCTGTGGGAAAATTAACAAAGCATGTATCTACACTGTACATCACCTATCATATATGGTAACTTTTTTGCCAGTGGCACAGTATCTCTTAAATTCAGGGAAATTTTCTGTTAATTTTTTTTTTTTCAATCAGCTTAGTGGAATGTAATTTCAATTTTTATAGCCACTTATTTGGCAGTTTGATTATGGGGTATTTTTATTGGTAACAGTGCTAATGATTCTTTATAGTCTGGTGAAAAAGTAGATTTTTATTTGAAGCAGGCCTTAATTGGTTTGTGTTTAAAGGCTATTCGATGCTATTGAGTAACAACTACTGCTGTAAGCAAGCCTCAGTTAAATGCACTGACTGTGAGATGAGTAGCATATCTTCAGACTTGCTTTTACTAAAACCCTACATGAAAGACTGTCTTGTGTGCGTGTTCAGTGCAGTTCAGGCAGTTGAACATGAGACTAAATAAACTTAGCAGTCAGACAAATTAATACTGTCTGAATTTCTATTGTTGTTGGCCTTAAAAACCTAAAGTGTTTTTCTTTTGAGAACTTGTTTTCACCGCTTACTGAGAACTTTAAATGACTGTATGATCTTAAATCCAATTTTCAGTAAAACTACCTCTTGCCGTTTTGTATCTATTTTCAAGGAGTTTAACTCTTAAAGCTTATTACGGTAATCCTGTTCAGAAGCAATATCAGTGATTAAATCAGTCATATATTGTGCATTTTTCCTGACTTAGAGGATGAAACCACTTGACCACTTATTAGTAAATGGATCTAAGAGATTGCTATCTTGTTTTCAAAGATAATACAATATTGTTTTTAGTTTTTTTGTGTTTATTCAAAGAAAAGTTCAAAGGCTTTATAATGGTATTTGAAGAGAATCTTTTGAAAGATGTGATGGAATTTCTAAACATACTTAATGCTGCTAGAAGTGAAGAGGAGTCTTTTCTTCAAATGATGACTTATCTCATTCCCATCCGTTGATCACTTCAATAACGAAACTTAATACCCAGATAATGCTTTTTCAGTGTGTCCTTCCCGCTCTTTTCTCTCAAGTATACTATCCCACTCCTCCCTTGTTACAAAGCTTTTGAAAACTTACAACATCCAACTTGTTTACCATTGTTTTGAGGATTTTTTTATTGTGTTTTTATTTCAGAATAACAGATGAAGTTGTGGTGGCGTGCAAACTGTTGAATGGGCATCTTTATAAAGGAAAAGAGATTGGCAGAGAGCAAATGGTGATCATGTTGTTAAATTGTGTTTTTATTAGTTATTCTTTTTGCAGATTTTTTTTTGTAACATCTCATTGTCTTTTTTTTTAGCTTTTGTGTTCCTTTTGTTTTCTGCTTTGTGCTTCGTTTAGTTTTAGGTAAATGTAAGAAGGTTCTTCTAATAATTGAGCAAAAAAGAATTGCTTAGTTTTTTCGATATGGAGAGGCTCTAGATGTTTTAATTTCTTTGAATGCCTATTGTTGCTTAAATGTTCTTCGCTGACGGTAAAACTATGCACCATAACTTGTCAAGTATGTTAAGCATTCTGAGATTACAATAACTCCTTTGATTATCATGTAATTGTCTTAATCCTGGTAAAGGATCATTTTTCTATTTGATGCAAATTAGTCAGATTAGCATCATCATGTTCTGTTGAGCTAAGAATTCAAAGCAAACATTGAATTGATCAGGTTGAAAGAGCAGGGGCTCTTGGTCTGAATTTTATGTGTTACGGTTATTGGGAATCTTTATTTTAAATCTGGCTTCAACTAAGCTCAGATATTGTTATCGAATCAAATGCCACGTACTCTACGTGATTTGTTACTGCCAACTGTCTGTAAGAGTGCGCATGCACGGTTTACGATCAGAAATTTATGTTCAGTATGGCGCTTTGTTTTAAAAATTTATGGTCCACCTCGACTAAGTTAAGGGTTCGATTGACAGTGATGCAAGAACTGCACTAAAAACAAGAAGACTAAGGAAGTTTGAGGGAGAAAACTGTGTATTCAGACTCGAAAAAACTTCCATGGCACATGTATGTTCGAATTAGGGTGATTGCTGTGGGAAAAGTTCTTACATGTGTTTTCCTAACGTTACCGTTCTGCTGTGCTTCCCTTCAATCCTAGGTCACACGTGACGTCAGAATTTGTTGAGAAGGAAGTATTGGCGTGTGATCCAGCTTTGGTTTTTACCTCATTCTGCCGTCACATGTGACCTATTCTGTTTTGCGATTGAAATTGAAACGATTCCCGGAAATGTTCTCCAATTACGTTGTGTAGAATCTCGGGAAAACCACATGGACTCTTTCAAGAAAATCTTTCATCTTCAGAGCTCATTTTAAACTTGTTATGAGCATATCTTCCCAAGGAAAAGTAATGTAATTCGATAAACGTTGATACTCTCAATCAAACGTTTTTTCTAGTTCGAAGTGAATTTATACTTTTACTTTTCTTTTAGCATCTAATTTCTCCTTAGACCATCTTCCCTGAATCAAAGATCAATGTCAAGAGAATAAAGGAAATGATCAGCAGTCACAGAAACTCGATTGTTAAACAAATTCTCCTTGTCAGCACCTTAAGAAATGTATAGAGAACAGAATGGAGAATATGCATACTGATGTTAGGGTGTAGAGGGTTAAAGTTTTGATTGGCTTTGGTATCGTGATTTATGAGTTCTTATCACTTAGAAACGCAAAGCACAAGCACAGTGCAACTATCCAAAAACCTTGGGAGGAACTTACATTTGCATTTCTTCTCCTCAGATCTCGTGCATGAGTACAGTGGAAAACAACTGGTTTCGTTGTGTCAGCTCTAGAGACAGTGACCCAGAGGTGATCAAAGGGCTCCTGAGGATATTCAAGAATCAAATACACATGTTGTTGGAAACTATTCTCAACCTCGTGGACGGCAATGTAAGTGTCGAGTCGTGCGCTGCAGAGCCCATGGCCTCTGAGTAGAGGAAGTGTTGTGTGTCATATCTGTCACAAAGTCTGATGTAATGAAAAACAACAACTGGTGTAGGATATACCAGGTCTATCATAAGCATAAACTCGGCTCGATGAGTGGAATTGACTCTTTTAGAGTACTGAAGGTTCTAAGAATTCGAGGAATTAAAGTTTTTGCCTTACATAAATTGAGCTCTACAAGAGAAGGAGGAAGGAAGGGAATGAGTGAAATGAGTAATTGAGTGAGTGAATGTATTGGTCGACTCATTGATTGATTAAACAACTCTAAGTTGATTGACTGAGTAACTGACCCATTGATAATTTAATATTGTGGTTAAAAAATGTCATCTACTTCGCCCACAGGGAAATAATGCATTGCATTATGCTGTGTCATTTAGAAACTGGAAATTAGTGGACGTGTTACTGGACACGGGACTCATGAACCTGAACGTACCAAATAAGGTATTGTTATTCTCCAGAATTTCTCATCTTCCCAAAAGTTTGGTGTGTAGTTAAAGCAGTTCTCTCTCGATATAACGCTCCCGATTTTGCGCTCAGTAAACTGTCTGTCTGGGAAAACCAAAAAATTATCAGTGAACTTGGCTTGGTTTCAAGTTATTACTGAAATGATAATGAGTATATAAGGAACGAAGGCCGGTTATGTCCACAATTCCTAAGAGGGAGGGGACGGGGAGAGAGGAGGGAGGGGGTGAGTGTGAAATTGTGCTGTCTTAGCCAATTGAGTCAACCATTTCGTTATAGAGCGTTAGGTGCTAAGTGCCAAGCAGGAAGAAGTTTTCCCTTACACTGAATAAGCTTCTGTTATTCTGTTGTCTGGCGAAAGTATAGAAATTGTATGAAAGGCAGCATAATTAATTTACTGAATGATTACCAGGCTGGGTACACTCCGATTATGATGGCTGCTTTGGCAGGAGTCGTGAAAGAAGACGACAAAGACATCGCCAGGAAATTGTTTCAAACAGGAGACGTCAACAAGCAAGTCGAGGAAGTAAGTTCACTTACACGTCTGTTTTCTCTCCGTTCCACGTCCGCAGTGATGGCGCCATGTCTTGGTTTGGTGAAAATAACGCATTCAGTACACGTTCTATCGGAGAGCACATTTTATATCGACGTGGGTGGTTCTCTTTTTATATGACACCATTTCGAGATTTCCCTCCAGGGTGACATCCTCTTTCTGATATAACAAGCAACCCGTGTGAACTTGCGCAAGCACGAATCGTTCCCGTTTTTACGTTTGTAGGGGCGAACTCAAATTCTAGGAGGAACTCGCATTTAACTCGCATATACTCGAAAGTCACCTCTTGACCATTCTTATAATTATTTTTGTCCCAGGGTTCAATCTTTAACTAAAATTCGTAAGCTTCATGTATGCAAAGATACACGCCTATTTTTACAGTTTTCCTGAATGTTACTCATAATTTTTCTTTTGAATAATCAGACAGGACAAAGTCCACTTATGTTGGCTGTCAGTCGAGGGAGAATGGAAATGGTCGAGCTCACTCTAGAAGCTGGAGCCGATATCAATGCAACAGATGAGGTTAAAAACTTTATTTTCATTTTAGAGGGATTAGTCCAAATATCTCAGGCTTCAATTTTAAGTCATGATTTCAGTCAATATGTGCTGTTTTACAGGATAGCGAACACAGTTTTGGTTTATCATTTCGTCTTTTCATGAACAACATTTCCGTCGTCCTTTCATATTACTAGGATGGCTCTACAGCTCTTATGTGTGCGTGTGAACACGGTCATCTCAATATCGCCAAGCGACTGCTCTTGGAGCCTCATTGTGATGCATCACTAGAAGACCATGTGAGTGGACTTTGTTTAAAGTATGACAGTTATAGCTGATTTTTACAACAAGGGTGTCTATTAATTTTCGTTCATTTTTTCCCCTCTGTGTTCCCTTTCTTGCAAAAGCTCTCCGCCTTTGAATGTCATCTTCAACTTGTCTAGCGGAAAGTTACTATTCCTGTTTCGTAAACATAAAAAAGATGCCAGTCCATCGATCAGGTATACCCACCCCTTCCCCCTCCTTCAACTTTTCGTCAAGTACTCATGTTAGTGCGCCGGTTGTCATTTGCATTCCTGGTTACGCAGAAGTACCGGAAGAATTAAGTGTCTTGCCCATTACAGCTTGAAAAAGTAAAGTGAGATAGTTGTATATTCTGAAAAGGTATATAAATTGATGAAAGTTCACTCGGGAAAAAAATGTGATTTAATTTTTTTGCTCTTTTAGGAAGGAAGCACTGCTTTGTCTATTGCCATGCAAAGGAACTTCAAAGACTTGGCTTTGCTTATATACGGAAATGTTAGCTTTGATCCAATTGGGAAACCTCGAAAGGTAGGCCGATGTTAAACGCTAAATAAAACTAAAATAAACGTCTTCTTCCAGTGATCCGTGATATGAATTCCTCTTTTTTATCTTTAGTATGTCTAAATCTGACTAGAGCTGTAAATTTTGACGTTCTTTCGTTGATTTGAAGCCACTTCAACAGCCTCACTATACAGCTGATTTATTTCATTTTATTTTTCTTTTACAGAAAATCGGTGGCTTGCCGTGTAAAGCTTCTTGACGTACAAGCAAAGATTTCGGCAATCATCATTAGCTGTTTGATGGTGCTATGGCGTTTTAGACGCTTACTGGTCAATAACGTTTGAGTAGTAGGTCTCTGTGGTATCAGTAAGAGTCGATTTTTAAAAACCGTTATAGTTGGGAGTACATGCCTCTTTGTGTGCCTCATTTTTTGGTGTTTGGCCATATTATCAGTCTTTTTGATCGACACTTCTTGGTCTCAGTTGTAGTAGTTTTGTGCAAAACAACTTTTTTCAGGAAGAAGTAAACTGGTTTAAAAAGAAGAAAGAAAAGTAGAATTAGACGAGACTTTTTCCACCTTTTACACACTGTCCTCCTTACATTTCCTCTGGTACCGATAAGGAGAATTTGTTTCACAATTAGGAGCTTCCTAAATTGGTGATCATTTCCTTTGTTCTCATGACCTTTACATTTGATTCAAGGTTGATACTGTAAGGAGAAATTATAAACCAGTTTTTCTTTGGGCTTCAAGGGTCAATGGGGTTCTAACTTTATCAGTTTTCGAATCTAGAATTTTAAGATACCTTTGAAAAGCTGATTTATCCAGCGTTTATAAAGGAACTCTATTTAGAGGCTCAGTTACTTATTTTTCTTTGGTAAAGCAAGGGTGTCTGGACGCTGCTAGGGGGCAGAGGATTTCAATTAGTGAAGGGAGACTAAAAACATGAGTAAGAAAAGATTGTAAATAGAGTATGAGTTTTCTCCCAGTAAAAGAACCAAATAAATTCACATGTAGATTATCCTAACGTATAGAACCTCTAACTTAGCTTAGCTGATGAAGGGGGTAAGTTTCTAAACAAAGTGTGGTGCTGAGTCGGTGGGAGAGTATAAAAAGGTATTTCAGTATTATCAACTGAGCTGATAACGGAAATTGGCCACCGTAAAGTGTTTCAAAGCTGACGTTTCGAGCGTTAGCCTTTCCTCAGAGCGAATCTGACGACTCTGGAATATTAACGAAGATTCACGAATATGTTCTGAATAAGTTCTTACTAATATTTTTAAACCTCGTAGAATTTAGGAAAGGTCTTCCTTAATTGGAAGAAGGGAGGCTTGTCTGGCTAAGGCCTGAAGGTGGTTTTACGATTTTGATAATGAACATGAAAAAATTACGTACCTCTGATTGGCTGAAAACGAGTGCATTCTAATGTAATACGAAAGCAAAGTTGAAGCACGAGTGCAAATTAGAAATTACGTGCACGCTTTCAAAATTTCGTCTGTCTTGACTTTCTGTGATGTTTTTTCATGTACATTACTTACAAGTATACGTAATAACATTATTTCTCTTGCAATTTGGTGTAATACGCACTTGTAAATTTTACAAAGACCACGAATTAAAAATGCACTCTTACTTATTAACACCAAATTGCACTCGAAATCGTGCTATTGCCTATATCTATAATATGTATATATATATATATATATAAACATTTTCAAGGTGGTATTGAAGGGTTTACTGTGTTTCAATTTTTTGTTATTTTATTTATTAAATATTTTATATATAATTTTTAAATAGTAAAGCCCTTATTATTTTATTACTCTTTATTTAACACAGAATGTCGGTCATTTATATTTTAGCTGGCAAGACTGTTTCAATAGTTATTCTATCGATGTACTACAGTAATTAATAATTATTTTTGTTAAAATGTGCATAACATCATGAAATATGTTAAATCTTGCGTGTCTATGTCTTGAGCTATGTCGAGATTTCTTAGCTTTCTTTCCAAAATGTACCCTCATCATTTCGTTTCTCGCCGAGTTATCGGCCTTTTTTATTTAAACCCGTCAATCATATGCACAAAAGCATCAAAATGATTGGTCAAAAACAAACGAGAACTTTTTCTTAGGGGTATACGAACTAATTTTTCCTTGCTCAAATGTGTGATTACAAGAGATTATAAATTATAATATCTTGTTGATTATCATACCCGAATGACCCGGATTTCTGATTGAAATATCCGACGACTTCTGAAAGTTATCGGAGACTTTCTGATGACTCTCCAACATTAACGAAGAGTTACGAATAATTTGTGATGTTTCTCGGCGTCTGGCCCCAGGATCTGCCCCATGATTTCCCCATACCCTGGTGCCTCTTTTTGTAGACAAAAGAGTTAACGAAACTTGAATGACAGGAGAACACGTGTTTTGCTTTCGCGTCACCTGCCGTACCTGAAATGGAACACTTCATTGAGCTTTAGTTAATAATTATCAGGGAGCAAAATACTAGCAGGGGTCGGGAATGTGAAAACGTTCAGCTTGTAAGATCTTTTAAATGATTTGTAACATTATTTAGCATTGGCTTGCTTTAATGTGAATAATGTGAGTCTTCTCTCTTGTTCATTGTAAAGTTGGAAAGTGCAGAAAGATCTTAATGTTTCCTAAACCGAGCCTGACCCCCACCCCCCTTCTTCTCCTAGAGAAGCAAACATGACGATCAGACCTTTAGTTGTGATGTGTGTTCCCGCGGGACCGTAAACACTTCCGATAGTGTGCATAAATACTGATTCACTCGCAAATTGTTCAGAAAGCTTTTTGTGAAACCATGGGTGAGGGTCAAAGAGAATTAATCGCCGAGCTGGGAGACGATGAGCGAAAATATAAGGTGAAGGTAGACTGCGGATCATCGGTAAGTTGCAGTGTCTGAACTCGCATATTACTCTGAAGTGTGCGTTCGTTCTTCTCGAATGCTTTCGCATTTATAGAAGCAAATGCTGGGTGAATATGAATAGTTTACAATTGTTTGTTGGAGAGCAGTTGCAATTAAGTATTGTCAACTCCTGGGGTTTCATGCAGCACCGGTTTCCGGCGGTCTACAACCGCTTGCGAGACCACTAATCGCCGTATATTTAGCCTGCGAGCAGGTTCTCGTGTTTTGGTTTCGGTTGGGTCGCCTATTACACCATCGGCAGCCGCCAATGGAAAAATACATCCTTCTGTGTTCTTCCTCGTTCTTCAAAGCATGCTGACAAGGTTTAGTTCAGTGTCCATGTAATCTGTAGTTGCTACAAGGACAGGATCGCGAATGATTCATGACTGTTGCATTCCGTGAAATCGTTCGTGCCTAACATTGTTCGCTTCGTCTGCGTCACGCAACTGCATCATGTAGTTTAACTTGAATCAATGCTATTAATTTGTGTTTTCTTCAGTGAGTCAAACAAGTGAACAGTTTGAATTTAGCAAGTGTTTGTATGTAGTTCGTCCTTTGAAAGCGAAGGCGACCATGACTTCGGAAAAAAAAAAAAAAAAAAAAACAGACAGACAGACAAAACAAAACAAAACAAAACAAAATCAAGGAAAACACTCCAAGATTAGCATTACTTAAAACGGGGTATAACAGCTTCGCCACTTTGCAGTATGCAGAATCCTTGTCATCTAACATAAAGATTCAGCCAAACCATTTTGGCCAAATATAAAGTAGAAGCAGAGGCCCGAAATAGTCTCCCTTCACATTCGCTTCCGATCAGTGAATTTCGGCCTCACTTGACTTTTTCTTCACCTTGCTCACGCATGTTAATACAGGCTTCGATGAAGCGCACATGGTGCACTTATTGTCATTATTAATATTTCACCCACAAATGTGCTCAACTTAATTGGTTACCATACTCCCATATTTATTTTTAAAGGGGCCACGTTTGGCGCACTGCCCGCTCCGCTCCATAGCTTAGCTCCTTAACGAGTTCCCTTGTTCAGTTGTAGAGTATCGAACCGTGAAGTCAAAAGGTCTTGGTTCCAATTCTTTATAAAGTACTCGGATTTTTTCTTTCGTCGGACGCTCGTGACAAAATTGTTGAAATCCTTACAGTGGACTGTACACTGTAATTTCGCTTCTTGTAAGATCTCAAATGGAAGCCATACAAAAACCATGTGAGGAAGATTTGATAACTTTACTTTTTGGAATCTCAGAACCTAGCAGATAAAGAATTTTTGCGTAAACTTTTGAAAGGAGGTTATGGAATCATACAGCAGTTTTCAACAACTTTTTCTATAAGCGGCTGCAGATGGTGTGATAGAAGGTTGTGTCTGTTAAAGAAACCCAAACAAGATACCGTGCTAAACAGGTGGGGGACCCATGTGATAAAGTTTCAAGAGCATCAAGATTTTCCTCTTATTTAACGACATCCTGACCAACCTTTGAAAAAGACATGCCTGTGGATTCAATTGTTGCTTTTCAGGAAAAGAAATACTTTGGCTTGAGCAAAAGACGATTGGCTTTAGTTGCGGTACGTTTATCACATTGTGTATTTCAATCGTTAACTCTTGTGGAAATTTGTTTATTATCTTATGAAGCCAACAAATTTACATACTTCCATTTCTTGTAGGGAGCAATTTTAGTCATTTTGTTAATAATTATATTACTCGTGGTGTTTCTCGTTAAAGTACGCTCAAAGAAATCCAAAGGTAAGCTTAAAGTCTTTGTGATTTATTTTGTATTTATTTATCTATTTTTTAATCTTTTTGTGGTCTGCTGGTGTTTGAACGTATTTTGATATAAGACTAAATCAGCCGACCGTGACTTTCTACCCATTGACCAAGCTTTATAACCTAGACCTTTAGACGTTTTCTTGTGAGCTCTTTACCTTAAACACCTCCATATTTGAAAAAAATACACTTGTATTCCTCTGGAAAGACTCCACCCCACCCAGGCAAGGTTCAAACTCTCCACTCCCAAGCACAGACGATAGTCAAATTCCCGTGGGTGCCTGGGGTGGGGGGAAGGATGTAGAAGCTTCGAATTGATCGGCGCACAACGCCTGCGTCTGAGCCTTAACGGTACAGTATTTGTTCCGGGAGAAAGAACAAGGTGGGACTTCTGTTGTTATGATGTAAAGTTTTTCTCATCTACGGTCTCTTCTTGTCTTCATTTTAGTCAGCAAATCACCTATAGGAGGACAGGAGGAATGGTAAGACTGGGTTGAATTAAAAAAAAAAAACAAAAAAACACACGAAATACTGAATGTCAAGGGATTTTTTGAGCAAGCGTGTGGTATGGTTAAACCAGATACTAGCCCATTTGTATGTCAAAAGCGGGAGGATTAGCGTGAAAAATTGGCAGACATCAGCAATTAATTTGGCCGGGATTTGCATGTGCCCTCGAGTAATGAAGTTACATGGTAAATCGTTACTAACGATAACGATCAAATTGACAGAGATTAGTGTATTAAATCATCTTTAGAGTGTTGCCGGGCTTTAGGAAGTAGTTATATCTTTACATCTTCCTTAAAAAACAACATACAATTTCGAGAATTTGGAGAAAGAATAAAATGCTTATTTGACTATTCCTTTCATGGCACATGATGTCGTTTATGTACTTTAAGAGAGGTCATCTGAGGAAGCCGTGAAGCTATTAACTTTATTATATTTACTATGTTTTTGTAATTTATTATGGACAGCTTACCAGATCCCCTGATTATTATCTCAATGGATGGATTTCGACCAGACTTTCTTGGGAGAAATCTAACCCCTAACATCGATTATCTTGGTGAGAAAAATCTGCTTCCATTCTGAACGTTTATCAGTGATCCAAAATTAAAGAAGTATTCAGCAGTCCTGTAAGCAGACTGACATACAGTTACAGTTTGACGGAGAGATGAACAGACGGACCGACGGACGGACGGACGGAAGGGCCGACCGATGGACCGACGAACAAACAGACGGACGGAAAAACAGACGAGCAGACATACAGACGGACAGACAGACAGACGAACAGACAGACGGACAGTTAGACATACAATTATAAACGCAAGTTACTAAGTCATTCGTCACCTGACAAAACGTTACTTAGGGGCGTGTCTAAAACAACCCCCTCTTAGACAGACAGACAGACAGAGAACGTGCAAAAATCTATTTATCAAGCCATCTAAAGGCTAGAAAGTAAAAAGGGTGAGCAGAGAGGAACCATGAAGTCCACTCAGGAGACCTCAGTGGTCTGGCCGACGGGCAGACAGCCATGAGCACAATTTGACTCTAAGCGGTGGCTTCAAATTTCAGTGATATCATTTCGGAGAGAAGCCTACACGCACAGCAATCTTTAGAGGACAGACAAGTTGCTTACTTTTAGAGTAATGATTATATATCTGATACTCAAAAACAATAACGATTTGATCACGAAAGTAAACAGTAACTACGATTTGTTATTAATTTTCACTTGTCTCACCGACAGCTAGCGATGGAGTTCGAGCAAAATTCCTCCTTCCTCAATTTCCCACAAAGACCTTTCCTAACCACTATTCCATGATAACGGTGAGCATGCACTTACGGAACGTAATGGTTAAATTAGGAGGACGATAATAGTGGTGGAGCGAAAAAGGCGGGAAGGGAAAAGGTTTGGACCCGACCCAAGCCTCCCTCGGTTTTTTCACTCCTCCGCTGCTATCGCAACATTTACTATCCGTGCTTCGTTTCACTAACTGAACGTCTGAAACGGGCTATTACCTTACACATCAATTGGAACCTTTCTTCTAATTTTAATGAAATCGATCGTGACTGTTTTTCCTATGTTTTATTCCATCACTAGGGTCTTTTTCCCTCGCATACTGGTATTGTGGCTAACAATTTCAGAGACGAAAAACTAAATGACAACTTCAGAATTGGAGGACCGACGACATCTGATCCCAAATGGTGGAAAGGCGAACCAGTGAGTAGCTTGCTTGAGTAGTTGGGGGTATTGTTGTTCACAAGAAACAAAATTTAACAGCGCAGTTTTCAGAGAGTCTGCAGTAATGCTGTGTCAGGGAGAGTGATAGGACTGATGATTTCAACAGGCCTCCTTCCCTGTCCTTTCGCGGCTGAGACGCTTGTTGGTATTTTCTTTGCTTGAAAAACCCCGCCAGTTAGTTTCTTATCATCTTAGTATAAAGATCCTTCCCTCTTTTGAGAGTTGTTCCATTACAAATTTTTCATCTTTTTGCCTAATGGCCAGACCCCGGTTGATCGAAGGGTGGATAACTCTATCCACTGGATACATTGTATCCTCAGGATAGCACAGCACGTTGGTTAGCGGTTTATCCGTTGGATAGTGCTATCCGCCCTTTTGAACAACTGGTCCTTGGTGTTTAGAGCGTTTGGATCCAAACTGGGTCGGGTCATTGGGCCGTTTTTTTGGGCATGGCCTTATCACGATCAAATGTCCGTTCTGTTTAATTCACGGGATATGCGATGAATTGATACTCAGTCTGTCTATTGCTTCAAAAGTATGAAGTTCGGGTCTTTTCCAGCTCATAATGCCTCTTTCCACCCAAGAATGTAACTAGTACCATTAAACTTCCGGAGAGCCTGCTGTAATGCTGAGGTGGGGGAGGGGAGTAGCCATACTCCTTACTGCAGCGTAATTATGAAATTGGACTAAGGTCTGACTTTGGATGCCACTTAGCCCTTGGGTAATTTGTGCACCTTTGTGAGCGTCTAGCAAGCATCTCCAATGACTGCTTGCTCGCCGACTTACGACTACTTCGCTTGTCTACAGACAGTCAATCAAACGAAGCATCTGTTCAATCACTCAATAAGAAAACCAAGAGAAAAAAAAATTGAGGAAGGCCAAGCAGAGTTACAACAACACCAACAGTAAACAAAAGAAATCAATCAGTTGGAAGGTTGAACGTCTCCTATTTCTCATTTATAGTTGTGGGTGACCGCCATTAAGCAAGGTCTTGTGTCTGCGTGTTACTTCTGGGTCGGGTCTGACGTTCCTATTGAAGGTAAGATGTAGGGAATTTTATGATAAACTGAATGAATGACGCACTCATTGGTTCTTGCTTGTGATCTATGGTAGAACAGACATATACATGACGTCTCCATCAACAAGTATTTCTTTTTGTTATCATTAAAAAAAAATACATTCCATTTTTCCGTGGGTCTGCACAGTAACAGATCACGGCAGACGTCAAATTATGGTAACAATATTACTGACAAACTCGGCTGCGCGTTTTTGTGCCACTTTTTTATTCTGTCCACATTTTAACGTCATCTGTGATCTATTACTAAACAGACAAACCAAATATATTTGTTAATTTGACGCCGCTATTTTTTCTTTTAAGGAATATTACCCAACTTCACATATGCCTACAATCAGTAAGTATTTTATCATAGAGAGGAGGAGTTTTGTGTGAACAGTTGTCTGAGATAAATGATGATGGGCCGATCGTGCTTTGAGCCTTCATAAGGCTTTGAACCCCCCCCCCCCCCATTTCATTAGCAGTTAATTTTCTGTCGATTTTCTATATTCCCCCTTTTTATTTTGTTGACGAGACCATGTGACTCCCCCATAATCCTCCACCCTCAGCCGCAGAGGCTAAATAATTGCTGCTCCCTTCTTTTGTTTTCAGTTTTTTGCATTCACTTCATTTTACTTACTTTTCTCAATTTCTACAGATTAAAACATCTTAAATACACGCGTGTCATGAGTTATATACGTGTTCTAGAAAAACGAAACAAAACTAAATAACAAGTAGGAAACAATAATAGGAAAACTAGGATCAACAAAACAAAATGTTTACGTAAAGGAAGAGACCAAAGAAAAAAGGGAGAAGAAAATTTGCAGAGATGTTTTTACACCTAACCTGTGCTTTAACCGATTTTATTTTTTTTGTAAGGACTCATCCGTTTGAAGCTCGTGTGGATAAAGTTCTTAGCTGGTTGGATCTGCCATCCCACTGTACCGCAGATAATACTAACAATGAAGGCAAACGGTAACAAATACGTACACTGTTCTTGTCATTATTAATTTGTCTTTAAGGATATATCTTAGTTTTGTTCTACTTTAACTCCTGTTTGCAAAATTTTCCTCTGATTTGATATCGATAAAGGTTTCTGTGTATGGATGTTGTATTGTTTTATCCACAGTTAGGATTAATGTTTTCTCAAGGAATGTAAGGGTAGAACTAACTTTTGCTCCTGGTGATGCAATGACAAAACGTTGCGACGCCGAATTCGTGCAGAGTTGATTTTGAGCGTTTAGGAGGAAAAAGTTAGTATTTCCATCTCGGAAAATCAGTAGAGCTGTGACCTTACATTTGTCCTGAGAGTATATTCTCTGAGTTTTTCTATGCCGTCTGCCGACCATTTTTGATGTCATAAACAATGCGTTCTTTGAGAATATTAGTTGTAGGCTGCAAAAAATCCATTTTTACTTAAATGCACTAACTTTGGTCATTTGTTGCCCAGGCGGCCCTCGTTCATAACTCTGTATTTCCATCAACCTGATTACACTGAGCATCGCGCAGGACCAAACTCAGAGAAGGTAAGTTTGACGCTTTGCTGTCCCACCTAAATTACGAGGTACACTTAAGCGGACGGTCTAGAAAGGAAAGTTTCTCATCATCATTATTAAAAGATTGGATGCCAACATTCTTCATTCTTTCTTGTCGAGATAAAATGGGAGAGAATTATTTCTTTCTGATCTTATATTATTTCCTTGAGCCTCTCTTCCCACTATACAATGTTGAAAACAAAAAGGCGAAAAAAATTGGGTTGTCTACGGACGGATGGAGGGATGAAGTGGAAATTTATTCTGAGAGTAAGCAAACTTTGACATCATGACTGAATATTGGGTTGCGACAGCTTTTTTGTCCACCCTAGCTAATACAAAGACTCAAAACCCAAACAGGAGGGAAGGGTGATCTCTGAAGGATAGAGCTGACATTCGAAAGGCAAGCCTATCTTATTTATATATATATATATATATAGGGCCGTTCCCTCCTCGTACCCAAAAGGTGTACATGACCTTTGCCAATTGTTTTTTTTTTGCTATGTAAAGTTTTAAAGATACGTCCAGAAATGTATGCAGAAACGAAAATTGGCGAAAACTCGTCGTCAAATCCGCCGAGCTGATTTCGCTCTGACGAATTTGACTAAATTCGCCGAAAGCGTTTAATCCGTCAACATTCACTTGGTTTGAAGAAATTTTGTCAATTCTAACTTTAGAGTTACTTCGCGCATTTCTGGACATAAGTGGAGTTTTCCTACTTTTTCTACATTTTTATAGACCAATGCGCAGTACAAAAGAGTGGACGATATGATTGGAAGACTGTGGAAGGGGCTAAAGGATCGATTCATGCAGGACAAAGTAAACATGATCCTTGTTGGAGATCACGGTACGATAATTGGATTATCCAGTTAAGCTTTCTGGTGTGATTGGGTTACCTTAAAGTCAGCGCCCGTGCTTTAAATCTCAAATCACCTTTGGTACATGGATGGGCCCAACTTTCGTTGCCCCGCCCTCTGACTCCATAGGGGGTAACTCCCTAATTCTCACCATTTCAGTACAGAAATGGTAAGGGTATCTACCCCGCTTCGAAACTGAGGAGAGAAAAGTCGCTTTTGCTAGAACTCCGTCTCTGTTTCCGTTATCAGTAAACGCATGGCGCCTTCTTTACATGGTATTTGTTGTTTCTTGGAGATACGAACTTTAAACAAGTATTTGAATATGTTTTGTTAGGTATCGCTCCAAAAAGTTGCCAGCGAATCGTTTATACAGACGCAGTAAGTAGTTGCAAGTTTTTTTTTTTTATTGACAGAGCGTAAACTGGAAAAAAATTACCAAGAACTGTCATCTTTAGAGCCGACGTATGCTCCCCATACCAAACAATTTTTATCACCTGTGAATTAAATAATGATTTTTTTTGACAACCAAACAATAGATTACCAATGAGACTAGGATGTTAAGCCACTTCTTGTGAACTGAACTCTCTAGTTTTGCATGTGCTGCGTTTTTGCTGAGGCAATTTTTTTCCAAACGGCAGCGTCTGTAGTCGATTTTAAAGTCAATTTTTTTGTAACCAAAACGGCCAAGCGTCTTTAGAATTGTGGTTTTGAAAAAAGTCGATTTTAAAAGTCACGACTAGAATAAAGATCCAAAATGAAAGCAGAATTTTCTGTGTCGTCATTTTGAATCACGTAAATTTTCGTGGTTTTTTTTTTAAGTTTTTATGTCTACCATCCCCATGCTGAACTTGAAAGCAAAATATGTACGATAATTAGATGGCAGCGAATACGCGACGTAGCAGTTTCTGATGCGGAGCCCAGCTGGAAAAAATCGAATTGATGTTATTGTTGTTGTTTGTTTTTTCAGCTTGTCGGAAATTTTTCGGAATCTTTCGTTTGCACAAAATTTTCGGCTTTCTTTGACGAATATGTTTCAGTCGTGGATTTTTTTTAAAGTCATGAGCAGAGTAGTTCTGGACTTTAATACGATCCCACTAAAATATCGGACTCGTTTGTGCCAGTAAATTTGATCACTCAATTTAACACGAGGACCTACGCCTTAACAAACAACGTTTTGAACTTTCTTTCAGTACAATGTAACTCTCGATGATGTATATTCCCCTCAGTGGTACGGAGGGGCATTCATAACAATGAATCCGAAACCGGGAGGTATGTAAACGCGTTCAGCAGGGAAGGGAGGGAGGGGTACGATACACCCTCGGCGAAGGCTAACGCCCGTCTTTAGAATAGATGATTTTTTTTTGACGGAGAATGTTTAATAAGTGTTCGTACCTGTCTTGGATGATTATGAAATTCGCTTTCCTGACAGATGGTTGACTAAAGTCTGTACCAAAACATTCAACTGATGCTTTCAGGCCAACGAAAGGATTTCGATTTACAATAAAACGAAAAAAAAATAGAGCACGATTCTTTATCAAAAAGAGAGAGTGAGAAGTGTTAGAACGTTTATTTTGTACAGTGGGCTATTTTTCTTTCAGTTTCAGCGGAAGAAATTGTGGCTCGTTTACAAGTAAGTTGTTTTCATATTTGCAAACTTTACAAAATAAATTTTCAACTTAGCAAACTTCATATGTTTATATATTATTTAAATAATGAAGAAGTATTTATTTATGGTATTCGACCACAGGTGACCCAAGCATACTGTATGTGATTTCAGGATGTAAAGGTCACAAACATGAATATCCGAAAGGCTGAATATGTGCATTAGCTGGAGCAGTACAAGCCAAAATTTACTCGCTATGAAATCTATCCCCGTCCATTAGTATTGAATCGCTATTGAGTTCATTGACGTCGATATTCCCTGAATACGATTGTTCGAGCGGCAAAAGTTTCCAAATTCTTCTGTGTCGGCGCGAGGGGTCCTCCGTTTTTTCATCCATTATGGCTTAATTCGCGTTATCGTTAGCCTCATTACGAGCGGCCTTACTGCGGGATTCAATGAATGGAAGAGTGTTATAATACTTATGGATACAGGGATAGATTTTGTACTGCGGAAATTCGGCTTGTGCTACATCAGGCTATACACATATTTCTGCCTAAAACCGTGAAATCTTACAGAGTACGCTCGGGCCACCTGTCAATTGGCAAGTTATATTACCACTCCCTGTGGATTAATGCGTTAATGTGTGATTTAGACTCATATTTCGGTTATTGTTATCATCTTTTCCAAAACTGGAAAGGGCTTTTTTTCTCTTGTGAAGTATGCCCAATTTTCTTTGTGCCTCTGAAGAAGTTTGTTGTAACTTAACTAAATCCTTGACGTATTTATAAATGTTCGTTTTAGTGTAAGAATCCTCACTTTCGCGTGTTTTTAAAAGAGAACCTTCCCAAGCGACTTCACTACTCTGATAACAGGTAAACATGAGGTTTATTGTTCAGTTTCCAAAAGTTTTCTTTAATTAATGATAAGTCTCAAATGCATTTGATCTTTTCGTCTTTTTGTTTTCATTTTGCTTACGCTTGTTGTTAGTTCAATGTAACGGCATAATCTTGGATGAGATGTGAGGCCGAAATAAAAAGAAGCACAATAGGTGCTAACATAACAAAGTTCTCGGTTTTTTAATAACTTCACTTTAAATCCATCGGAAAGTTGAAGAAGGAAGAGTATTAGTGTAGCTAATGGTGAATGAGGGCCCTATAGGTGCAATAACTACACTATCGGACGACGAACGAATACTTGAAATTCGACGAGCAAGTGGACTGGAATTTTAGTCTTCGGCGATTAAGTGGCTGGTACTTCGGACTTAGAAATAAGAAGTACCAAACCTTTACAAGATGAAAAAAGAGGATGAAATAAGGAATGAATTGAAGTGCCTTTCACCGAAAATCATAGCATTTGAAGAATTAGCCTTGACGTTTTTTGGTCGTAAAATACTTTACTTTTTGCCAAATCTGCTGCCGGGAGAGTCGTAGTTGATACTGGTTTCTTGGATTTTAGGGTTGGGGGTGAGAAGCACTTTTAGCTATTGAGTTTTGCGTTCTGTGCGTGTGAGAGAAAGGAGATTGACCACGCACTTAACGAAATAACCAGCAGCTGCCAGTGCCTGTGTGTAGGATAATCATCTGAATTGACTGCATTCCAGTAATTGTTTAGACATTTTGCGTTCTTGAAGGCGTCTCTGATTCGCTATCTTTCAGGAGGATTGGACGAATTATCCTGATTCCGGAAGACGGCTGGCTGGTAGGATTCAAGTGAGTGCAGTGCGTCATGTAATGATCATTAATACCCATTTGTACTAATTATTTTTAACAAAGATACACGTGTGGAAACGCCTCATGGAGGGAGATAAGTCACTCAAATGTGGTAGAGTTCATGGCTCGATATTGTTGAAACCGTTTTTGTCCGAAAAAGGTGATTTAATCAAGTTAGGATAATTTGGTTTTATGAAATGAGTTGAAAATGTAAATTGGCCGTCGTAAAGAGTTTCAAAGCTGACTTCTCGAGCGTTAGCCCTCCGTCAGAGCTAGAGAGGAGAGGCTGACGATCAAAACGTCAGCTTTAGAATCTCTTTGAAGTAGCCAATTAGCATTATGAACCTAGTTGATAAAAATGAATAAAGGGGGTCGGTTTCTAAAGAATCTATGCAGCTGGGGGTTATTATAAGTGATATTACCCCCCAGCTGGGGGGTTATTATCAGTGATATTACCCCCCCAGCTGGGGGCTATTATCGGTGATAACTACCCCCAGCAGCATAGATTCTTAAGAAACTTACCCTCTTTATTCATTTGTTTATTTCTCAGTTTTGATTTGTTTTATTTGATTTGTTCTTTCCAGCTCCACTAGTGGGATCTGGTTCTGTGATGGTGGAGATCATGGTTACGACAACATAGATCCTAACATGCGGGTATCAACAATATTAAACGATACACAAAATCCTTAACTTTGAATTTAAACCCGGCTGTATATGTAATTTACTTCTCAAGCATGTCGTAAATTATAGTCTCATTTTGTCCTTTGGCTGCCTTCCCTTCCAGTGGTACACTTAGGATATTTTTTCGTTTGTGCCTTAAAATGTAGAATAATGCCAAATATCATCAACGCTGCCGATGTTTTTGACATTAGTTTGTGGGACAAAATTAAAAGCTGGAGCCGAAAGTTTGTCTGTTGATTGGTCAATTTCGATCGACCATCCACAGCCGACTTACGCATTATTGCTAATCATAATACGGCAAAAGTGATGCATCATCATTTTTTTCTTTGTTTCCAGACTCTATTTGTAGCTCATGGTCCCGCTTTCAAGAAAGGAGAAGTAGTAGATCATTTCCTCAGTACGGAACTTTACGGCATGATGGCAGGTAATTTGATTTTCGTTTTCAAGCACTTAGATGTCTTAACACGTCAAGCTAAAGCCAACTCGCCTTATCAAGGTTACCTCACTAGAGTTCGGTCTAAGCTTTTTGTTTGCTCAAACGTTGTTTGGCGAGTTTTTGGTTGCCGTTTGCTAAATTCGTTTGACCTCTGATCGCGGTAATCCGTTAGTGCACTAGTTGGCGAATTGTCAGTGGTCGAGAGATCAACTTTTTTAAAGTAGAATATAGGCTACCTATCGAGATGCGCAGCTTCCAGCTCTGATCAGCCTGTCCGGCCCTACACACGTCAGCTTTCACTGTAGTTTTCTATGGGATTGCGCGAGCGAGTTCGAAGGGGTGATATAATAAATATAATTACAAAGTATTCTAGAACTTTCCTGAAGCTTACAACGAAACTATTCTTGTAGAGTTACATCATAATTATATAACCCGGTAGAATGTTCTAGAAATATCTAGAAAGAACGAAATACGTGAAATGATTAATGACGTCAGGATATAGAAGACTGCAAAATGGGCGTTTACAAAAGAATTTTCGTTAAAAAAGCGACACGGTGTCCGTTTTAATCACGCAATTAAATCTTGGCTACGTTTTCTCCTCGGCTTACTGAGAAATGAAGTCGAGAATTGGCTTCAAAATGACAATAAATTTCTCCTCGGCTAACTGAGAAATGAAGTCGGGAATTGACCTCAAAAGGTGAAGGAATGTAGATCACTGTTTACTCCTGGCGCCTCTAGAAAGTCTAAATACCCCCCCCCCCTCTTACAACACCTCGTTGAATAACACGGTTTTTCTAGGAAACCGATGCTGCTTTTTTCACACTCTGCTGAGGTTTGAGCGAGCCACGACAAAATCCTCCACTGTCCTTTGAGTTACTCTCTGAATCACGGCTCGCTTTGAAGCGATGCTTGATCGTGGAGACTCTAGCGAGGAGACGTACTAAAATTTGCAGCAAAATAGAACGAAATTGTTTCCTGGAAGGAAATCTTTACATTCTATTTCTGAAAAAATCAGTCTCTATTCGTTCTCAGATATACTCAGGCTCAAGCCAGCCCCGAACGATGGAACACCTGGTAGCTTGCGGCATCTACTGGATCCAAGTGTCGATATTGATGTCCTTGAGACTGAGTCCGACGGAAAGTTAATGAGGACTGACATCTGCCGAAAACCTGCAGGTTTTGACAACTGCAGTCAGTGCATTTGTAAATTTTGTGTAAGTGGTGAAATGCTATTTTTTTTCCTATAGTTGCAATAGAATGCGGTTGCAGTATAACTGCAATCGTATTCTATTTCAATATAACTGCAATTAAATGCAGTTTATAACTTGAGAAGTATGATCAGTAGCGAATGACTCACCGATTTTTCTAGAAGGTATTACACTCATCTGTTCTGAAGAACTTATTTGTCCAATGAATTTTAGAGTACATCAAAAGAGCAAAACAGAGGGAGGAGTAGAAAATGTATAGCTAATTCGTTTCAAGGGTTCCTACCTGTTTATCCTTTTAAAGTGGATATCTCTCGTTTTATTAACTGGTGATTCATCTGAATTTTTCAATTCATCAATGTCACCATAAATTCGCTTTTACATTTGAATTTGATGCTGATCTGTTAGTTTTATCTGGTCAAAGCTTAAACTGAGATAATGATTTTATGCAAAGTGTAGTGGTAATTGAAGCACAACATGAATTAAGGCCTGTTAGTACATTTGGTAAACTGAATACGATTTTTGGGAGAACCAATCACGTTCCTGTGGTAATGTCCTTTTTTCTCTTTGTTTGTTGAACAGGATAAAAGAGCAGAAGTTATTCTAAGTGACAAGAAGCTACACATGTCAGACCAAGAGAGTAAAGACATCTTTTTGGTTATACGTACTTGTTTGCATCTTTTAGAGACTTTGCGCAAACCATTTTGACTACAGCTTTTATGAAAAAAGAAGTAATTTAAACATTTGCGATAGTTTACTTTCAATATTAGTATAAAATTCTTGAAGACAACAAATTGAAATTTACTTTTTGCCATCCATTGCAAAATTTGCTGCAGATAACGTGGTTACTTATACCAAAAGAACGGTTTTATAATAAGCAGAAGTAACTTTTAAATCGGCATAAGGCAAACCAGTTAGGTCTTTTTTTACAGAGCTGAGAGACTTTAAATAGAAACTGCCTTTAAGAAAGAAGAGCTGGACTTGTGGCATTAAGGTCCTTCGGATTACAAGTCTACATCGCTCACATTCTTCGGCCACGCAGCCTCCTCTTCTTAATGTTTTTGCTGAAAGGAGATTTTACTTAGTCGTAAACTACACTAACATTTCATCCACAAGTAAACGCCCACAGTCGAGTTATTTTCTCATAAGGAACTATTATAATTATCATTGATATTATTTTCGTTTTTTGTTCTGTTTTATGTATGTTTGTTTGTTTTTTTTTTTCCTAGTATCTGAATTTCAGGCGACACACCTTCCGTGGGGAGTACCTGAGGGTGGAGCTGGTCGAGAGGGTTGTATTCTAGCGCAGAAGGGTTTTGTGACAGGCTATAGCACTTCTCTACGTTTACCTTTATGGGTGGCTTATAGACTTGATGGAGAGGTACGTAAAACCAGGATCATTCAGTTTGATGAGAAGGTAATTAGTAAACATTTGGGAACCGCCATGTAAACGTTAGCGCGTTAGGAGGATGTGTGATAGAGCTCTTATCTGCCTACAGCCTTTTAATCGCGTCACTGGCAGTGACGGTGTCATTGCGACATCTCAGAGATTATCAACGGACAAGAAACCCTCTGAAATTTGTGTGGGTCTCACAGGTTGCTATATGTTCTCTTTTACCCAGAAAGCCTCACAGTCAGGAACCCGAAGAGATTGTTTCCGAAAAGACACTCGCCTTACCGATTCTCAGGCCTCGCTCTGCAAACACTACAAGTATTCGGGTGTTGACCGCGGACACATGGCGCCGAATGGTGACTTTGACTCTTCTAATGAAAATGATGAGGCATGGATGGATACATATCTTTTATCTAACATAGCACCACAATACCGTGGATTCAACGCAGGTAAGGGTAAAAAAAAAAACATTTATACCCAAAGATGACGATACACATTACACTATAAACTATAATGGAACGAAACAATGCATTACACACCTTGGATCCTTAACACCAGGATCAGCAATTTCAAGAACGTCACAAGAGTAAATTGAATGATTATTGATTTTGAGATTGCATATTAAATAGAGAAAGATGAACGTTCTCAGTAGCTGAGGATCAACATCAAACAGCGGAGTCCGAAGCTCTAGAGTTCGATTCCTTGTAAGTGTCGCCCTTTTTCTTCGTGCGACGTTCCGGACGAGACGGAAAAAAATATTTTTTTTTTGACCAAAAAGTGTTGCTGGTTTGATTTTATCCTTTTCTGTGGTTGTTTTTCAACATTCCGCGAAATCCAGCTAACATTTTATCGTACATGTATTCGTCAGGTATTTGGTTGAAGGCTGAAGATATGGTCCGGGATCTTGCAGCAAACTATTCACATGTTTACGTCATAAGTGGTTCAATATTCGACGAGAATGCCGATGGACTCCGAGATGAAGATGAGAGCATAACAAGGTTAGTAATCAAACTGAAATTATCTTTATAACGCGGTGGGGCGTGTACCACGGTCCACGTCCGATATGTCTTAGTAAGTGAAGAAACTTCGTCAAGTAATCGATACTGATAGAAGGTAAAGTTCGTCCGGTCCTTTTTTTATGGGGGGGGTAGGTTTCTAACGAAACTGTGCGGCTGCGTCTGTCGGAAAGTCCAACAAAATGATTTGGTTTTATCAACTAAGTTGATAAAATACATGTAAATCGGCCACTATTAGGAGTTTCAAAGCTGACGTATCGAGCGTTTGCCTTTCGTCAGAGCGATTCTCTGACAAGAGTTAACGCTCGAAACGTCCGCTTTGAAACTCTTTGCAGTGTCAAATTCACATTATCAACTCAGTTGTTAAAACCAAATGATTTTTTTTTATGCTTTCCGTTTTTATTTCAAAGGTGGCTCAAAAATGACACCAGTTCAGTGGCCATACCTACTCATTACTATAAAATTATCATACGGTGTGACACCAGTAAGAAGCCGTATTACAAAGTGCCCGGATGTGAAGGAAGACTGGACGTCATTTCTTTTATATTACCTCACTTGCCCAAGCTTCCCTGTTCCAAGGTAAGCGTGGTGTAATAGCTTTTTTCCGCCTTGATTTCAATACAGGTTGTCAGTCATTCATTCCCAGTTCCTCGTTTACTTGATTTTCAAATACTTTGTTCTGTTAACGGCTGGCGAGAGAAGATGATTCAAGAGAATCAGCTTCTATAGTTCTGCGCAGGTCACCTAAGGGCCCAATGAAAAGCCGCCAAAAAATATTGAAATAGAGCGCTTCATTGAATCCAACCATCCAGAAGTTTTCCTTAAAATTCTGAAAATCCATCGTGGTATTAAATTAAATTATTTATCTCTACAAGGAGCTCGTGTGTAAGAATTGTTTCTTTTTTACCCTTTTCTACTTCATTTTAATGTTCTTCTATTGTTGTGAAACTTATTTCCGTTTTTTACTTTTTGCAGTATGAATCGTCTTCCAAGTATCTTCTTGAAAATACGGCTAGAGTTCGTGACATCGAACTTTTGACAGGGATCAAGTTTTTCAGCGGATTACCACCGACGGAACAGGCGCGACTCAAAACAATTTCACCGGTCAAATTGTGGCCCTGAGCAATTAAGTTGGATGGAAGAAGTTTGAAAGAACCATTCTATTCTACTCTTAAAACACTACTCAAATGATTAAATAACATGGAGAGAACTTTGAAAATTGAACAATGAAGGAAAATTATGATCTAAGTGTGGTTATCCTTTAGAAAGCGCAAGCTTTCCAAGTACAAAATCCACAGTGGTATTTTTCCATCCAAAGCTTTCCTTAGTACCGTTGGTTGTCAGGAGCTGTCCTCACACATAAAATGTAGAGGACGTAATTTTGCCTGACTTTGAAGTTCATTGAAACCACACTCCCATAATTAGTGGAAAAACTTCTCTAGAATATAATAAAATATATAGTTATATATTATATATAATATATATATATATATATATTTTTCACCCCTCTCCCCCTTCCAAGTTTGTTCAATAATTACCCTTGTTCCTATTCCATCTTGTAGACCAACATTGAGAGGGGCAGGGAGGGGGAGATAGTAATTGTATCAAAAACTGTGTCTAGGAGTGTAGCTAAAATGTCATGGATTATCGACTTTTACCTCTAGTCCTCAGATCGGTTGTTTAATCAGATGATAGAGATGACGCCGATTTAGATCGGTTAACGAATTTTCAGGGATAACTTTGTATTGGTTGCCATCTCGCTAGACGAGAGGTAACAACACGTAACAAGTTCAGTATTCAGATTGTATGCCTGATTTGGTGGTCTGAAAATTTTGAAAAGATTTTACTTGCCTGGAGGCGACGATAGGCATAATGGCCAGAAACAAAACAATAATTTCTGTGTAAAAGTTGGAATTAGACGCAACTTCTGATAAACTTAGTTCCCCATAGCAAGAACATGTTAAAAAGATTGAAAAGACTAATCCCTCGTAGGTTCTTCGTATTCACAAAGAAATAAGATCAGAATATAGAATACTGATAAATAAAGAATTTTTTGAGGCTAGTAAGTCATTAAATAACAATAAAGATAAACCTCCTAGTGCAATAATTATGTAAAAAAACTGTATACTGATTCGCATAATTAGCTGGTCTGTTTGAAAATTGACGCAATAATGCCTGACTATTTCATTGCATGAGCTAAATATTCGCACACAAGTTTCAGTTAAGCTTAAAATGAGTTTAACTCGCTGTTTTACAAGTAAAGCACTAGAAAGGTGGTCCATTCGACAGTTAGTCACCGCTAGAGCGATATTGGTTCGTACATTCATCAGTTATAACCACTCGGCAGTAAATTTGGTTATGACAAAAAATCCATCGGTTGCTATTCGGTGGATATCTCGTGGCACGAGACGTTTCGCTGTCGATAAATATTCGGACAAAATACTCAACGCAATGCCAAGCAAGAGCAAAACTACGTTTGAAAGTAAAAGGAGAGCGTGTACAAAGGAAGAAGCGACTGTTGATGGTTTGCTTCCAGAGCTTCCAAGCAAACCTCAAGGACTGTTTGGTTTATTTGTGTCAGAGAATTATTCCAAAGTTCAAGGCGATATTGCTTCAGGAAAAAGTCCCACTGAAATTTTGACACATTTGTCCATGAAATGGAAGACTCTTTCGAGTGCTGAAAAAGCGGAATTAAAACATAGACACGACGTTTTGAAAGAGGAATACAAACGGGAAGTCATGAATTTGTGGAAAGGACTGAACACCGAGAGGCGAGTTCTTCTGGAGAAATTACAAGGTCCAAAATTACGACAACTCGCAAATGCAAGGCAAGAACTCCTAGGATACCCAAAGAAGCCTCCATCTTCCTTTCTGCTTTTCGTGCAGAAAAACACAGATATTGTGAACGCTTCGTCTGTGATTGAGCGTACGAAGAAATTGGGTGAAAAATGGAAGGAAATGTCGGCCGATGAAAAGGAGGTATTCTTTATGGAAAGCCTAAAAGCGAACGAACAATACCTCCACGACGTGGTTAAATGGAAAGAAAAGCACCCTGATGCCGCTTCAAAAGAGAATATCTAGTTATAATGTTTTATTGTGCTGTACTGTGAGTGATGAATGATGAATATTTAAGAGTCTCCTGCTTTCAAAATAGCGTTCTTACCGCTAGCAGTCGTTACAGCAAGTGAACTGAACACCTATCGCAGTAATCTTTCCTCTATTTTGATTGTTTTAGAAGCTGAACCTGACATTCGAATTCATAATTTATCAGCTGTATGAAGAGGTTCCGCCGGAGGATTTTTGTATAGCAAACTTTTTATTGAGCATAATTCAAACGTCCTTGCGTGTAGTGTCCATAGCATATTTGATAATTTGTTAATATTTTAAAGGTTGAGTAGAAGGCAACTTTCGGCTAACTTTATTTTAGGCATGTTCCTCTTGAAAATATAGAATATGTACACTGCAGGCATGTTAACTATCAACATCCTGAAGGTTATATTTCGCTTGTAGAATTCATCAACTTCAATCGTGTCGCCTTGGTTGCAGTTAAGGATGAATTATAAACGATTGGCGATTGCAGTCGGTATGTTTAACACACATTTCCGCTCTTAAACTACTTCCTCAGTGCAATTTACTCACCGTGTTAAGGCCTAAACCACCTTTTACTGGTTGCACTTTCAATATCATCCTTGTTCACAAAGAAAGGTTCCATTTGGCCAAGATCAGTACTACCAAACGTTTCTTCCACATATCCAACAACTGAATGGAACTTTGAAGGCCAACATAAAATAAAGAGACCCGTTCGTGAGGCTACTGGAAAAAAAGAACGAAAGTTTGTTGCGATCTTTTTTCCGAAATGAGTTTTAAATTCGCAACTTGAGCTATTGACAAAACCTGCACAGTGTGTAACCGCGTAATGTACGCACTAAATGTTTTGCTTTGTATTGATAAGATGCTAATTTGAAGAGCTCCATAATCTACATCAAGCTCCATTGGACCAAGTTGTCTATAATGGTGTCTTTTGTCCTCCCTCTTACATGACATTACTTTAAGGTTCTAAACATGTCTCTTCACATACTCCATGGATGGGTATTACAAGGTACATGAAATTTGGTTTTATTAATTGAAATGATAATATAAATTGGCCACGGAAACTTTAGAAACCCTTTGCGGTGGTTGATTTAAATTATGAACTTATTTGAGAGAACCAAATTAACTTATAACAGAGATTAATCTGTTCAAATTTAGCTTGCATTGTGGGCGCAGTTGGGTCTCTAGTGTGAGAGGAGTACAAACCCGCTCGTTATAGGAAAATTTCCCAGACGTATAGTAACGATATTTGTTACACATAGAGAAAACAACCGATAGAACAACGTAATTCGTTCCATTTGTACTGTTTCAGTCAAGACAAGTCGCTGTTATACTGCGGGGAGGCAAGTTTCAGTGACAATCCATCTTTTTTGTGGTTATTTTAAGCTTGTTTAGTTGTTTACTTGACACGAATAGCCTATTGTTTTTTTCTAGCGAGTGTCGAAAACCGACACCAAAGTAACAGCAACTTCCTATTGGAACAAAGGTTAATTATTAACCATCGTTAACCAATGAGGACTCCAAGTGAAAACCGCAGGCAACCTGCTTGAAGCGCGAGAAAACGATTTTATTTTGCATTTGATTGGTTGAAATAGTGGCGTGAGTTTTCTAGATTAATCACAGAGCGAGGTTAAACAAAGTCAAATCAATCCAGGATCAATCAATTGAAAACTAGGGTCGTAGAACTAATGTTGGCGATAATATTCTGTTATTTTGGAAACATATATTTATCTTGGGAAATTAAATTTTAAGATGACCATGGGAGAAAACACGATTTATTCTTGTTTTTACTATCTTAGAGATGATAACGACGGTCAAAAGGGTTGGTGACTTTGTTTAATAACCGGTTATGTACTATATTCGTGGGAAGAAACCGCTGAAGATTAGCCATTCACAGAAATGAGGATTTTTTTTGCTATATTGCACATACAAGAGAGAAATCTTTGATAAAAAAATATTCATGGGTCATGCATTAACAGGTCACGTCGAGAGGGAAAACGTGGCAAACCAGAAGACTGCTTTCATTCTGCGTATAACACTATTTCCCTGAAGGAGAGGGAGTGCACACGAAGTAAAGGGAGATTTATCAAAAGGAAATGCATCGCGTTAAAAAAATTATATATAATCGATTGCCAAAACGTTGACACCTTATATGCATAATCCATGAAAGTGTGACTCAACAATTCAAAGGGAAACGTTTGTAAAGCTACATAAACATCGCTTAACACTTGCAAAATATTTAGTTATGATAATTGTTGTTCCTCAGGAAAACGTGGATGACTTCTATCAATAACCACGTGTGCCGAATCGTAACTTTCACGTACATGTGTACCCGTAAAGCTTTTGGGTCTCATCTTTCATTGCTAACGCTTTTTAGGTGTTAAGATTTTTGAAATCGAGTGTATTTGTATACGTGAAAATTGCTTCTTAACCCTTTCACTCCCAATATCTCATTAGTAATTCTCCTAATTGTCTGTTATATAATTCTTGTGATGTTAGATCAGAGAATTTGGTACTGGATCAACTAATAATCCCCTGGTTAATATTGTTCTTTATTCTCATTTCTCGTCTGCTTGATATTGTATCGATATTGTGAGAACAATTTCTGCCTTGGCCACTCATGGTCCTTATTCCTACTTGCAGACCAACATTGAGAGGGGCAGGGAGGGGGAGATAGTAGTTGTGTCTGGGAGTGTAGATAAAATGCCAAGGATTATCGACTTTTACCTCTAGACCTCAGATCAGTTGTTCAATCAGATGATAAAGATGACGCCGATTCAGATCGGTTAACGAATTATCAGGGATAATCGGTTTCCATCTAGCTAGATGAGAAGTATTTAATTTTGCCTGCTTCTGCAAGCGTCAGACACGTAACAAGTTTAGTATTTAGATTGTGTACCTGATTTGGTGACCTGAATGCGACCCCTTGGACAATGAAATCTTCGTGGGAAGATTTTACTTGCCTGGAGGCGATGATAGGCATAATGGCCACAAACAAAAGAATAATTTCTGTGGTTCTTTCAAAGAGCTCGAAAAGCGTCATTTTATCTCTTATTCTATTGCTGCCGATAAAACATCGTAGCCAGCGTGTAAAAGTTGGAATTCAAAACAACTGTATGCTCCAGATAAAATTAATTCTCTACGGCAAGAACACGTTGAAAAGATGGAGAAGACTAATCCGAACTAGGTTCTTCGTATTCACAAAGAAATAAGATCAGAATATAGAATACTGATAAATAAAGAATTTTTTGAGACTGATAAGTTATTGAATAACAATGAAGATAAAGCTCATTGGGCAGTAACTACGTTGAAAAAAAAACTGATTCGCATAATTAGCTGGTCGATTTGACGTAATGATGCGGGACGATTTCACTACATGAGCTAAATATTCGCACACAAGTTTCAGTTAAGCTTAAAATGAGTTTAACTCTCTGTTTTACAAGTAAAGCACCAGAAAGGTGGTCAATTCGACAGTTATTCACCACTAGAGCAAAATTGGTTCGTACAATCATCAATTACAACCACTCGCTAAAGAAGCCATCGGTTGCTATTCAATGGATATCTCGCGGCACGAGACGTTTCGCTGTCGATAAATATTCGGACAAAATACCCAACGCAATGCCAAGCAAGAGGAAAACTACATTTAAAGCGATTGTTGATGGTTTACTTCCAGAGCTTCCAAGCAAACCTCCAGGACTGTTTGGTTTATTTGTGTCAGAGAATTATTCCAAAGTCCAAGGTGATGTTGCCTCAGGAAAAAGTCCCACTGAAATTTTGACACATTTGTCCATGAAATGGAAGACTCTTTCGAGTGCTGAGAAAGTGCAATTGAAACACAGACACGATGTTTTGAAAGAGGAATACAAACGGGGAGTCATGAATTTGTGGAAAGGACTGAACACCGAGAGGCGAGTTCTTCTAGAGAAATTGCAAGGTCCAAAATTACGACAACTAGCAAATGCAAGGCAAGAACTCCTAGAATACCCAAAGAAGCCTCTATCTCCTTTTCTCCTTTTCGTGAAGAAAAACGCAGAAACTGTGAACGCTTCGTCTGTGATTGAGCGAACGAAGATAATGGGTCAAAAATGGAAGGAAATGTCGGCTGATGAAAAGGAAGTATTCTTTATGGAAAGCCTAAAAGCGAACGAACAATACCTCCACGACGTGGTTAAATGGAAAGAAAAGCACCCTGAAGCCGCTACAAATGAGGATATCTAGTTATGATGTTTTTAATGCTGTACTGTGGGTGATGAATGATGAACATTTAGGAGTCCCCTGCCTTCGTAAGTAACATACTTTCAAAATGGCGTCCTTACCATTAGCAATCGTTACAGCAAGTTAACTGAACACTTATTGCAGTAATCTTTTTTTTTATTATTATTTTGATTGTCTTAGAAGCTGAACTTGACATTCAAATTCATAATTTATCAGCTGTATTAAGGGGTTACGTCGGAAGATTTTTATCTGGCGAGCTTTTCGTTGAGCATAATTCAAACTTCCTCGCGTGTAGTTTCCATAGCATATTTGATTGTTGTTGTTAATATTTTGTGTAAAAGGTAATCTTCAGCTTACTTTATTCTATGCATGTTCTACTTGAAATTGTAGTACATGTTCTTTGCAGGCATGTTAACTATTAACGTCCTGAAGGTTATACTTAGCTGGTAGAATTTATCAAGTTCAATCTTGTTGCCTTTAGTTGCAATTAAGAATGAATTATAAACGATTGACGATTGCAGTCGGTATGTTCAACACACATTTCCGCTCTTATACAACTTCCTCGGTGTAACTTAATCACCGTGTAAAGGCACGAATCACCTTTTATTGGTTGCACTTTCAATACTACTCTTGTTCAGGAAGTAAGGACCGTTGGGCTAAGATCAGTTACTACCAAACGTTTCTTCCACATTCGATGCAAATATCCAACGACTGAATTGAACTTTGAAGGCCGACATAAAATAAAGGGACCTGTTCGTGAGGTTACGGGGGAAAAAGAACGAAAGTTTGATGGCTCATACCTTTTTGTTGCGATCTTTTTTCGAAATGAATTTTAAATTCGCAACTTGAGCTATTGACAAGACCTACAAAGCGTGTAACCGCGTAATGTTCGCACAAAATCTTTTGCTTTGTCATGATAAGATACTAATTTGAAGAGCTCCATAATCTACATTAAGCTCCATTGGAATAATTTGTCTATAATGGTGACTTTGGTCCTTGGCACTCTACATGATATTACTTTAAGGTTCTAAAAATGTCTCTTCTCAGACTTCATGGATGGGTATTACAAGGTAAATGAAATTTGGTTTCATTACTTAAAATGATAATATAAATTGGCCACGGAAGTTTTAGAAACCCTTTTCGGTGATCAATTTAAATTATGAACTCATTTGAGAGAACCAAATTATCTTATAACAGAGATTAGCCTGTTATATTATTTGATGAAAAGGATACTGTATGCTGAGTGGACTTGACATACATCACCTTTTACATCGCCTTCGGGCTTCCCTTATCCCCAAGTCTGTTCATATTTAGCTTGCATAGTGGGCGCAGTTTGGTCGTTAGTGTGAGAGGAATACAAACCCGCTCGGTATAAGAAAATTGCCCTGACGTATAGTAGTAATATTTGCTACACAGAGAGAACACAGCCAATAGAACAACGCAATTCGTTCCACTTGTACTGTTTTCAAGACAAGTCGCAGCAATAATACTACGCGGAGGCAACTACCAGTGACAATTTATCTTTTTGTGTGGTTATTTCAAGCTTGTTTAGTTGTTTACTTGACACAAATAGCCTATTGTTTTTTTAGTATTTTTTTTAATTGAGTGCCAAAAACCGACACCAAAGTAACTCCAACTACTACTCGGAACAAAGGCTAATTATTAACCATCGTTCACCAAAGAGGACTCAAAGTGACAACAGGCAACCTGCCTGGAGCGCGAAAAACGGTTTTATTTAGCATTTGGTTGATTGAAATAGTGGCGTGAGTTTTCTAGAAACCTCTTTGACTAGTGGTGTTGTAAACTCAGTACGGTACAATCTGAAAATAATCATCAAAAGTATTGATTACTTGAAGGATCTTCTTGGTAAAAATATTGCGAATGTTAAGTTTGACTAAAGAAAGGATAAACTCCTTTAGATTTGAATACATTCTTCATCTATACCTTAGTTTAAGAAAAGTTTGCAACAATATGTTTAATAGATTTTATGCGTATTGGTTTTAGTTTAAAATGCTGCTAACAACTCATACTTTGAGGGAAAAATGATGAAAGGAAACTTGAATTAGCAATTTAGTCATAAATTTTCGTTAGTGCAAAATTTCCCTATTGTAGGGCCATGGGGAACGACTCCTGAGTGCTTGTGGTGAGTGCAAGATGTTAATTTGTTTCGTCTAGTATACGATTATTTAAAAGCTTTGAATTCAAACATAATATCTCACATGGTTACTAAGTGGTCAGCACCTTGTTAATCAGACTCATTGGAAATATCTTAGTATTCTCTGATAATGATGCTCTTATAATTTTGCAACTTCTTCAATTTTTGGATTACTTTCTTTCCATCATACTCTCCCTTTGCTTCTTTGCTTATGGAAATTCCTCACCTGTTAAATAGATATTTAAGTGTATTTAGCCGAGAAAGATTTCTATCAGCATAGTTTTTCTGCCGCTTACATTGCCCTGTTAAGAGAAAAAAAAGTAATTATCACTGTGTCTGTTTAAAGAGATACCTGTATTGACTTCGGTCTGGTTTTGAATATGGTAATCTAAGTAGTAGACTGACACAATTAAATGCTACACGCTCGGCTTTACCACCTGCTAAACGATGAAATCTAATAATTTGATTGGCTGAGAAATATCAACTAACATAAAGCATTTTACGACCCATTAGGTCTGTTTTTAAGCATTCGCAAAGTGATTTCGAATTAGGAAGCGAACAGCAATGAATATTTTGTGAAGGAATAAGTTTTATGGAAGAAAACGACCCAAAAAATTTTAGAGTTGTCGAAGAGTCTGAAGATGAGATTTACGAGAAGATAAAAGAATTGAGGACTTGTCTTACCGATGCCATCGAGGAAAATGACCGAGAAGCCGAAGCGGACGCCTTGAGTTTTCTTGGCCTTGCCTATTATAAACTGGGAAATTATGCAACTTCGAAGGAATACCATGGAAAACATCTCTCCTTATCACAAGAATTAAAGGATGAAAAGGGCGAGAGAAGAGCCCAAAGTAACCTAGGATGTTTGTATAAAATTACTGGTGACTTAGAAACGGCGAAAGAGCATTTTATTGCAGCTTTGAACATCGCGAAGGAACGAGACGAAAAGCGACCGTTGGCAAAGATCTATAATAATCTTGGAAACATTTATGAGCTTGAAACGAACTACGAAGAAGCGCTTAACTGCAACAAGGAGAGGCTTGCGGTTGCCAGGGAGCTAAATGACCAAAATGGCATTGGAAAGGCATTGGCGAATTTGGGAAATTTAAATCACGTGGTTGGAAATCTTAAAGATAGTATCACATATTATGAAGAAATGCTCGACATACTGAGAGCCAAGCTTAGTAAGTTTTTTATTCATTTCATGATGAAGAATTGTATCCAGTTCCACCGCACTCAATTCATACTTCAGGTGAATCTATTAACAAGTTATTTGTTCCTTGCAATTTTATGGGGATTGTTGTCTTCGGATAATTGTAGATGTCATTCGGCCTTTCATTTCTTGAATTTATTTCATGAGTGACAGAAAGAGACCAATGCGACGGTCACTTTCCGCGTAATTTTAAAAGCGATTAAGGATCTCATGCAATACTTTTTTAACCTACTTTGAGTGTTTTCCATGCAGCACACCACACTATTAATTTGACGACCTTTCGTCGCTTTGAATACTTAGAATAATTTCAGAACATAATCGATTTAAAAGACATATTTATATCTTCTTTATATTCATATCAGGAATCCTTGACACTCTAGCTGAAGAGGAAGAATCAAACTCAGAAAATGAAGACGATTTTGTTGACATCGATATGGTGGCGCTACAAGTTGCCGCGTAAGTATCACTGGAAGAAAGAACCAAAGGGGATATTGATGCGTGGGGGAATAAGAATTATTTTCCAACAAAAGGGTCGTTATTGTTTGACAATTGCACGTGTCATATTTATTTAATGTCGGATTATTATCACTGAGACACACAGACTACATCCAGAGTTCCCTTCGACTTTCCCTGATCAATCGATCATATGACACGTAGCGCAAGGTAGGTTTTCGGAAAACGCGCAATTACAGATAGAAACACCCACATAAACGCAAGTAAGTGGGACTCAAAGGATCTTGCAAAAGGAAATAACGGTGGCTGGAGAGTTCCCAATAATCTTATGGCACCCCCATACCCTTCCCCCCACCCCCAACTCATTCTTTTGTTATCACAGCGCGAGCGATTCAAGCCTGTCTGAAATACACAAAGCGTGGTCATTTTTAAGTTTCTTAATGTATCGAAACAAGTCTTACTACAACAATCGAAATATCTCTGTAGGCACAAATTTTGCGAGCTTCATACGAATTAAAATTATTTTGAGCTATGCCTTTTTTTTCCCCTATCTTCAGGGACGTAAAACAAAAAATGGAGGATCAAAGACGTGAGGAAGAGCAGGCGCAAGGAGCCGTCAAAAAGAAAAGAAAATTTAAAAATCCTTTCAAAAGGAGACCAAAAACACGTGAAGAAAAGATTGAAGCATGGTTAGAAAACTAACTATGATTTTTTTTCTCCGTAAATTTGTATGAGACAAAGGAAGTGAATGCATGATAGTTATCCATCGAAAAAAAAACATGCCATTGATATCTTTTGTTGATGATAACGTTGGATGAAAGTTGTAAACCTAAGCTTTTCCCACAGTATATGAAAACGACGAATTTGATAAATTTGGAATCAAACGTCACTTCGTTTTAAAACTGTGTGCAGAGTTTTTTAAACAAGCTGCATAAAGCATCTATCGTCCATATTGCGCATTGAATAAAAAAGAGAAACGAGACCGTACCCCGTACCCTTTTCCTTCGTAATTGACCCCCGGTAAGTTCATGCTTCTACCCTTTGGCTTATGAAAACAACAAACACCACCAAGTTGCTGGATTGTCGCAGAATAATATGAGTTATTAGTTTTATGAATAAAAGGCATTTACGTTATCAGTAGATGTTATCTATGGTCTTAATATTCGTTATTCATTTCATTATTGCGAATTTTTGAACAAGCGTAAAAAGAAAGATGTCTTGATATTTAGAATTTTTGTTTTTGGAGGTACTAAGACTACCAGAAACTATCTTTCATTTAACGACATCAGGGTTAAAAGAGATTACGGAGATTATTAATGACCATTTTCAAGCGTTTTTCCTCATTTCTCGGGATAAAAGCGGGCCATCCCAAGTCAATAGGAGGGTGCGTGTCGCCCTTTAAGCCCAAAGAAGGTAACTTATAAAATTCCCGAGATACTGCGAGCGCCCTCATTGTTCAAAAACCTATTTGACCGGTAAAAAAATAGAAAACTATAACATTTTAAGTTTATTGTATGAAATTAATAGACTGCATTTCCTATCGACTTATCAACATGATAGATAACCCGCTTGGGATGTTGGCAGAACCCTCGGGTTATTACGTCGGTAGTCCGATAGAAAGTGAGGTATGTTACTTAAATAATGTCCTTCTGAGTTTTAAAAGATGGCCTGACATTACGCTTTTTTCCCACAGTATTTTTATTTGCGTTATTTCAAGCATGCAGAGATTTTCACAACAACGGAAGTCGTAAATAATATGGTCTGTTCTCGGCACAATGCATATTACATGAACCGCTTTAAGCAGGTGTGATGCTCGCTTTTCTTTCGCTGAATTCGTAATTTATAACGTCTAAGCTTATCCACAGGGGTGTTTGTAAACACGGAGATCAATTCGTATAACTTGCTTCTTCCCAATTTTATTTTGCGTGAAGCTGTACGTTACCACAGATTAGAACAAACTCAGGATCAATTATCTATCCAATTTAAAAGTCAGAATTTTCTCCTTTATTTTTTGCTCACCGAAAAGAACACTTTGATTGATGAAATAACCGAGAAGAAAATGCAATAATTAGGAAGATGGAAACTGGCGTAAATCATATCAAGATACAATATTTTTTGTTAGGAATGTTGTGTTGCAGTTTTGTGTTGTTTAATTTTTTTACAAGTTTGTCACCATTTCTTTACACGTGGTTAACAATTTTTGGTTCAAACGGTGCAGGTACCCGTATCCATCTTATAAATACATAAACAATCAAACGAGACAGATTCACAAAGCGGTGCTTCTCTTTGATTAAATCCCCCTTAGAATTGTATCATATTTATTCCTCATCGCGAACTTTCTACCAGCCCTCAAATGCGTAACGCTGTTGTCGGTTAAGATTTATTGGGCCTCTCAGTCCACCATGTCATTGTTAGGCGCAATTATCTACGCCGATGTTTATGTACGTATTAACAATTTAGTGTACGTTAATGAGTCTCTGTTTGATAACTCTGCGTGTTACAGGTTTCTTTAGTTAGAAGACGCCAATTTTGCCGACACAGTTAAGTTGTCGTGCAATCGTTATTGATCAAATTTACTGATAACTCTAATCGCGATGTCTTCCAAGGACAAACCCGTGAATGACTTGGAAAATTGGCTCCCCCTCGGAGAGGTGGGTCTTGTTGGAATTTCGCCGGTGTTTAAGAAAAAACCGTTCAGTATTCTTCATCGAAAGCAATTAAAGGACAAGAGAATCGTTCTCAATGTGAGTGGGAGGAAGTTTGAAACTTGGGACTATACTCTGAAGAAATACCCTACAACTCTATTAGGAAGCAGTGACCGAGAATCCTTTTACGACTCGCAGCGAAAAGAATACTTCTTTGAGCGGGACCCTGGCTTTTTTCGTCACATTTTGAACTATTATCGTTATGGTAAACTTCATTTTTCTCTGGAAGAATGCGGCGAATTTTACGAAGACGAGCTTGATTTTTTTCGTATTCCAACTGATGCTTTGGGTTTGTGTTGTCTCGAGGAATACCATGACGCGAATTCTGCTGTGTGTCGAAGAGATTTGCCGTCAGAAGTTGAAGCGATTCACCATGAATGTGTTCCTCAGCGTAGAACTTGCAGACAGCAACTCTGGTTGTTGTTTGAAAATCCGCAATCTTCAAAGACAGCTAAAGTTGTGTACTACATAATTGGAATCGCCATTATTTTAAGCATCGTTACAACCATAACAGAGACGATACCCTGCGGTGGAAGAACATGTGGTGAAGAATACAAGCAAGCTTTTCAATACGTCGACGGCACTTGTGTTGTGGTCTTAACACTGGAGTATTTACTTCGCTTGTTCGCTGCGCCTCACAGGTGCAAATTCGTGAAAGAATTTCAAAGTATCGTAGATCTTGCGGCGGTTATTCCATTCTACCTCGACATTGGGTTAAAAAGCGCCGGTGATTTCGATGCCTTAACGATTCTTCGTGTCTTCCGTGTATTCCGCGTGTTTAAAATGTCTCGGCATTCCACCAGACTTCAAGCGCTAGGTTCATCGATAAAAAATTCATCCTCAGAGCTGGGATTTATTCTATTTTCGTTTGGACTGGGTGTTATTATTTTTGCCACCGCTGTGTATTATGCTGAGAAAGAAGTCAAGGGCACAACTTTCTCTAGCATCCCGGACAGTATGTGGTATGCTATTGTTACTATGACAACGACTGGGTAAGTCAGTGCTCTTTGTGGTTTGTTTGTAGGGCTAGAGATGGGGAAGAACCTCTAAAAACATCCTTGACTTTTCTTCACGAGTAAGAGATAATTTTGATCAGGGAATAAGTAATTCGTTCGATGAACTCCTTTTCAATCTTTCTTTCAAGATAAGTATCACTGAACAACTGTTACAAAAAAATGGGAGAACGAGCAGCAATAATTTCAAAAACTTTGGAAGCACGTACTTGTAATTTTTGTTTGTGAGTCCATCGTTAAAGAGTAGATATCGATCATCGATTACCAAATCGAAATGCTATCGTAGCTCATCCGTTTGTTTCGGGAAGATCTACACACAATCGATCGAATGCTGCAAATTTTGGTCACGTCACATATGGTGTGTTTTCGCCTCCGACGAAAATACTAAAACAAAACGCTGAGGAGCCCAAATAAAGTTATCCCGGGAGACTAAATATCTTCATTCAGGTCTGAAATAATAGCTTTAGATCGAGCGATTGCCTTTGAAATAAGACCTTTCGTGAGAAAAGTCCCTTGGCTTTACTTTGTCCCGATGGGAATAAGCCTAATAACTACATCCTGTATAAATTATGAGAAATATTAAAAGCTTTGAGATGCGTGACGTTTACGACACAAGATACACAAGGGCTCCTTACCAACTGCTTCAGGCGGACATTAAGAGAAAAGAGTTTCGATGAATTTTGAAAAATTGAGTTTTCGAAATATTCTTTTGAGAGAGTAGAAATCGAGAAATTTCAGAATTAATTTCTTCTGTTTTCCGTAAACTTTATGCTAACATCCTTATGACTTACTTGTACTTCACTCAGTAGGAAGACTCTCCACGCGGCATCATTTTTAAAATTGTGCGAATTTCTTCCTTAACAGCTATGGTGACATGTCACCGGAGACAGCGATTGGCCAGATCATGGGAAGCGTGTGTTGTTTAGTGGGCACCTTGGTCATTGCGTTACCTGTGCCAATCTTGGAGATGAAAATGAAACTAGTACAAAAAAAACCTAATGGTGAAGAAAACAATGAAGAACAAAATAGCGGACAAGATGGAGAAGCGTGACTCAATTCATGATTGTTTACAACCTTAAAAGTGCAATATCATTTTTCGCGCTCGTTTTTAGCTTTTTTCGAAAAAAAACAGGCTTGGAATTGTTTTCGTTACCAGTTGCTCCGCAATTACCATCCATACTACTGAGACACGTTAAACGTGGAAAAGAGTTTACTGGAAAAGAATTAAATGATTCAAGATTAAGATGATAATCAAAGAGAGGCAGCGAGTAACCCCACATAACTCATTTATTCAGTGCCTTTGTAGTCAACTTTTACATAAATTAACATGATTCGTAGCCAGGAACGATAGAGAGGGAGAGGGGCGCCCCCCCTATTACGCATAATCATAGTAATTACTGAAATATATATCCTGACGTTGAGTTCCGTTTTGAAATAATTCTGTGAAGTAATTGCCACCTGAATGCTCTGGAAAAAATTTAGACCTACAATCACCGACAGAATTGTTGACGCATTGACCTTTTCAACCTCCTATTACTTCGGTTTTATCTCCTCTCGCGTTGTTGAGGTAACCTATTCGCCCAAGTTACCCCCCTCCCCCCACCAAAAAGGAATGTTGTATCGTGACTCCATAACCTTTTAGCTACATACTGTACTGTAGAAGCATCATTGAATGGGGATTGGGGCCTTGTCAATGACTTAGAGTGTGGTAGACACTAGAGTGTTATTCTACACATAAATAGGACTGTTCAGAGATAATGTGTCAACCAATTTTTACGCTCATTGTAGAACAGACAACATTATTTGGTTGTGACTTGTGTAACTGTCACGGTAATTTCCATTTAGGGCGAAAAGTGGACCAAGAAAAGAGCGAGATATAAATAGTTATAGACAGGATATAACAGAGATGATAATACTTCATAGCTTTGTGAAATACTCAATCACAAGTCTAGTTGTGACAAACTTACCTATTACCTCCATGGTAAAGCACGGACTAGTGCTTAAATTGAATAAAGATCGACGGCGAAAAAGAACATATACTGCTGACGCGATTGTGTAAGTGCATGTTTGTATAGAAACTTTAAATTTCAGTCACCCTTAAATCTAAGATCTAAGATGCAAGGCAAAGAGGTTATCTCTTTCTAATGGAACTTAGTGGACTTAAAGCCCACACTGATATTTATTACTGTCACAAGTCATATAAACTAGGTAGGCTTTTTTCTGAACTGTTCTCAAGAACGGAGTGTACAACAAGGGAGCGATAAGCAAAAGGGCAAAAGCGGAAAGTACGGTTAACACGAGACCTGAGTTTGGCTTGGCTTAAGACTGCCAGGCGGACTAGCAAAGTCAGACTGATGCACTGTTTGTGGGTGATCCTGAGGTAGGCAAGGCGCGTTACAAGGGAAAAATCGCGAACTTCACAGAATTTCTCGGTGCAAGAAAGGAAGCAGAGACGATCGGACAACTGCTGGGCGTTTAACCTTTGCTAGGAGAGCGTGCCACGAGGGAGGGGGTACTTCAGGCGATCTATCCAGTGAGTCTTATTCGTGTCGTTGCACACGTTAACGCCGACACAGGAGAGATCGCCCTTTTGCCTTGTCCTACTGTTAAAAGTGTTTCAGATGAAGAAGGCTACCTTTTGAGGATCTCTGACATTTCAGAAGTTAAAGTACGAGCTAAACTGGTGCTACTCAGCCAATGTCATAGCGGCGATTTATCCAGTGAGTCTGATTCATGTCGTTGCACATGTTAACGCCGACACAGGAGAGATCGCCCTTTTGCCTTGTCCTACTGTTAAAAGTGCTCCAGATGAAGAAGGCTACCTTTTGAGGATCTCTGATATTTCAGAAGTTAAAGTAAGAGCTAAATTGGTGCTACCCAACTATTGTCACAGCGGCGTAGAGAGATCAAAGTCGAGGGAGTCATCGGAATTACTAGAGCGTTCTAGGCATCTGGTGCACGATCAGTGTTGGTGACACTGTGGGTAATTGAAAACGAAGCAACAGAGCAGTTCATGAGGCGTTTATAGAGACACCTTGTTGACGGATTTAGTGACAATGTATGTCTCCACCCGGCCATGAAATGGCTGAGGAATATCGGCTTAACCATAGTTTGCTAGTGGACTCCGTTCACTCTGATTGGAGATAACGTTACATTTGGCTTTACGAAGCGAAGGTTAGTTCTACTCTCGAAGAGGCAATCATGCAGCCAACGCTGTGCTATCCACAGAAGTCGGCTCCAGTAAAGGGGATAAGAATAAGGATATCGACTTTTATCCTTGTAAGATCGAAAAAATGTCTCGGTTCTTTTGCAGATGTGTCGAAAAAGAGTGTTTTTAAAGTATCAAATAGAATTTCAGAAAATTGAGTTAACACTCAGAATGACCATATAAAATTTTGTCCGCAAAAGCCGGGTGTGTGTGTCATTAGGCAACGGGATGATGATAAGAATTTTTCGATCGGCATTTTGAACTTGGTTATCTTTTACCTCCTATTTATTCATTGTTTTGCTTTGTTTTGTTAGCCTTTATCGATTTTTAATTAATTTTGGTAACTTTCGTGGCTAATGATGATAGTTTTGGGCTTTGAAAAGGAACCGAAGAGGGGTACAACTTGTCAGTTTGATGATCTAAGAAATACTTTGGCAGTCTGGTTTATGTTCCCTCCAATGGTTTTTCTGGCAAGTTTTACTGCAGTAGACGATCCTTTTGCAGCCAAGACATCGCTTTAGAGTGCCTTCCTTTGAATGGCAGAAGGCGCATTCTGCCTCCTTTAGAGGAGGTCCCCTTTCTGAGGGGTCAGAACCTGATGTATGATCTCTTGGCCCCGTGTTAAAATGAGCCATTTGGCGTGCAAAGTCCGCTAAGAATGCAGGGAAACTGTCTCGGGTGGAGTGCTCTTCGGGCTGTCTTGCTTGATTAGGAAACGAACACGGGTTAAAAAGGTCTTTCATTTGTCCTTTTAACAATCCAGCTGTTCCCGCGAAACATAAAAGGAAAAAGAAAAGGGATCTTTTGAATGAACAAATGAATGGGCACTGGTAAAAAATTAAATAATAAACGTATGAATTGATAGATAAATCAATAAAACGAGAAATTCAGCTTAGCAGCAATGTAGATTCATTGAAACAAAGAAACCGTTTACATTTGATTATAGGAGTTATGGTTATAAGGAAATTGTGGTGCTGCGTTACTGGATGGTAAAACCAGATAATTTGGTTCTATCAATTATTTTACATCGGCCACCGTAAAGAGTTTCTAAGCTGAGGATAGTAAATCATATGAAAAAAAAGGTGTTTTGTGTAGTTCAACTTACCAAACAAGTCAAGAGTTCTTTGTCTAGGGAACAAAAGAGTAATAAAGGAATTCTTCCAAACACTAGATGCATTATCCTGATCTACTCTTGCGGCATTTGTGTAGAGCATTTTATGAAATAGGGTCTTCTCCTGTCAACAAAAAGAAATGTAAAATAATGCTATAGAGGAGTTTAATGAGTGACAAGCAGCTACGCCTCTCTAGAAGGCAGAAAATTTTCAAGCATGAAGCATTTTGGGCATGAAACGTCCATGGTCCTGTGTAAATAAAGTCATGTTGAAATCGACTTCATGAAATATTGGCGTTCTATTAAAAGAGGGTATTTCAACAATATATAATCTTTCTGTTTTTCACGTTCTCGGAATTTTGTCATGTATTTATTTATTTTCTATCCAAACCAACAAATATATAGTGAAAGCTTACGTTCATATAATTTCTTTTTAACTGTTTTTCTTTCAGTTGTGATCACTATTGATATTAAAATTATGCTGAACTGACCTCACCGTCAGCCAAGATTCTATGCACCAAGTGTAACCAGGTGTTGGAAAAGAAACTCGCCATTGGATGGTTGTCTGTTGGATCACTTTGAAGCTTGTCAGCCAACCTTTGACAATCACAGAATACAACTTTCGCAACGGGAAGAAACTTCCATTTGTACATCTCCTGTACTTTGATAACAAAGCCCTTTTTCTTTAACATGTTTTCCTGTGTTTGGTAAGGCTCCTCAATGATTCCAAGCTCATCAACAACATGCACTAATGGCGTCTAAAAAAGTTTTGCAGTGATAAGGGCCATAAAGGTAACAATAGAAGCTTGTCCCACGCTCGTGACGAGACGAAAACAAATTTTTCTCAAGTATGTAAGGTGGCTCACTGAACTGTAGTATACATTTATTTCAAAAAAATACTTTCCCTTCGAGCTTGGCATTACATGAAACTTTTGTAAGGCAAAACATATAAATCCTGAGGCTTACATTAGAGCGCTTTTCAAATGATCATAATAAAACCAGAACAAGAATAATGCTTGGAGTGTCTAAAGGATATGTAAACGCCCCGATGTGTCGGGATGCTCACATAGGAATAACGAGTGAACTGAAATGCTGCAAATGGTGTATAATTTTCCATTAGATTTGTTGAGGCAAAAGCGCAAAATTTTTAGATCAATCACAGCATCTAGTAAAGCAAACCAAACAAATATTAAATTACTTTCGACGCTAGATCAAAGTAGGTCTAGTGAACGCGAAGACTTAATGATGATAGGGGTGATAACAAAGCTTAAACTTTGTTAGACAATTTTAGCAAAGGCAAAAGTACAAAGCTTACCTTAGGTTCGTCTGAATGCTTGCTCAAGATCATGGTTATGGATTCCCTGAGGTTAAAAAACGGCGAACCACTTTTTCTTTGAGACTTCAGCTCAAGATCAAGCTTTGTGCGAAACATTTTGCTGAACATTCTGAAATAAATAAAAATTATCCTCTATTTGGCTTGAAAGTATATAGAAGATATTACACGGAGGCGAGAAGATGTGAATTCTGTGTTCGAGTGGCCAGAACAATATCTCACGATACTATTTGTACCACGCGAACATAAAATTTTTATTTTTGAGCTAACTTGTAATTTTCTTTTTATATATGGACAATAAATATACAGGTCAGAGATTGAAAAGGTGGATCAATGCTGCCATCTGGGTACGGCACACGAAATCGAGTACAACGAGGTGACTTAGAGGCAAATACATGGTATAAATAGAAACAAAACACTTATTGCCCAAAATATAAAAAAAGGTTTAAATGCCACACCGTCAGTTAGGCCAAAATAAATATGAATTAGTTCTGTAGGCTCGGTGAAAACTCGATTACTGACACTGACTTGAATCATCAGTAAGAATAAGTAAGAACAAGTAAGAATTACTTTTGTTTTCGCCCCTCGTGTTACATACAAAAAATACGATACTTGGTTCCCGGATGTAGTGGTCGTATTGATTCGACGAGTGTTTTAGTTCTCGGTAAAACACTCTCGTCCATATAATAAACACAGATGTTTGTCCTCAGACATTATCTGCTCCAACATGCGAACGACAGACCTGAATAACGTCTACGCATCCGCCAGGACTTGGCGCGGAAAACAGACTTTGAGTTTTGCATGTTTGATTTTTATTTTGTTGCTTCTGGGCGTCGTTTCCTGTGCCGCATTTCTGTTAAAGAACCTCCAAAACTTTGTACTCCCCCTAGATATTTTCAGATGTTAATTTTCTCCTTAAAGACACTGGAAATGGGAAAATGCCCTCAACGACAACAAAATGCCTCTGTATTAAATCCCAGCCCTTATTTTCTTGAAAAATTCAGAGGAATAGGAAAGATTTTAGGGAGAGGCGAGGATCTTAGAGAAGGTATATGCAAGGATTTTTTCGTTCAACATATATTTTGCCATGTTCTTTCTGAAAGATCTATGAAAAAATTACTAGATTAAATATTTTGCCTTGTCAGATTTAGGCCGGGCTTTCCTTAATTTCCGCACAAAAACCTGGGGGCGCCCCAGGGAGCTCTTCCCTACAAATTTCGTTTGACACCGAAAGTTGGTCATACAGTTTAGTCATAGTTCCAAACCTGATGGTAGATGATTGTTAAAAACATCCATTCCAGGCAGTCTGATCGGGTTCATCATTTCTTAATGCATTGAACGGTATTAGTAACGCATACTGTTGCGATCGGACTTACTTTTTGTCATGCTGTTTACCATCCCATAATATCATGGTATGAAAGGGAACTGGAGCCACGTTCTGTATCACAAGTTCTCCCACTGTTCCATCTTCTCTTTTAGGAATGTGACAAAGTACTTTTTTGCGCTTGCGTGAAATCTGAAACTTGGCCAAGTTCTCATTCACAGAACATGAAAAGTATATCTGCAGCGGGTCTCTGTTAAAAAGAAGAATTCCATTACAGTATGTCATAAGTACTTCTGGAATATTTGTCTTGAAGTAAGAATAAATATCAAGAAACATTTATGCTTGATAGAGCAGGCGTTTCTGTAAAGGAAGCTAATCGAAATGTAACTACCCACCTACTTGCCGCAGCTTTTTGTCGAGAATTTTTCATATTGTACAGCGAAGAATCTCGGTTCTGCGGTTCATCATCGCCGCTTTTTAAGGGCTACAGTTTGTGATGTCAGAGAGCTGATAATTAAACGCAGCGTCTACTGTAGATTGCCTGTTTGTTGACAGTTGTTGTTGTTTTTTAACTTTATTGCAGTTTTTTTCTTGTTTTTATCCTCATGAATTTTCTTGTATTGCCTTTTTATTTACTTTTTTGAAAGGCTCGATTAATTTTTTTTTTTTGATTAAAAACGTTCCGATCGGATACAACGAGAAACATTAAACTACTACATTTAAGTAAAATAAAACCAATGTTTCAAATGCAGTCATCCTTACCCTGTAGCTCCTTCGAAGTGTATTTGGAGTTCAACCGGACATTTAGGTGGAGAAAAGCTAATCTTCATAGTGCTGACTTTGCATTGTTCTAAGTCCAGTATGTCAAGTTCTGCATAGTATGAGAACTTACTCTCCTCGACTTTGTGGATCTCAAAAAAAAAAGGAGACAGCTAGTATGAATCTCTTTATTATTGTTTTAACAATCCTGTTGTGGGTATCATCTTACTATTTATTAACTTGAAGCTATATCTACCAACGGTATTACAGTACTAAATTAAGAGAAACCTGTGGAGATCATCTTCTTTTTAAAACGTTGAGTCTTCCATTTGATTCGCAATAAGGTTGCCGATTTATAATGGACCGAGTGGAGTCCAATTCTGTGTGTAATCACACGAGTGATTAACAAAAGCGGACGACAGCGAAGCGGAAGTCTGATTTGCAAGTCACGAGTATGATTACATACAAGAATTGGAATCACTCGTATGATTACAAACCGAATTGGCCTCCTCTCGGTACTATCACCATTTTTAAAGCGTACAATGTCCTGATAGCGCTCAAATCGGGCTGGTGATTACCAATCACTTTCGGAAATTCTGTCGTGACTTTGATTAGTTATTAAAAAGATTTATCCACACAGCAGTTTAACAATCCACTAAACTGTTGCGAATTCAGAAATTTAGGACGAAAAGAATTGATAGTCCAAGTTGATCCCGTGTAAAATTTGATAATTATCCAGCCTCAACTCAAATTTTATTCTTTTTAATTTGTTTTTTCTCCCTGAAGTACAACTTATCGTAAAATGATAATGAACTGGAGTTGCTGTAACTGTTACAAACGAAAGGAGACTAATTTAACCCTTCTCAATTTTCCTATTCTGGATTTTTGAATGAAATTGCAGGAGTTTTAACTGTAACGCTACCTTCAGTACTTGGCAGTTTGCATTTGTTTCGATCACAGTAAAAGCCTGCACTGAAAATAAGCCAAATATCTCGGCCGGATCAACGCGTTGGTTTCTTTCAATGGTCTCCCCTCCGAGAAACAATAGGTCACGATTTATGACAGGGTTCATGTCACTCGAGGATATCCACATGTACGCATTTGACTGCAACTCGTGCCAGTCCTTCTCACTAATATGGAAAGTCACAATGTTGGCTTGGTCATCGTAACGTAAGCTGTTGTAAATTGATGGAAACGTCGTTTCAGTGCATTTTGCCTGACCAGAGAGTATCTTGAAAACAAAGATGGCCTTTGAATTAGTAATAAGTACTTGTTATAAAGTACCACTTATTTTTCTACCCATCAATCTAGGGAACACATTCTGAAAAAGTGTTTGAGTCCGTTGTTTGGGCATACGATCATGTGAGTCACGGCAAAAGCGAATCGACACTTGTCCTTGAAGGTTACACGGTCGAAACTAGGTCAAAATAAACACTAAACTTACACCAAAATAAATTAAAGTCAAGAGATTTCCAAAGAAACTTATGTAGCCTTAAAATTAAGACATCGTAAGAACTGACTCAAGAATAATTTCCCATAGCACATATGAAAATTATTGCGAACAGCAAGTCTCGTTTGTCTCGTCCTTATTATTTTTTTTTGTTTTCAGTTAGCCTTGTCGCTGCTGGTTATTTTTAATTATCAGGCTTGCTAAAGCGCGTGGCTGTTGGTATTGCCACTTGGTATTTTTTCGAGGCAGCAAGTTGGAATGCATTTATTGTGCCCTTTGCTTTCAAGAATTTGGTCCGCCACAATTGCAGTACTCGAACAAAACTCGTTTACTAAGATAGTTATTTAAATAACTGACCTGTGCCTTAGCCTGATGAATCATGCTTGGTTTCACAAAGCAAATCATCGGAATTGGTGTTCCCTTGTACCAAGGGGCTACCGTTATGTTACAGTTAACTGTTACTTGAACTACAGGCCCTACAGAAAAATTTGTGAAAGTCACAAAAACAATAACATTAACAGCGGAAACAAAAAGGCAAGTTTACTATTATAATGAAAGCAAATATTTTTATCACAAAAAACTTTCGGTCAATATATATTATTCTCTTCAAGAGTGCGACAACGGTAAAAATCTAAGGAGAAAGAGAAAAAGTCTATGGCAACAAAAATACCTCGTTCATTCCCAAGCGATGCTTTGAGAAAATTCCAAGACAGACCATGCTTTTGGTGGAAATCAGGCGGCAGAAGAGTTTCGAGAAGCTCAAATATTCGGTCGGCTGGAAAAGCAATTAACGAGAAAACTCAAATTAGTTTTAATCGGCAGATAAATAAGCAAAGAAAGGAGTTTGAAACACTGCATAATACAAAACAAAATTCCGTGCATTACCGAAAACCAAAAAAACAAAGTTATGAAAAGAGCGTGAAAAGGGAAAACTACCGTCCAAAAGTGTAAGGGAAGGGCAGAATTACCTTTCCCGTGTTTTATTTTCTATTTCATGCTTCTTGTTTCTTTGTTTCAAATCTTATTCCAAAAGTTCAAAACGGAGCACTTTCCGAATAAGAGCTTTAACAAACAGCATTAAAATGACCACATCTACCAATCAAACGACCTCAAAGAGAAAATCAGAGAGGTCATTAGAAACTCAAATTTACCGACGACGAATGCACTTAAACATAAGAGATCAAGTCGTGACAGCTTTCCGTCGTGACCGCTTTCCGTTTTGCATTTATTTGATTTAGTAGTCGGTTAACTGGAATTTTAAACCAATCGCAAAATGTAGAAAAGCAAAAAGAAAGAGAGTCTGGGTTACGTTGGACAATCGATCGATGACTGTTCTAACCTCCTCCTTTAATAACTGGTTGTATCTGATGAATAATTCGAAGGAGTGTAAGAGGTGACGACAAGGTTGCGCCAAACACCTGACTCACAAGGAGGTGCTGTCCATCTACCAGTGGTTTTGTTTGTTCATTCAGCAAATCAAAGCACCGTTCAGCGAGCCGAAAAAGGCCTTGAACAAAGTCACTGGTTTTGTCTGCAATTTTAGATACAGAACGTAAGTTTAGAAGTAATCATACACTTCGTTCTTCCTTTAGTAAATGGGAAAGGAAATGAGCACTTCTGCGATTACAAGACATCTCATCTATGCGTATTAAATAATACAATACTTTGAATATGTTGAATGTGAAAATTGAATGAAACAAAAGCTTGCAAGTGCTCAAAAACAGCATAGCGATTACCCACAAGAGGAGAATTATAGTTATTCGGTCAGAAATTGTTTTTTATTTAATCATACTTAACGTTGAACCAACCTATTGTCAACAGAGTCCTCTTAATGTCTGCTTTCACCCAGCAAAGAATCTCCTCTGAAGTTTCCATTCTGTCCGGAAGTTTGCTGTTTCAGTGAGAAGAATGCGAGTTAAATAATCATAGCTTAATTGCTGATGAAGAAGGGCGAAGAGAAAAGATCACGATAGAAGACCAAAAGGTTAGCGGAGAGAAAGGACGGAAGAAGACTACAAACATTGGTAATAACGGAATTTATAATGATGATGATAATGATGACAATGATGGTGGTGATAAAGATGGTAAAAAGACAAGCTACACGAGACAGGATACCAATATATCCTACAGCGTAAAAAGGATACCAGCTTTAGTCAAAAGAGATTTCGTTGGCTTAGCAGTCATTGGTCATGAGCCATTATGATCTAGGGGATATCCGTTAATATCACCCATATGATGTTCCCCAGTTTTTGAACCTTAGGTCCACTACTGTAAGTCTTCGTTTAAACTTTAGGTCAAGATGAGGGAGCGTCTTTGTTGTTTTATAAAGTTGTACCAGAGAACACTCAAAAGAAAATACACCCCGCGCAGGAAACAGGAAACTGTTCGGAACATTTTCCCCCTGCAGTGCGAAATATTTGAAGGATGAATACAGTAACGTCTATTTTGCGCGAAAATATGCTCATATATTTGTCCTTGGGAATTATCTGTTCCTCGAAGCTTACGGTTTTTCTCGAGTTCTGCTCTCGGAAAACTGATCTCGTCTTGGAACAGATAATGTCTGCGGACAAATGTCCGTCCATATTTTAGCGCTAAATAGAGGCTTTTGTACATTTATAACATGCACACATGAAGACCAGTTAAACCGGAAGTGTTTTTGTACATTATAACTTTCCGTTTGTTCTTACAAAATGAGGTCGTGAAGATTTATTAATATTTTGGCGCGTTTTTAATAAAACAGTTATTCCACTCGCGCTTGTTGGGTACGATGATGATTATAGCCCTTCGGTCGTGCGGGCCTCCATGGCTATAATAGCACACTACTATCGACTTTTACCCTTTCACTGCCCAAATTTCAGAGGATATTCGCCCAGATGATCTCTTAGCAAAAACGCAGTGTTTTCTCAAGGCAGTATGTATCCTCCTGTTGATAATTTGTTTCAGGTCTCATTATTAATTTTCCTGACATGGAATGTTGGGTATCAAAAGTTTTGATAATGGGTGTTGAGTTTAAAGGATAAGCCTCTAAACAACTTTCTAAATTGAAAGTGAGGAAAATTTTTTTAACCCAAAGTTCCTACCTGCTTCCTAATTCAATGTCGACAGCTAATTTCAAGCCCAGAACAGTGGGAAGAAGTTGGAAAGGAACACCTACACATTTGTTGTAATACTCCTCCACACTTTCACAACCTCCGCCCCACAGCATGCTTGATGTAAACATGAGAGATCTGTTTGGTCTGCAAAACGAAGTTTAATTTTTTATCATTTTATTATTTGATTAAACGTGATGGTTTGATCAGTTCAATCCATAAAGTATGTTTTGTATGACAATTAACGTACTTTTTCAATCTCGGGGCGCAGCTAACAAGAACATTCAGCAAACCAATGTGATCAGAGACATTACTGGTATCAATAACGTCAAATAACATCTTTGGAGGAAAGCCACTCGTACACAAAGCAAGTGCATCGCCTGTCCACAGAGTAACCTGGCAAGAAAGATAGAATAGGTAATGTTCCTTGCACTGACAAACTTATATTTCCTCATCTCACGGACTGAAATCGTTTTCCGTTACGGAGCCGTAATTCGTCTCCATTCTTAGGTGCTATTTGGTAACTGTTCCTCACTATTTATCTTCCATGGAGTTAATGTAAAATGGCCTAAGCCTTCCACCAAGATTCAAACCTTCGGACGCCACACAACTGAGTTACAGAGGACTCACAGCAAACTATTCCATTTAACTAGATCCATGGTCACAAACTTCCTGCATACTGCCAGGATAAGGCTGTCAGTATGTGATGCTTATGCACAATGGCGATGTAAATTAAGATGGTAAATTTTACATGTAAGTTTGGTGATTTAAGGAAAGGAAAATGTTAACTTGTGAATGATGCTGACATACTCGGTGAAAAAACTCTGGTGATTTAAAGAAAAGGAAGATTTTACTTGATGGATGACTCCTGCGTGCTTGGAGAAAAAAAAAATTTAAAAATTTGAACTATATGACCTGAGGAGTTCACAGTTTTGATGGAAGCTATTCCAAAGGGAAAATTTCCGGTTGACTCATTGAAAATTCGCTTCAGACTGACGAAAACTGTGTAATCTAACCTTCAAAGTTGTTTGATTATTCTTCCTTTGCCGCTGGAAACCTTTCAGCATCAATTTTAAATTTTCTTTACAAGCTGCTGTCAGAGATTTACATCGTAAGAGCTGGTCCCTAGACAAAGAACGAAATCCGGAAATATTGACGCTTGAAATCAGATAAGCCAATTAAAGTAAGCATTCTGAATATTAAAGAAAACTGATTTAAACATCATATACGTTTCCGTATTTCTTTTCCCTTAGTATTGAACAGAAAACGGTTTATGTAGCCAAATTAAATTTAGAGAATAATTTGGTCTTATCGACTGACTTAACAATTAAAACTGGCCACCGTTAAGAATTTCTAAAGCTGACATATAGAGCGTTAGCCCTTCGCCGGAGCTCTTCACTCTTTTGTTAGTGCAAGCAAATGTCGCGAGAACAATAGGCATTCTCGCGAAGTAATATTTTAATGTAAATATATGCTTACCTTTCGATTGGCAAGTAACTTTCAAACACACAAGAATTATAGTGTAATCTCCATTCATGATCAAATGGACGAATCAAGGTTGGATTTGTCCTTTCGAATTCCTCCGAAGTGGAACCTTCGCAAAACCAGTGTTTTATTTCCGTATAGAATGGATTCGCGTGGGTTGCCTTGAAAAATTGTGTGTCTGCTTCTTGACTAAGTCCCATCATCATCTCTGATAGTACACCCATACACTGACCATCCACGTCAAACTTTAGTTCTTGCATTTTACTTTTAATCAATCTGTTTCGATCATCTTTAATTTTTCTCACGTCAAGATCAAGAGCCATCCAATCCTTCCAAATAGCACAACATTCCCGGAGAATAGCGATGTCGTCGAACTTCAATATGCTCTCTGCGCTGTCAAATTTTTTTTCGATTAATCGACGTAGTACTTGTTGCAGTCGATAAAAGTTGTCGTGGGAAAGAGCCAGATTATACCAGATATTCCACAAGAAGTCTACATCCGCTGGGATATCCGGATTTATTTCACTAGCGACTTGTATGAGGACAGCATTGCGAGCAATCACCGATGGATCGTAGTCGTTTATATGGAAACTTAAACTTTTTGGACTCTCATGAGGTTTCCGTATAGATAGCTCGGATAAAGTAAACAAAAAATTCCTTATATCACCAGAACCTAGCAACAGTAAATCTAGATGTTGTCCTCTCGAGGTCCCCAGTAGTTCTGTTACGTCTCTGGCCCTCGTATTCCCCATAGCATAAGTCTGTAAACCTCTAGGATACAGAATCATTCCTGCTGGATTATGAAAACTTAACTCTGGAACGCTTTGCCGGCCGTATTTTGCCATATTGAAATCGAATAACTTTATGGAGCACGTCAAAATACGTCAAAATACGTCCTGGCAAGAACCAGTTTGAAATTATTCGAAAAATGATCGGAACAAAAGAAGACAAATTCTGAGAATACTGTCCGCGATGGTCTGGGTTCCACCAAAATGATGCGACTTCGTGTGAAAAGTTAAAAAAAAATTGATGTTTAAAAACAGCAAATATAGATCAAAGAAGACAGGAAAACCAAGTTTTAATTATGTCTTGCTGAAAACTTCCTTTTTTGATTACTTTCAAGAGTAGAATAAATTCTCACAGCCAATCTTACTTCCGGTTACTTCCGGTAATGTCTTTGTGGAACCCAGGTCTCTCTCGAGCTAGATTCTCAGAATTTGTCTCGCTTCCGTAATTCTCAGGAAAGAAATTAGAAAACTTATTTTAAAATGCTAAGGGACAACATTTGTCGCAGTTAATCTTGCATCGCCAACTATCAACATGACAAAATACGATAAGCAAGGTGTTCCTAACCTAAGTTTTCATAATCCGATGGGAATAACACTTTACCCGAAGGGTTTGTACACTTACGCAATGGGAAACACTCCAGCCCGAGATATCACTGAACTGTTGGGCACATCGAAAGAAAAACATGTAGACGTGTTGCTTTTAGCATGCGGTGATGTTAGGAATTTTCTGTGCAGTTTGTCTGAACTATCCCTGAAAAAACCGTACGAGCGTCCGAAGAGTCTAAGTTTCCATTTGAATGATTATGATCCGTCAGTGATTGCTCGCAATGCTGTCCTTCTAGAAGTTGCTAGTGTGATAAATCCTGATGTCCCTGCTGATGTAGACTTCTTGTGGAACATTTGGTATAACCTAGCGCTGTCAGTGGCCGACTTTGATCGACTGCGAAAAGTACTCACTGAACTGTTGGAGAGGAACTTTGACAGCGACGAAAGTAATTTTAAGTTTCAAGATGGCGGCGTTCTGCAGGAATGTCGGGATATATGGAAAGACTGGAGACATCTCGACCTCGAAGTGAAAAGCGTTAAAGAGGAAAGAAACAACCTCATAGAGGACATGAAAATAGTTATGGGGTTCTGTGAGGATTCTCAGTGCGAGTCTACACTAACTCACATGGTGATGGAGATCTATGAAGAGAAACTAGACAATTTTGTTAAGCCTGCCGCGACAAATCCACTCTACACGGAAATACAACACTGGTTTAGAGAAGGTTCCACGAATGAGGAGTCGGAGAAAACAAATCCAACTTTGATTCGTCCATTTGTTCACAAGTGGAGGCAGCATTATAGTTCCTGTGCGTTTGAGGGTTATCCACCACTGGAAAGGTAACTTACTATAGGGCCTTCTTGTCTCGTTTACATAAGCCAAACGTATGTTAAGGTTCAACCAACTGAACCCTTCCCTGTTATTTTCAACGACTTGAACGGATATAAGTAATACATTCGTATGAAATAAAAACAGCTATCTGTAAGCACAGCATGAATTTTTTTCAGGTTTTGAATTTTGTATTCATTTAATCCATTTTCCTTTACGAGTTCATTAAATTCCATTACAGGAACTGAAACTTCAATTTCCAAACACGCGGGCATTTCGGGCGGTAGCCCTTCGCAATTTTTTCTGTCGAAATCTTTACAGTGGCCATTTTACGATGTCAACTCAGCTTATTAAACCAAATTATCCTTTCTACACGTATGCATAATTCAGATTGACTAGTTTCCAGTCTTTTCTTAACAAACGGAATAAAAAATTTTATTTTAGCCAGCAAACAAAAGTAAATGAAAGTTAGAAACTTTATGACCTAGTCAAAAGTTAAAATTGTGAATATTTTTGCCATTATATGACACAACATAAGTAGAGAAAGCTGAAGTAAGGGGTTTGAAAAGATTGTGTTATCGTTTCTTTTGTGATAAAACTGTTGTCACTCTCGGAAATAAAAATGATGATTACTCATTTTTGTCTTGCATGCGCGTATGCTTCTAAAGTTATTACATTAGGTATGTCTGCTTTGCATCGGGTTAGCCAACATCTTTGTCTGCAGTTCTTGAAAATCAATCGCTTGCACATTTCGCATATGCCCGCTTAGTCATTTATGCAATTGTAACGAAACGCATTTTTTCTCTTCTAGGAAAGACCTCGAACAAGGTAAATCATGTGCAGATGTTTGCAAGGAAAAACTGGCAGTCTGGGTAAAAAGATATCAGGAGCAAAATAAGAATTATCAAGCAACTCTGAAGGTGAATTATGTTTCGCAGATACGCCAGTATATACGCTCATAACTAAGTAAGCTTGGAGAATGGTACGCTGTGATTGGCTAAATAAACAAATAAGGAATGCAATACAACCCATTTGACGTTTTTTTAGCAATCATAGCCCGAGCTTAAAGGTCATTCTTTGCACAAGAAGCTTGCAACAGTATGGCCAAATGACGGGTGCGCCACAGTCTGAAACGCAATGGCTAATGCAAATGAAAAAGACGTTCACTTGACGATCGCGGACAAAAACATGGTGCGGTCGTATTTAGAAAATACTTCATATCAGTCTCTACCTATTTATCTGAGGTTGACGCCCTCTTGTTTTCAAATTCAACCTTGGTAACTTAGAAAAAATTTTATCTTTTCTATATTTTGTTAATTTATCTAGTTTTTACCGTGCGGAATGTTTTTAGCTATCCATCAGGGGGAGGTAGAGGTTTCGTTCGATTCTCGTATTTCGTGTACATGACATGTTATCGTTTCGCCTTATTTTAGACATTTATGCCTTGTTTTAGATGGTTTTAGATAGTTTGCGAGTGGTTGTAGATGTTTTTGAGGTGGTTGTAGGTGGTTGTTGAAATTTTTGAGGTGGTTGTAGATGGTTGTAGGTGGTTGTAGGTGGTTTTAGGTGGTTTTAGGTGGTTTTGGGTCGTTCCTTGTTTTAGTACTTACCGTTGAGGTAGCCCCAATTATCTTCCTTGCGTTTGCATGTGTGTTACACGGGCTAGAATACCTAAAGAACTGCATGGCGGCATAGTACCATTACACTGTAGTTCCAGATTTCTTTAGCTCCGTGTGAACTCTTTCGCTCTTTACGGTCATCTGGAGGTCTGAACCTCATGGCCCGTTCTTCATCTAGCCTTGTATGTACGATTTCAAGATCCATCAAGTTCCCTACAGCGTGTGGCTCGATCCTCGAACTGCTAACCAAATACTAATAGCTGTCGATCCACCCAACATTTACCTTTCAATCTAATAAATATGCCGAAAAGTATTTTTCAGTCTCGCGTAGCGTCAAGTGAACACTGTGGATGAAATATCGATCGTTAGCTGTTACCGTGTACTGTATAATAATAATGTCAAATTTCATTTTCTACAATTGGGAGCAATCGGAGTATGTGTGTGTTATTCGTTGAATAACATCATCTTTCACCTACTCTTGTTTTGTAGGTTACCCTGTGGACCGGCGATGCCCTGGCTTTGTGTACAAGTGGCTTTCCGCCAGACATGTTATTCGACGTTATCGATACAAGTAATCTCAGCGATCACATTGGTTTGTTGAATGTCGTTGTCTGCTGTGGCCCGAGGTTAAAAGTGTAAGTCATCTTGTCAGTCCTCACTACCATTGTTATCGTTGCCGTGACCACAGTGACTGTTGACCTTTTTCGGGTTGTTAAGGAGAACTCCTTTAATTCTTGTCATCCAAGAGATCATGATGGGACAGTGAGGGGAAATCAGGGCGTTGGCCGGGATATGTCGATTTAAATTAAGTTATTTCTAGCATGAGGTAGAAAGAATTGTGGTTTCCGAGTGTAGTTTCTTATTGCCGAAATAAGTTTGTTATTAAAAGAACAACTCCCATCACTGTTTCCCAATACATCAATCTTAGTCGCAGGCGATTAAGGCTCACTGAAGAAGACAATGTCTTTCATTCTCCGTGTGAAAGAGGCCATATGCGAAACATACAGCGAGCGAAAGAGCATCCTTCTCAAAACGACAACAACAACAACAAAACGAGTAAAACCAAAGCGAAAAAGCAAAATTTCCAGTGCGTAGAGACACTGAACTAAAATCTTGATGCGTAATGGATGTTTGACCCTTTCGTCTTCTTTCTAAAGCGAGGTTCAGGCGGAGCAAACTGTTCATTCGAATTGTACATAAGAGTTAAAAGCCCGATCAGTGATCCCTTTAAATGGATCCGAAGTCAGCTCATGGTGGAGTATGAATTTAAAACTAGTATATAATTGTAATTGCTATACACAAGGGGTATTTAGAAATCTGAGTAATTCCTGTTTTCATAATTTCTATATTTATAACAGGCCAACTGCTTCTCTGTTGTTCACATCAAGCATTTTATGGTGCGGCGAATGTGACAGTATAGAGGAGTACTACAACAAATGTGTTGGCGTTCCGTTGCAACTTCTCCCGACAGTTCTTGGCTTGAAGCTGGCTGTTGATCTGGAATTGGGAAGCAAGTACGCTAAGCTAGTGAAATGAACTAAATGTAACATTCAGATGCAGTTTACCGGACTAGTTGTGTGGTCATGTATATTACAAGTCATCGATGGCCTATTTTACTGTGGCAGCTTTGAAACCATCTTTTGAAACATTTAAGGCTCGGCATATGGCCATATGAATTCTCTTCAACGATGGAGTGGGGGAGGCAAGGGGGAGGGGAGATTTGAAGGTATATCAAATGTTACATCCTTTCATATACCACCGATGCGGTTTTCCTCAATTTGCTGATTTGGCAATACCTAAACGAAAGAATGATTGCTATGATTTTTTTATCGTGCGAAGCATTAACGGAAATTTCATGTCAGAAGGCCAATTGAGCCTGTCCTTTATCCTACGAAAAGCAATTTTTTCTTCAAAATTAAATGGCATGTCATTTTGCTTGCAAAGTCAGCTGCCAAGTGATAGGGATTAAGGTCTTTGACTGAGGCTTCCGTTGTACCACGTGGCATTAATATTCATTTGTTTGTTTATTTTTCTTGTCATTTTCTTTTGCTTTGTTTTTTTTGGTGTAGAAAACTTCCGGACAAACTGGAAGCTACAGAAGAGACTCTTTGCTGGGTCAAGGCGGACCTTAAAAGGACTTTACTGACAATAGGTTAGTTGAGGCGTACTAAAGACAACATTTTCACACAGCTTCTGTCATACTGAACAAGTGCTCCATCTTTACTTGGGAATATAAAACAATTGAAACAGCCAAAAACTGCTAGGAGAAGGGTGGAAGGCGGGGAGAAGGGGGAGGTACTCGTGTTTTGATGGGAATTCTAGCCAGAAAGGATGCAGTCTCTTCGCTGAAAGAGCCAAGGCAAGTTCCAGTCCGTCTGAAAGTGCGTGAGACTGTAGCCAGTTAATCTCACCTTGTGACAACTGCAATTTTACAAATACTTCTTGCAATTTCAGATAAAACCCCTGACGTTGTTCAAGCGCTACTGAGTCTCACAGAGCGTTGCTTCAATCTAGCGAACGAGATGCTTCATTCCATTGGCGTCACTTCACCTTCGCCTCTGACCTTGCTTCGAATTATTCATCAGGCACAACCACTCTTCAAAGGAGGAGGTAATATCGATTTTTTAATTTATCTGTTAGCATGCAGCGCATTCATAGCGTTCGAGCACTGGAAATACAGATCGATTAGACGTTTTGTATCCAAGAAAACCCTCAGAAAATATAACGAGTTCCAATTTTTAATCCAGTTCTCTTAATTTTCCGCAATATTCGCATACGAAATGATAACACTCGCCCTGTAAAAAAAACGCTTGCGCCGCAGGAAAAGTTTGCTCATTCAATACAGAGAACTAATTGTTCCATAATCATTTCCTATTATTGTTATATTCATTTCTTTTATCATTATTAGAAATGTAAGTAACAGTGTCTGAGTTTGTAATATTCAGTTTCGCTGAAGGGCCCGGTGACAACCCTCAAGCTGTGGGCTATTCCTAATAATTATATTACATTTTGTATTTACAATTTCGGCTCGTTGATACTGACTTTCCTAATGATCAGGAAGGGAAGATAAAACACCCTCGCATTTTATCCACACTTGTCTTAATATCAGTAAATCTGTACGCTATTGATTTGGGGAACTCAAGATGAATAAGAATGGATGTAATATCCTAGTTTTTTGAACATAAAATATTGACGTGCGATTTGGGTTTGTTATTTGCGTTTTAGCCGCCGAGATATTGGACACTCTTGAAAATGAGCTGCCAGCTGACTTTAAGAGGAGATACGGTCTATCCTGGAACGTTTTAAAGGCATCATTGGGGAGAACACCAGGTAAAGACATAGAGAAGGTTTAGTTACGAAACCGAACCATCATTATCATAAGCAGTAATATCTCCTTTGCTGTATCTATGCCTTGCAAAGAAAACTATACGACCTACTTGAAATACTCGGATCTAATCCAAAAAGGCACTATCAATTCAACTCATAATCCAGTTGCTGATTTTCTAAGATCCAGATCTAGAGCAGGAGCTGTTGGTGATACCAAACTATGTGGTATGCTGGGTTGCCAGGTTACAAAGTTATTTTCCAAATAGCGGCGTCCACAGTCAAATTTTTAGCGCGTATGAATTAAAAAAGTTTAAAACGATTAGATTACCCTATTGCATCTAAACCTTCGCCAGCTCCTGGATTTTTATATATTTTTTAATATTTTATATATTCATAAATTTATATTCATATATTTTATATACTTACTTTATATTTATTTTATATATTATCTGAATAACGGAGACGCAATGAATAAAGATTCTGGAGCATACCTTTCTTTCAGAGAACTTACAGTAAAATGAAACTCCGAGAGCACACACAAGGAGCTAGACAAATTCTAGAGGGTTTTTTCTATTTCAAGCAAATGAATCATTTTGTTCTTCTACAACTACAGAGCCCATCGTTGAAATAAAAATTAACATCAAGATTGCAGTCGTGCCTTGGTATAAGGGAACACCGAAGCCGATGATTTACATTAGGAGGGATAGCAGCAGTGCTGAGGAAGCTCCCTTACACGTGAGAAAATAAAATAGCTCTGTTTATTTATAAACTCTTAATACGTATACCTTTCCTCTGACAAATAATAAAGTACATCTCAGGACAATTTAACGATAAGATTATGCTCACATTATACGCACAATTACTTATATGTTGATTATTATCTTTATTCATGTATGTATTCATTCATTTCATCTTTCTATTCAAGTGGTCCCTCGCTATGGGTCTAGCCTCGCAGCCTTCAGTAATTCACAACAGCCTACGATATGATGATAACACTCAAGTGGTGACTTTCCATCTACGCGAAGAAGACTGGAATGAGCTTTACTGTTCATCCAAGATGTGGATATCATCCAGAGAATTAATAAAAGTCATAATTTGTGAGCCAGTGAGTCTAGGAGACGAGACTGTGAAGAGTGTTCAAAGGGTTGATCCTGTAGAAACATTTGGTTTGTTTGCAAGACAGACTTTCACCGTGATGGAATCCAACGAAAAATGCCAAGTACTCAAGGTAAAATGTGCATTGTATATTATTAACTTATTGCCAATTCTTGACTTGGCGTCCATGGATTATAGCTACAGCAAAGTGCGATAGAATCCCAAACCTAGTACATCTTTCAGAGGCCAGTTCCGCAATGAACGTGTAAGGATTTTGGACACAAGAACTGAAAGCAGGGGTGCAAAATGGCAATTTTTCTTTAAATTTCGTCATCGTAGCGAATTACAAGTACAGTAGATAAGCACATAATTCACTGCATAAAAAATCCGCGTTAAACTAGTTGCCGATCTTGTCGACGTGCGATGAAAACTGGTAGTATTAAAGTGGTATCCGATTAAAAAAAAAGTCTCGACAGAACCCTGTGACCATGTACGTTTAATCTAGTCGTGTTCGTGTTTGGTCCCTAATTTCATTGTCTTGTTATTTTCTTGATAGGTAATAAAAGTTGAAGAGAGCATACATTCTTATTCTGCAGAACTTGAGATACGAGACTCCGCCATCTGCAAAGCGAAGGCAATGAAGGTCAGCCAACCAGATGAGTCTCCAACGGGAGTCCAAATAAACTTCGAGGGGGCCACAGGGTAGGTAGCACTAACTTCAGCAGTAATCATTAACCCTTTAACTCCCAGAAGTGATTAACAAGTAACTTCTCCCCAAAATTTCCAAACATTTTCAAGCAAAACAGATGATGTGAATATTCAAACCTATCAGGTAAAAGTCGTCACCCTGTTGAACACCAAACTCTTACAACTAATTTACAGGAAAATGTTAAGCAGCCATAGGGAAAAATTAACAACAAGATCTTGGGAGTTAAAGGGCTAAGCACTACTGTGTTACGAGTATGTTCCGGTGTTATGAGATTCGGAAAATTTTTACCGGATTATTTAAGCCTTTAATTGATTGAACAAGATTTATTGATAACTCTAAATTATTGATTTTAAAAAAGGCTCTAAATGATCTCTTCATGGCGCACAAGTCTGGCAAGATATCCCTGAATTTCTTTCAAATAAGATGGAGTCAATTAAAAAAAGGGCACTACATTTTATCTATCCGTGTCATAGTTACTTAGATGCCCTTAATACTAACAACCTTAGCAGCTTGAAAGAAAGACGAACTCAGCTCTGCTGTAAACACATTCAGAAGATGACTCAAAAAGACCACCCCATTAACTTCCTCAAGCCGAGAACAGCATCTAGTGGTCATAGTTACAAATTGCGGGCCAGCGGTAACAATAGAAATATTGTTTACGCTGATAGGAGTTGTTGCCGGACCCAGAGTTCAGGTTCCTTTATTTCATTCGCTAGTAAATATGTGAATATGTAAAAAAATTGTTTATGATATTTTCATTGTCTCTATAGTAGTAGTAGTGTTAATTATTTGTTGATTGTTAATTTATAGCCCTTTAATTCCTTAATGTGGCAAATAAACGTGTTCAACTCGATAGCTTACGATTGAGATATTGAGCTGAGCGCTCGAAGGGAAATTCCCCATATACGTACGGCCATGTATTATTCTCTATTTATCTGCTTTTTTACAGCGACCCACTCAGCATGTATTTTTCATGTTTTGTCGATATCAACTCATCCAAGTTCCAAATTTCACGAAAAGTCGGGAAAATATTCTGTGACATTTCTAAGCGAAGCGATGGAACAGTGGGAGAACTTGTAATACAAAATTTAGCTCCATTGCCTCTCCATGCTATGCCAGAGTGGGATAGTGAACTCACCGATATAAGGTATGTACAAAATGGGGTTTTTCATAAGAGAACAACTAAGGAGTGCTATACTTCTAATGACTCTGTAAAAGGTTTAAGGGAGAGATAAAACCAATGAGTTTGATCTTTTAGCAATAGACCGCACTCTTTTATCGGTTTACCGCCGTAATAACCAAAACAAGACGATGAGAGAAGACTCGAAATGTTTCTGAGTCACGAACTGGAGGAAAAAAAAATTAATCCTTCTGCTAACTACAAGACAGGTTTGCATCGATGATGCTACCTTTATTTTATTCTAAAGAAGAGACAGCTGCAAGTTAACTGTAGGCGCTGTCCTCCTGTATTTTATGTGTTACAAGAATGTTATGTTTTGATGTATTAATTTCCTCTCATTGTTGTCGCTGTTCTAGAATGCTCGGCAGAATGTTTCGCACTAAGCTTGATCTGGAACTGAAATTACGAAAAGATAGTGGGCCGCCGTTTTTTGACCTCAGGGAATCCATTGCAAACATTATACACGAGCACGTGAAGGAGCCTGAGGTAGGCATGCAGGAAACACATTTTCTCACTCTCGTTTCTGATGCATACATTTAGAAATCAGGGTGTGGTTCACGTCATCCGTCAGTAGCATATTGGATAATCCTATATTCTTCTGAATGACTCCACGGCCTTAGCGAATTGCTATGGAGCAATTAAAAATTTAACATCGACCGTTAAAAAAAAAAAAAACAATCGCGACTTGTTTGCCAGCGTTTTCTTGCACTTTGGAATTGTTGCGTGCGAAAAAAGCGAGCGTTTGACGGTCTAGAATTTGTTTCAACTTCGTTTTGCTTTTTGGCTCTGGACAGTTCGAAAACCTCACACGCGAAGATGAAAGCGAAAAGTTGTGATACTTTTTGGTGTGACATCGAATTTTTTTTCTCTGTAAATCGTGCTTGCGCCTTTGAATTGTGAGGTTTGGAAGTTTGCCTTTTGAGTAACCAAGTTAAACAAGTTAAAGGGTGACCGCACCATTTTTGATGCAATAAAAGGGCTCATTCTTAATGGTCACAATCATTGTTCATTCTAGGGAACAGTTGCTCTGATTATATGTGGGCACATTTTGATGTAATTGTAATGATAGAAAGTTTTCGTTTCACGCCAAAGATTCCCAAGGTACATTACGTTGACGAACGCAGAATCGTCCAAGAACCATATGACTCAGCGGAAGACATGCTGAAGAAGAAAGGCTTCGTTATCAAAGTGGAAAAACTGTTTAAGTGGAAGAATTTACCCGTGGCTAAGGTTTTTTTCTGTGACTGTCAACGGTTTGCGGACCTGATTCGCAAGAATCCAGGAAATACTCAACTATTGGCAGAATACTGCAACCGAATTTTTCGTCATAAAGTCAACAGATTTGTAGCTGACCAAGAGGTAAGAGGTAATTGATGCTGAAGAAACAATTTCTGTGAGGTATTGTATTGTTCCTGTCTTCTGCTGTCTCTTCCATTCCATGTGTAAGGGTAAAAAGGTAATATATATGGCCAACGATTGTTTCGAATTCAAATGGATGGGTACGATGATGATGAATAATGTTAATAATAACGTCAATAATAATAGTAATAATATCGATGATAGTACTTGTAACAAGAATGGTAATGATAACAATATAGAATAAGATAAGAGGATAATGATGATAAAAATAGTGATATAGAATATTATATTAGTATTAAATTTGAAAAGAATTGGAATTAAGGTTTCACGTTTCACACATCGGTGCAGTCTTTTCTTTTAGTTGAAATTATGAAATGGATTATATTATGCCTCATTTTTTTAACAGGAGAAGGTCTTATTTCGTAAAATGATGTACACAAATGCAGCCCGAATTCCTCAAGATGATCACTATGTTGTGTGGAAGAATTCATACATATCCCCGTTGTTTCCGCGAGAAAGCATTAAAAGTGTTCCTAGTAAGTTAACTAATGAGAGAACCCGATTCTCATTATAATGTGTTAAGTACATTCAACCTCGCCAGATGCAAGGCACCAAACGTTATAGGTGTTCTCTACACCACTTTTTCGTGCAAAGGATTCTTGGTATTGGTACAATTTTACTCGACATTGCGGGTAAATACAATACAATGTGCACACCTGTTTTTTTTTTTCAGGTTTTTATAATCAGCTCACAACACATTCAGAGTTTTAAGGATGGAAAAAAATATGTCGAGGATGTTATTGCTAAGTGACACAGCGACCCTAAGATAGGAGGACTGATTTAAACACAAGAGGATTGCGGCTAACGCGCCTGTCAAAAGTGTCAAAGTAGCCGGTGAAAAATCGTCTTGAACGCACCCACGCCAAAATTGATTCGTCCAGTATTAATTAATAAATGATTTCATATCTTCTTAAATAACGCATCTTTACTTTGATTCAGGCAAAAAGAATATAGAGTGTTATTTATTTTTTCGGTATAGCAGCCCTTGGGAAAAGAAAACATGGTATGGAAAGTCCTCTACTTAGTTCTGCGGAACCTGGCCATATGGATGAATCCTCTTCGTTTGAAGGTAGATCCGTTTCTTCTGAACATTCTGAAGGCTTCCTCGACCCATTTCAGGGTTTAGCTTCCCATATGGATCAAGAGTGCGCCTTTTGCCATTCAAAGAGTGGGACTTTAAAACGGTGCCTTGGATGTAAAAAAGTGCTCTATTGTGGTAAAACATGTCAGAAAGGGCACTGGAAGAAACACAAAACTGAATGCAGAGGTAACAGGAAACTTTGAGGAAGTGTGTGAGTCTTCCCCTTACAGTCCATGAAGACGATCACAAACAATTACACAGCTAAAAAGCTATTTCACTCGCGTTAAAAGATTCCATTACTCGAAACGGAAAAAACGGAAAAATTGATTGCAGGAATAAACATCCCATTCATAAGTTGTGTCTACTTCTGACAGATCGCTTCTCTTATTTGCTTCTTTTGTATTAAATTTTTGCATTAGTTTGTATTTTTCATTTTTGCATTTGTTTTCTTCTCTAACCTAATTTTGCTCGAATGCTCGAGTAGTGTGAGGATTTTTCGGTAGCTGGGTGTAAATATGTCATTTTTTAATAATGTGTCAAAAGTAATCCAGGATTGCTTTGGTTTTACTGTACTTCGTTATGTGATTGGTCCAGAGAACTCGCACCACTTTCTCAACCAATCAGATTCAAAACTAAATCCAATCGCGACTTAGTCCCAGGCGTTTTTCGCTTCTTTTTACTGCGACTTCTCATTGGTTCCTCGTGATATTTTTCTAGCTGTTGTGATTGCCATGGGTGAGGTGTTACCACACTATTCAAAATCGCTCTAAATATACAGTTATAGTAAAAGTTTCCACAGTGTCTTCGAAATAAATTGTAAACTCTTAATTAGGGTAGTATACCATACTACAAGATATTCATAGTGTCCTCGCAGGCCACATTTCAAGAGCTTTCAAAAATCATTTTTTCTGTCCGTATTTTTTTATTATTAATAAAATAAAAATAGTAGCAATAACAGTGATAGCACAAGCATAAAATGTAACTTTTCAGAATCAAAATAAAGACAAGAATCAACAACATGCATGAATGTTTGGTCTAAATCTGAAAATGAAGTATCACTCCTCCATGTCGTGTTCCCGAGCATCTTAAATTTCAGTTATCATTTTGCAATCTTGAGACGCATCCTTCTGACAGTTTCGAGAAAAATCATCCTTAATGAATATGATAAGAAAAATAGTAGGTTTTAAGCTCGCTAAATAAATAGAGAAATATTTTTTTTATCGTCTCGTCACGAGCGTGGGACAATGCAAAATTTCTGAGTTCCTATGAGGAATCGAACCTCAGACCTTTAGATTCCTCTCTCCGATGCTCTACCACTGAGTTATAGACTTTATGGCGAGCAAGGTCATTGCGAAGTTCATATATGACACGCGTCCTGCGTAATGCTGAGATCAGCAATGTCGATAGCGCCATGTACTTGCCTTCGTTGTAATTGTTTGTAGACGTCCGCGAGGCGGACATCTATCAGAGGCCATTTACTTCTGAATTAAACCTCGATACAAACAGTCACGGCCACCTAAACTATACGGCTTACCGAAGACCTCATTAGGCTGATGTACCTTAAGATCGATTGTGTCATGCGTAAACACCTATGTACATGATATGTTATCCTATTTAGCCAACATCTTATGGGTGTAGGTGAGGTGTTATGTGAGGAAGCTCCATTCAATAAATCTCTCGTTGTGTGAGGGAAAACAAACAATTTCAGTACAACAGTACAACGTCATAAAATAAATCTGTATTGCATGGATAAATATCTAACAATAATCTTTGCGTTTCGATGAAACTTTTTCAATAGGGTTCGTTTCAAACGAATGTGCACTATCTATCTACAACCTATTTAAACGGTGTTATTCATTCTGCTACTTCTTACAATCTTCTATTGATTTGTCCTGTCTGTAATCCTAAACATAAATTAAGTTAACTTCTGTCACGAAGCAATTCTTTCTTGAGACACTGCGTGAGGGCTATAATGGATAATTTTCAATAAGCGTAAATCTCCATTTTCACCACAGAAAAAGATTCTTATTAATTAAGGTAGAATCTGGTCTTTCCTGCACGTCTTCATAAGTTTTTTTTCATAGAAGTCGTTTAAATATAAAGCTATATCCTTTACAAGGCAATTAACAACACACATTTTTGATGATTGATAGTTATCAATAATTTCTTTCCCGAAAAGAGAGAAAAGTTTGAAAGCAACTTTTCTCAAATTGATTCAGAAACTTCTCATCGCTCTAAAACGGCGTCACTTTCTCCCCTTGTAATAATTTTTTTGTTGATGATTATCTTATCGACACTATTTACGATATTTTTCGATTTAAGATAAATTATAATCGTCATACTGTTTCTGAAACTACGAAATTGTAGTCAATGTTATGCACACCTATCTGTCTTTACTCGATACAAGTCACAAAGCCAAATTTATAACACCGTAATTGAAAAAGACTCTGTAACGCACGAACAACAAAACGAAGACTTTAGGGAGGAAAGACTTTTTCTTTATTATTTTCTTGTTTTACCTCGTATCAAGTTGCTTGAACTTATGTTGAGGTGTAATGCACATATTTTTTGCATGATTGCACCACATAAACGTCTGTTAAAAGATATCGAGTCGGTTTGTAAAAGTGAGTACAAACTTCGTCTTATGGATGAATGTTTCCTAACAGGATAGGTCAGAATAACTTAAGCCTTTACACACTGACTTTTATTTCATTATGCTGTTCTCGAGTACACTGCTGGTTAAATTTGATCCATTTTCTCTCTCTTTTGCGTCTGTGGTTCTTTCAGCTTCTCTGAGCCACATATTATTCACCTATGTTATTACACCTGCACTTCGATCACGTGTACCACGTGACTCTCCCACCACCACTGAAACCGTAACTCAAGGCGTTCCCCGTTGGTGAGGAACGAACGTCAGGTAAAACAAACCAGTTATCTTTGGATGCACATGATGCCAGGTTTAAAAGAACGTTTTTATGTATGCGGTCTTGCATTCGCTGACGTCGAATCGAAAAGTCTTTTATTGTGAAAAGTCCTTTTACAGCTTGCCACACAAACTGCCACACAGTCCCTTGGCTGACTCAAAGGTGGTGCTTGGTGCCATTCGTTTGATAAAGGGTCGTATCTAACAGCATGTAAAGAAGATGTGGAGTTTTAGTTTAACAAGAGCAAACAAGAGAGTGAAATGTACGTTATCAGGATTCTCGTCCTGTCCCGTTTTGATCGTCTGATACGATGCAACATTTCCAATAGCAAGTAAAAAAAATCGATCATTGTTGCTTTTCTTTATTTGGAAAATGCAATACCATGTGACCAATAGACTAAGAGCCATAAGATTCTAAACTTACTGTGTGGATATGTTTGCTTTCACTAAATCAGGGCTTCATTGAGACTGGGATAACTGATGCTATTTGGCGAAATAGAGCAAGAGCTAAGCGTGATAATTATCTCTATGCGTGGCTACTACCTTTATGAATGGATTTGTAACCAACTATCAACGCTTTACATTTTCACTTCCGAACGGACTTCGCCTGGCTTTATTCAAATCATCCGTGCTTGCCGTCAAGAAGTTTTATGTTATAGATCAAAAAATCAATTAATTGTTCAACAAGTCTTACTCAAACAAACTTACCTCTCAACTGAACTAAGATACGAAGTCACATTGTATCGTCCAACCACATACTCATGCGTGCCACAGGCAACCACTCAGCCTTGCCAGGATCGTACTCTTTACTGTGTCATACCTGTGACCGTGATCATAACCTCCGATGGCGTAAAGGTACCCTGTTAAAGTAGCCACTCCTACTTGTTTCCTAAAGAAAAGATACGAGATGCACTTTAATGTTTTCATAAGTAACTCGATAATATTTATGCGAGGACTGATAAGGAAAAGGTTTACACGCTGTATCTTTACCAAGTACTGCCAACTACAATCCTTTCCTTATGGTATTGAAACTTTCTTCCTAGAATGTGGCTTCGAGAATCTCGGAAGGGGGTTGGGATTCCAGGGCGAGGAGGGGGAATATCCCAGCATGTAATGATTGAAATAATGCCACTTGGCAACACTTACTTATAGAAGTGTTAGCTATGCCGCACAAGGATCCTCACTCTTCAATCTACTGCATGAAACCTCCATTGTGATTGAGCATACTGAGCAGCGCCTTCATGTGGTATTGTTTGTCAAGCTCTCAAGAGTTAAAAAAATCTCTCTACTTCATCATGAAATTTTTTATACGCAGTTTTTTTCCCTTTTTTTCAAACATTGTGGCATGATATAGTGACTTATTCTGATGAATAAAACAACTAAGTCGACTCATCAATAAGAAGGTCATTGAGCATTTTTTCACGTAATACCGAATATGTCCACTCTATGTAACAATCAGCAACATGTAAATGTTAGAATTTTTATATACTGCCACTGTATTCAAATCTAATACACTGGGAAATTGTCCCTCATGCGAAATACAGTTTTGCGAACGAAACGGACGAGTTAATAGTAGTGCGGCCGTCTTATGTCATGTTGAAATTGCATTTTTTTATGGAATACGTCGAAATACGTTCCTGGCAAGAATCAGTTTGAAATTCTTTGCAAAATGATCGTAACAAAAGAAGGAAAATTCTGCAAATACTATGCGCGTTGGTCTGGGTTCGACAAAAACAAAATGCGACTTAGTGTTAAAAAGTAGAAAAAAAATGGAATAGATGTGTAAAAACAGCAAATATAGATCAAATAAAAAATACAAACTGAGTTTGAATGTCTCACTGAAAAATTCCTTGTTAGATAACTTTCAAGGATAGAATAAATCCATACAGCCAATCTTACTTCCGGTTACTTCCGGTACTGTTTTCGTGGAACCCAAGTCTCTCTCGAGCTAGATTCTCAGAGTTAGTCTCGTTTCGGTGATTCTCAGAATTAGAATTAGGAAAAATTATTTTACAACACTAAGAGACAACATTTGTCGCAGTTTATCTTGCATCGCTCACCATCAACATGACAAAATACGACAAGCAAGGTGTTCCTAAATTAAGTTTTCATAATCCAATGGGAATAACACTCTACCCGAAGGGTTTGTACACGTACGCAATGGGAAACACTCCAGCCCGAGATATCACTGAACTGTTGGGCACATCGAACGACAAACAGGTAGACGTATTGCTTCTAGCATGCGGTGATGTTGGAAATTTTTTATGCAGTTTGTCTGAACTAACCCTAAGAAAACCGCACGAGCGTCCGAAGAGTTTAAGTTTCCATTTGAATGATTATGATCCGTCAGTGATTGCTCGCGATGCAATTCTACTAGAAGTTGCTAGTGTGATAAATCCTGATGTCCCTGCTGATGTAGACTTCTTGTAGAACATTTGGTATAACCTTGCGTTGTCAGTGGCCGACTTTGATCGACTGCGAAAAGTACTCACTGAACTGTTGGAGAGGGATTTTGACAGCGACGAAAGTATCTTAAAGTTTCAAGATAACAGCGTTCTGCAGGAATGTCGGGATATATGGAAAGACTGGAGACATCTCGACCTCGAAGTGAAAAGTGTTAAAGAGGAAAGAAACAACCTGTTAGAGGACACGAAAAGAAGTAAACGGTTCTGTGAGGATTCTCAGTGCCGGTCTATACTAACTCATATGGTAATGGAGATCTATGAAGAGAAACTAGACAATTTTGTGAAGCCTGCCGCAACAATTCCACTCTACACGGAAATACAACACTGGTATAGAGAAGGTTCCACGAATGATGAGTCGGAGAAAACAAATCCAACTTTGATTCGTCCATTTGTTCACAAGTGGAGACAGCATTATGGTTCGTGTGCGTTTGTGGGTTATCCACCATTGGAAAGGTAAATAACTATAGGACCTTCTTTTCTCATTGAAATAAGCCAAATGTATGTTAATGCTCAACCAACTGCACCATTCACTGTTAATCTTCCGCTCGGAGTATTGACGCCAAACAATGCTCCGTCAACGATTCCCGCGGACATTTTGAGTTTCGTATTTATTTAAATCTATTTTCCTCCACGAGTGCAATGTGAATCATTTTATAGACTGATTCGCGACTGAATTCAATTCTGGGTTTTAAAACTTAATTTGAAAGGCCTGTCTCCAAACACGTTGACTTTAAGCTCTTTTGAGTGTCCGTCAAATATATAGTGTTTCACGATTTCATTTGAGCAGGTGGTAAAATTGCAAATGAGCCAATGTATAGATTATATATCTATTGAAATCGAGGTAATTTACTGCTGCGGAAACCTGCATATCAATTTAAGCTTTGGTGTACCTATTTGGTGAAACCATCTGCTTGTCTGTGATCTTTTTTACGCGTTCTTGATTTTTGTCATCCATTTGACAACTAGACAAATTTTTAACATGGAAACGAAGCATTGCGTTCTTTGAATTAGGTGACTCGTGAAAATTGAACTCCAAATTAGTAATGATAATAGACATTGGTAAGTATAAACCCACATTATACATAATTCATCAATAAAGGCAGTAACTTTCTAAAAAGCTTTCTTGTTGTGTTGGTAGGGAGTATAACAAGTTAATTTGACTTTATCAACGGAGTTAATAGTGTAACTTGGCCAACGTAAAAAGCTTCTAAAGCTGCCATTCGTACTCATTTATGAAATTGCAAGAAAAAGTTTTTTCTCTTATAGGAAAGACCTCGAACAAGGTAAATCAAGTGCAGATGTTTGCAAGGAAAAGCTGGCAGTGTGGGTGAAAAGATATCAGGAGCAAAATAAGAATAACAAAGCAACTTTGAAGGTGAATTGCGTTTTCGCAGATACGCCAATAAGCTCATAACTAAGTAAGCTTGGAGAATGGTACGTTGTGATTAGCTAAATCAATGAATATGAACGGAGTGCAACTCACTTGACGTTTTTCTAACAATCATTGCCCGAGGTTAATGGTCGTTTTCTCATTCTTTGCTAAAGACGCTTGCAACAGTGTGGCCAAGTCACGGGTGCGACACAGTCTGAAACACAATGGCTAATGCAACTGGAAAAGACGTTCACTTGACGATCGCAGACAAAAAAATGACGCGGTCGATATTAGGAAATACTTCATAACAGTCCCCACCTATTTTTTGTCTGATATATTCCGAGGTAGACGCCCTCTTGTTTTCAAATCTAGCCCAGGTGGCTTGGAACAATTTTTTTCTATATTTTGTTAATTCATCTAATTTCTTACTTTGCGGAACATTTTTATATACTTTTTATATACTGGTTTGTATTGAACATTGCGTTTGCATGTGCGTTGCCCCGGCCGGAATGCCTAAAGAACTGCATAGCGGTATAGCGGCATAGCGGCATAGCACCACTTGTTCCAGATCTCTTAGGCTCTAAGTGAACTCTTTCACTCTATAGGTCGTACTATCAAATGGCCTTCTAGAGGCCTTAACCTAATGGTTCGTTCCTTATCTAGCTCGCTGTATACGCTTTCAAGATCCATTAAGTTCTCTATTGCGTGTGATACCTCGCATTGCTGACCAAATACCTGTAGCTGATGGATCCAGCCAACATTTACCTTTTAATTTAATAAATATTCCGAAAGTATTTTACAGTCTCGCGAGAGTCAAGTGAACACTCTGGATGAGCTATAGATGGCTAGCTGTTGCCGTATATTGTATGTTAATAATGTCAAAGTTTCATTTGCTGCAATTGGAGCACTCGGAGTGCTTTTTTCAGAGTGAGTGTGTGTCCTTCACTGACAAACATCATCTTTTACCTACTCTTGTTTTGTAGGTTACCCTGTGGACCGGCGATGCCCTCGCTTTGTGTACGATTTGCTTTCCTCCAGAGATGTTATTCGACGTTATCGATACAAGTAATCTCAGCGATCACACTGGTTTGTTGAATGTCCTTGTCTGCTGTGGCCCGAGGTTAAAAGTGTAAGTCATCTTGTCAGTCCTCATTAACTTTTGACCTTTTTTCGGATTTTTGAGGAGAACTACTTTAATTCTTGTTATCCAAGAGGTCATGATGGGACAGTGAGGAGAATTCAGGGCCTTGGCTAGGATATGTCTATTTAAATAAAGTTATTTTTAGCTTGGTGTGTAAAGCATTGCAGTCTCTTAGTGTAGTTTCTTATTGCCAAAGTCAGTTTTATATTAATGAAAAGAACAAATCTCATCGCTGTTCCCCAAAACATCAACCTTACTCACAAGTGACCAAGGCACACTGAAAGAGGAGGATTTGTTTCATTTTTCGTGAGCAAAAGGCAATATGCGAACCAAACAGCGACCAGAACCCTCCTTCGCTTTCCCCTTATGAAAAAACAAACAAAAAAAACAAGCAAAGCAAAAACAAAAAAGTAAAATGTCCAGTGCGTAGAGACAGTAAACTAAAGTCCTGGTGCGTATTGGATGTTTTAGCATTGCGTCTTCTTTCTAAAGTGAGGTTTAGGAGGAGTAAGCAATTCATTCGAACTGTACATAAGAGTTAAAAGCATTATCAGCGAGATTTGCGACCTCCAGAAGTAGAAAAATAAGTCCCCATTAGATTGATCCGAAGTCAGTTCATGACAGCGTATGGATTAACTAGTTTATAATTGGAAATGCTGATACACAAGGGGTATTTGGACATCTTGGTAATTTCTGTTTTCTTTATTTTTATATTTAAATCAGGCCAACTGCTTCTCTGTTGTTCACATCAAGCATGTTATGGTGCGGAGAATGTGACAGTATAGAGGAGTATTACAACAAATGTGTTGGTGTCCCGTTGCAACTTCTCCCAACAGTTCTTGGCTTGAAGCTGGCTGTTGATCTGGAATTGGGAAGCAAGTATGCTAAGCCGATGAAATGAATTAAACATAACAGTTGTGGACTAGGACTAGTTGTGCGGTCACGTTTATTACAAGTCATTGCTGGCCTGGTTTGACCGTGGCAGCCTTGAAACCATCCTTAAAAACATTTAAGGCACAACATATGGTCGTTTTAATTTTTGTCAACGGTAGGGTGGGGGAGGCAAGGGGGGAGGGGAATAGAATTAGAGCGTCTCAGCTCAAATCCTGGTAAACACTTCCTAGTATCAAACATTGTATCCTTTCATATAACATCGATGCAGTTTTCCTCAATTTGCAGTTTTCAATACCCAAACAAAAGAATGATTGCTATGATTTTTTGTTACGCAGAGTATTAATAGAGAATCAAATTTAATGTTAGGAGGCCCATTGAGTGTCCTTTAACCTATGACAAGCAATTTTCATAAGGGTGGATCTTCAAATTTAAATGCACGCCAATCCACTTGTAAATCTTCAGTTAGCTCGCATGCAGCAGGGATTAAGGTCTATGACTGAGGCTTCCGTTTTACCACGTGGTATTAATGTTTGTTTGTTTTTCTTGTTGTTTTCTTTTGCTTTGTTATGTTTGGTGTAGAAAACTTCCGGACCACTTGGAATCTACAGAAGAGACTCTTTGCTGGGTCAAGGCGGACCTTAAAAGGACTTTACTGACAATAGGTTAGTTATGGCGTACTGGAGCCAAATTTTTAGCCAGCTCCTATCATACTGAACAAGTGTCCCATCTTTGCTGGGGAATTACCACTCAAAACTGCTAAGAGAAGGGTGGAAGGCGGAGAAGGAGGGGAAAGTGGGAGGGGGGACTTGTGGTTGGATGGGAGTCCTAACAAGAAAGAACGGAGATACTGAGTCGCCTCGCTAAAAGAGCCACGACAAGTTCCGGTCTGTCTGCAGATGCATGTTACTGTAGCAAGTTAACCTCACCTTGTGACAACTGTAACTTTATAAATACCTCTTGCAATTTCAGCTAAAACCACTGATGTTGTCCAGGCGTTACTGAGTCTCACAGAGCGTTGCTTCAACCTAACGAACGAGGTGATTCATTACATCGGCGTCACTTCACCTTCGCCTTTGACCATGCTTCGAATTATTCATCAGGCACAACAACTCTTCAAGGAAGGAGGTCATATCAATTTTTTAGTTAGCTGTTAGCCTGCAGCGTATGCGTATTCACGGCGTTCGAGCACTGAAAACACAGATCGAAACCCTAGGAAACTACCACGAGTTCCAATTCTCAATCTGGTTCTCTTAATTTTTCGCAATGTTGGCATACCAAATGTAACGCTCGCCCTGTAAGAAATATATTCGCTCGCCTTGTAAGAAATATATTCAGTATGGAGAACCAATTATTCCATGATCATTTCATATAATCATTATAATCACTTCTTTCATCATTATCATAATTGTAAACAACAGTGCCTGAGTTTGTAATGTTCAGTTTCGCTGAGCCCTGCTAAAAAAATATATATTCTCCATTAATGAAATCATTATACCTTCAGGCAAAGTCAAGCCAATTTTAATTAAATTTGCCTGGGCAATTACCGAAATTAATCAATTGAAGGGCCTGGTAACAACCTATGTCCTTCCTCAAGCTATGGGCTATTCCTAATAATTATATTACACTTTGTGTTTGGCTCGTTAATATTGATTTTACTAATAACCAGGAAGGGAAGATAAAGTGCCCCCGCATCTTATCTACACTTGTCTTAATAGCAGAAATTGGACAGAAGAAATCTAAAGAAATATTGACGAGTAGTTTGGGTTGGTTATTTGCGTTTTAGCCGCCGAGATATTTGATATTCTTGAAGATGAGCTACCAGCTGACTTTAAGAGGAGGTACCGACTATCTTGGAATTTGTTAAAGGCATCGTTGGGGAGAACACCAGGTAAGGACATGGTGAAGGTTTAGTTACGAACCATCATTATTACAAGCAGCAATATCTCCTCTGCTGTATCTATGCCTTGCAAAGAAAACTATGCGATCTACTCGAAATACCCGGATCTAATCGAAACAGTCACTATCAACTAATCTATTTGGTGATTTTCTAAGATCCAGATCTAGAGCAGGAGCTGTTGGTGAAACCCGATGTGGTTTTTCTGGGGTAGCCAGGTTATCAAGTTATTTCCAAATGGCGGCGTCCACAGTCAAATTTTTAGCCCGTATAAGTAAAAAATTTAAAACTATTAGATTACTCTATAGCATCTTAACCCGCGCTAACTCGTGGATTTTTATACAGATATGCTTTTTAATGACGGAGATGTAATTAATATAGTTTCTAGAGTATACCTCTCTTTCACAGAACTTGCAGTAAATAAATCTCCAACAGCACACACTAGGAGCTAAACAAATTCTAGAGAGCCTATTGTTTCAACTAAATAAATCATTTTATTCTTCTACCACTACAGAGCCCATTGTTGAAATAAAAGTTAACATCAAGATTGCAGTCGTGCCTCGGTATAAGGGAACACCAAAGCCGATGATTTACATTAGGAGGGATAGCAGCAGTGATCAGGAAGCTCCCTTACAAGTGAGAAAATAAAATAACTCTGTTTACTCATAAGCTCTTAATACGTATACCTTTCCTCTCGCAAATAATAAAGGAAAACGCTCGAAAATTTAACGATAAGAATATGCGCACATTATACGCACAATTACTTATTTGTTGATTACTTTCTGTATTCATGTATGTATTCATTCATTTCATCTTTCTATTCACATGGTCCCTCGCCTCGCAGCCTTCAGAAATTCCCAACAGCTTACGATATGATGATAAAACCCAAGTGGTGACTTTCCATCTACGCGAAGAAGACTGGAATGAGCTTCACTGTTCATCCAAGATATGGATATCATCCAGAGAATTAACAAAGGTCATAACTTGTGAGCCAGTGAGTCTAGCAGACGAGACTGTGAAGAGTGTTCAACGGGTTGATCCTGTGGAAACATTTGGTTTGTTTGCAAGACAGACATTCACCGTAATGGAATCCAATGAAAAATGCCAAGTACTCAAGGTAAAAGGTGCATTGCATATTGTTAACTTATTAACAATTCTTGACTTGGCGTCCATAGGATGCTCATTTGCGCACTTGCACTATAGCTACAGTAAAGAGCAATAAGATCGCCAAAGCCAGTACATCTTCCAGAGGCCAGTTCCGCAATAAACGTGTGAGAATTTTGGACACCAGAACTGAAAGCAGGAGTACAAAATGGAATTTTTTAAAAAAATTTTGTCGTCGTAGCGAATTACAAGTATACTAGATAAGCACATAATTCGCTGCATAAAAATCCGCCTTAAACCAGTTGTTGATCTCGTCAACGTGCGATGAAAACTGGTAGTATTAAGGTGGTATCCGATTAAAACGTCTCAATAGAACCCCTTGACCATGTACGTTTAATCTAGTCGTTTCGTAAAGGTAATCACATGATTTCGAGTGCAATTTGGAATAAATAAGCACGAGCAAATTTTTGAAAAGACTAATTAAATTGCACGAGCCCGTAGGGCGAGTGCAATTTGTGGTCTTTGAAAAAATTAACACGTCCAAATTGCACGAGAAAAATCATGTGATTACGTGTTAAAAGTATACATAAAAAATACGAGATGACTTATCATAATTAAGCAGAAGCAAAGCGCGCGCATCAAGTGCAGAAATAATTTATTCAAATCGTGCGTTCGGTCAAAACAACCGCTTACGATCAAAACAATAATATGCAATGATATCTTCACATCTTTTAAGCGCAAAAAAGTTCAAAGTCCAGCTAAACAGTTCAAGGAATTGTTCGGTCTGTGTCCGTATCACTGTCGATGAAATGGAATCGTCGTTTCCGAGGTTTAACCATGTTTGTTTTTAATTTCGGATCGCCCCTGGGTCGGCTCGTAATTTTCGATTTCCTTGGCAATTCCCTTCTTTAAACACCACTTTTTCCAACCGACAACCAAAAAGTACTGCTTTTTACAGTGGTTTTGGTGTTTGAGCTGTTTTTCAGCTGCGGTGGTGAAAGAAAACCTACTTAAAACGTCGGCCATTGTTTCGCTCGCAAATTTTCAACTTTCAAATTTTGTTGCAACATCCAAGGCTCGCATTTGATTGGCTATCTGTGAGTTTCTTTTATTATTGACCAATCAGAATGTCTGACTTGTTATTCTCTTTGCACTGAATTAATCCTCTTCTGCACTGAATTAACCCTCTTCTGCACTGAGTTACCTGAAAACTACATTTATCTTAACCAATCGGAACTGAGTAATTTTTCCATGTTTATTATTATGTATGTACTATCTTATTTCATTGTCTTCTCGTTTTTTTGATAGGTAATAAAAGTTGAGGAGAGCATACATTCTTATTCTGCTGAACTTGAGATACTAGACTTCGCCACCTGCAAGGCGAAGGCAATGAAGGTCAGCCAACCAGATGAGTCTCCAACCGTAGTCCAAATAGACTTCGAGGGGGCTACAGGGTAGGTAGCACTAACTTCAGCAGTGATCATCAAGCACCACTATGTTATGAGTATGTTGCGGTGTTATGAGATTCGGAAAATTTTTACTGAATAGCTTAAGCTTTTTATTGATTAAAAAAGATTTACTGATAACTCTAAATTATTGATTTAAAAAAATGCTCTAAATGATCTTCTCGTTTGCCAGAGAAGTCACGAGCTATGCACAGATGTCGAAAGGCGGAGAGTTTGGAATGTGAAAAATTCATTTTCAAATTGCAAAGTCAAATACAAATGCAGGGGTGTGTATGTATCGTTAGCTAAAAGAAATTAAGATTCTTTTATTAACACACGTTATTGTGAAATTTCGTACCAAGCCATTTCAGTGTCCTGTCAGCGTCAATGAACTAAAAGACGCCCAATTCAGCTGAATAAAATTTTAAAAGCAAAGAAACTAGCCCTGCTAAAAAAAATATATATTCACCATTAATGAAATCATTATACCTTCAGGCAAAGTCAAGCCAATTTTAATTAAATTTGCCTGGGCAATTACCGAAATTAATCAATGATACCCCCTGTATCAGCCAATCAGCATTTATAAGTTTGCCCTCAAGGTCAAAAATTTAGTTATCATAGAAACTGCGGTGTTTTACAAGGATTTCAAGCCCTGAGAAAAGCCGTAATAACACACGTGAAAGAATACGAACATTTTGTGCGTATGTGATATCGCCAATCAGCTTCTGCCACGTCACTCGCCTTTCGCGCCACTTTATCAAGTCTTCACCACTCTCACTCCAAGGTAGTTTGTCGAAATTTTCTCGAATTTTGGCAGCTAAAACACTGAAAAATTCGTATCGTTTACTGACTGTGACGTTCAAAATTTCCTAAAAGGGGAAGAGAACCAAAATACGGAAAGAAAAATCGAAAGTTACGTATTCAGTGGCTTTGATAGTGGCATTTCTCGCGTCTGAGCACGAAAATCCACAACTGAAAGATTTTCCACAGTACCTGAAAATATATTTTCTGTCGGTAAGGAAAAAGTGACTTACTGAGAAATTTTTTTGGTATGAAAGTTACGCCCATTGTTTTTTTGTTTGTTTGCTTGTTTGTTTGTTTGTTTGTTATTTGTCTGTTTGTTTTTTTGTTTGTTTGTTTTTTGTAGTGATTTGAGGCATTTTTCCATCTTGGACCTTAGCGAATTTTTTGGAGATTATCGATCTTATTCTTTTTTAATTTATATGTACACTCGACTTTTCTTGTTACGAAAGGGCTAGTGTGTTTGTAGGATAAAAAAAATAATGCATGGTTGCTTGTAGATATGGAATTCCTCTTCTCGTGTTCAACTCCATAGCTTACAAGTGAGATATCGAGCTGAGCTGAATTTCTCTATTCACGCCCATGCATTTTTCTCTATTTATCTTGTTGTTTTTTTATCATTATTTTTTTTTCACAGTGACCCACTCAGCATATATTTTTCATGCTTTGTCGACATCAACTCATCCAAGTTCCAAATTTCAGGCAAAGTCGGGAAAGTATTTTGTAACATTTCTAAGCGAAGCGATGGAACAGTGGGAGAACTTGTAATACGAAACTTAGCTTCATTGCCTCTCCATGCTATGCAAGGGTGGGATAGTCAACTTACTGATATAGGGTATGTACAAAATGGGATCAGCCAGGATTTTTCATAAGAGAACAAAACTGAAATATAACCAAGAAGTACTATGCTTCTTGTGATTCTGGACAATATTTAAGGGAGGGATAAAATCAATGAGTTGGATCTTTAAGCAATAGACCGCACTCTTTTATCGGTTTACCGCCGTAATAACCTAAGCAAGACGGTGAGAGAAGACTGAAAAAGTCTGTAAATCATGAGCTGGAGGCAAACATTAATCCTTCTGCAGGACAGGTTTGCATTGGTGATGATACCTTTATCTGGTATTAAAGAAAAGATGTATGTAAGTTAACTGTAGGCGCTGTCCTCCTTTAAATTCCCTCTAAAGCTTCAGGTCATTTATAATAATGTTACGTTTTGATGTATTAATTTTTTTATTGTAATAGCTGTTCTACAATGCTTGGCAAAATGTTTCGCACTAAGCTTGATCGGGAACTGAAATTACGAAGAGATGGTGGTCCGCCGTTTTTTGACCTCAGGGAATCCATTGCAGACATTATACATCATCATGTGAAGGAGCCTGAGGTAGGCCTGCAGGAACACATTTTTTCACGTGCATTTCCAATGCATACACTTAGTAATCAGAAAGTGGTTCACGTCTTCCTTTAGTAGCATATTGGACCAAGCGGATTACTATAGAGCAACCAAGAACTTAAAATCGTAACCGGAGATTGCATTGGTTTTGCCTAGCTTTGCTCAGTGATTGGTCCAAAAAACTTGGGCTATTCTCCTAATGAATCAGATGCAAAACGGAAACTTATTGCGACTTGTTTGCCCGAGTTTTCTTGCACTTTGGGCACTTCACTTGGTTTTAATTTAGGTTCTCAGAGGTTCTGAAGGGTATTTCCTTTCCTCTGATTGGTCTTTGTGAGTACGTTGGTTTTGGTATTACAACACTGACTTAATTGTAAGTCGATATAAAAGGGGATTCTGTCACATATTATATATTCTGGGGAACAATTGCTCCGATTATATGTGAGCTAATTTGATATAATTGTAATGATAGAAAGTTTCCGTTTAACGTCAAAGATTGCCAAAGTACATTATGTTGACGAACGAGGAATCATCGAAGAACCATATGACTCAGCGGAGGACATGCTTAAGAAGAAAGGTTTCGTTATCAAAGTGGAAAAACTGTTCAAGTGGAAGAATTTACCTTTGGCTAAGGTTTTTTTCTGTGATTGTCAGCGGTTTGCGGACCTGATTCGCAAGAATCCGGGAAATACTCAACTATTGGCAGAATACTTCAACCGAATTTTCCTTCACAAAGTCAACAGACTGGTAGCTGGCCAAGAGGTAAGAGGAAGTTGATATTGACGAAACAATTTTTGTGAGGTATAGTATGACTCCTGTCTTCTGCTGTCTCTTCCATTATATTTGTAAGGGCAAAAAAGGAATAACGTGGTCAGTGATTGTTTCGAACTCAAATTGATGGGTACACTTATGTTGAAAATAATGATAGTAAAAATACTGATAATAGTAATTGTAACGAGAATGGTAATGATAACCATAAAGAATAAGATAAGAAGGACGATGATGATAAAGATATTGATATAGAATATTATAATAGTATTAAATTTAAAAATAATTGAAATTAAGGTCATACGTCGTCCTTCTTACACATCGGTACAGTTTTTCTTAGTTGAAATTATGAATTGGATTATGTCATGCCTCGTTATTTTAACAGGAGAAGGTCTTATTCCGTAAAATGATGTACACAAATGCAGCCCGAGTTCCTCAAGATGGTGGCTATGCTGTGTGGAAGAATTCTTACATATCCCTGTTGTTTCCACGAGAAAGCATCAAAAGTATGGCTGGTAAGTTACCTAGTGAGAGAATCCGACTCTCGTTATAATGTGTTGAGTACATTCAACAACTTTTCCACGCAAAGGACTCTGGGTATCGGTACAATTTTACTCGACATTGCGGGTACTCAAAACAGTGTGCACACCTGTTTTTTTTTTCCAGGTTTTTCTAATTGGCTCTCAACATATTCAGAGGTTAAGGGAGGAAAATAAATATTTTGAGGATTATATTGTGAAGTGACACAGCGACCCTAAGATATGAGGAATGATTTAAATACAAGTGGATTGCAGCTTACGCGCGTGTCAAAAGTGTCAAGATAGCCGAGAGAAGTCGTGATGAGCGCTCGCCTCAAAATTTATTCGTCCAAAATTAATCAATGATTGATTTCATATCTTCTTTAGTAACGCATCTATACTTTGGTCTAGGCAAAAAGAATATAGATTATAATTTTTTTATAGCAGCTCTTGCTATGGAAAGTCCTCTACTTAGTTCTGCTGAACCTGACCATATGGATGAATCCTCTTCGTTTGAAGGTAGATCCGTTTCTTCTGAACATTCTGCAGGCTTCCTCGACCCATTTCAGGGTTTAGCTTCCCATATGGATCAAGAGTGCGCCTTTTGCCATTCAAAGAGCGAGACTTTAAAACGGTGCCTTGGATGTAAAAATGTGCTCTATTGTGGTAAAACATGCCAGAAAGAGCACTGGAAGAAACACAAAACTGAATGCAGAGGTAACAGGAAACTTTGAGGAAGTGTGCCAGTCTTCTCCGTGCAGTCCATGAAGACGATCAGAAACAATTACACAGCTAAAGAGTTATTTTACTGCCATCACTTGAAACGGAAACATTTATTGCAGGAATGAACATCCCTTTCATAAGTTGTGCCTATTTCTGACAGATCGTTTTTCTTATTTCAATTTTTTGTTTTTATTAAATTTATACATTATTTGTATTTTTCCATTTGTTTTTTTTCTCTATTCCAATTTTTCTCGGGCGCTCGAGTAGTGTGAGGATCTTTCGGTAGCTGGGTGTAAATATGTAATTTTCTAATATAGAAATTTCCAATTGAGTGTCAAAATCATCCAGGACTGCCTTGGTTTTACTTTACTTCGTTAAGTGATTGATCCAGAGAACTCGCACTACTTTCTCAACCAATCGAATTCAAACTAACTTGATCCCAGGCGTTTTCCAGTACTTTAGACAGTTAGCTTCTTGTTACTTCGACCTCTCATTGGCTCCTCGTAATATTTTTCTTACTATGGTTAGCTGTTGTGATTACTTTGGGTAAGGAGTTTCCACAATATATTGAAAATTGCTCTAAACTACAAACATAGTAAAATTTTCTACAGTGTTTTTGAAATCAAACGTAATTGTGTTCTTTTAGTTAGTGTAGTATAGCATATTATAAGATATTAATTACTAATGTCTTCTCTAGGCAACGTCTCAAGAGCTTTTAAAGATCATTTTCCTCTTTCTTCTTCAATTCATTATTAATGAAATAAACATAGTAGCAGTAATAGTATTAGCATACGCGTGAAAAGTAATTTTTCAGAATCAAAATAAATATAAGAATCAACAACTCGCGTGGGTGTACAGTCTACAACTGAAAATGAAAACAGGAAAAAGCAGCTCCCAGTTGCTAAGTGTCACTCCTCGAGGTCGTGTTCCCAGGCAACTTAAATTTCAGTTATCAGTTTGTAATCTTAAAACGCATCCGTTTCTACCTATACCTGACAGATTTGATTAAAATTATCCTTAGTCGTGCCTTCGCCACAATTATTTTTATGGGTTGAGGGGAGGGGCTGCAATCGAGGTTTAGAACACTTTCGAAATTCAAAAACCTGATTTATTCCTAACAGACCCATAACTAAGTATTTAGTACGCACATTTTGCAAGTATTTTAAAAGGTGTTCTAAAGACTCCCGATTAGAATTGTGCGTAGTATTCTACATTGTCATTGGTGTGAATAACATCCCCCCTCCACTTAAAGAAAAAGAGTGTTAAATTTGCTCGTTCCACCCCTTTTTTGTCAACGCTGGACTGGTAACCCTCTGTTTCCAACCCCTCTGAAGTAAATTGACCGCAAACAGACTGGAAAAGGGATTTTCAAATGCTAAAAACTGGAAACAACAACTACTCTCTCTGGTTGGGGGCGCATTGAATGTAAACGAGCTGACTTAGAGAGAAATGTAACATTTTTTCGGCGATCCTTTTTGTTAGTTCGCATACATTATCAGTAGATATTGAACGCATGGAAAGCGAAAAATCGTCTAGAAGTTGTCTGATAAAACTCCAACCTTCAAGCGGAGTGGACATCTATCAGAGGCCGTTTACGTCTGAATTAAACCTCGACACAAATAGCCACCTAAACTCTACCGCTTACCGAAGATCCCATTAGGCTGATAAACCTTGAGATCGATTGTGTGATGCGTCAACACCTAACACCTATGCACATGATATATTATCCTATTTAGCTAACATCTTATAGGTGTAGGTGAGGTGTTTAGTGAGAAAGCTCCATTAAATAAATCTCTCGTTGTGTGAGGTAAAACAAACAATTTCAGTACAATATCATAAAATAAATCTGTATTTCATGGATAAATATCTGACAATAATATTTGCGTTTCAATGAAACTTGTTCAATAGGGTTCTTTTCAAACGAATGTGCACTATCTATCTACAACCTATTTAAACGGTATTGTTCATTCTGCTACTTCTTACAATCTTCTATTGATTTGTCCTGTCTGTAATCCTAAACATAAATTAAGTTAGCTTCTGTCACGAAGCAATTCTTCTTGAGACACACTGCGTGAGGGCTATAATGGATGATTTTCAATAAGCATAAATGTCCATTCTCTCTACAGAAAAAGATTCTTATTAATTAAGGTAGAATCTAGTCCTTGCTGCACGTCTTCATTCAATTGTTTTTCATCGAAGTCGTTTAAATATAAAGCTAGTTTTGTTTTCCTATAAGGCAATTCACAACACACATTTTTGATGATTGATAGTTATCAATTCCTTCCCCGAAAAGAGAGAAAAGCTTGAAAGCAACTTTCCTCAAATTGAATCAGAAAACTTCTCATGGCTCTAAGACGACGTCACTTTCTCCCCTGTAATAATTTTTCTACGATATTGTTCGAAGTAAGATAAATCATAATCGTCATAGTATTTCTGAAACTACGAAACTGTAGTCAACGTTATGCACACTATGTGTCTTTACTCGACACAAGTCACAAAACCCAATTTATAAAATCTACAATTGGAAAATACTCTGTACTACACGAACAAACAAAACGAAGACTTTAGGGAGGAAGGACTTTTTCTCTTTCATTTTCTTGTTTTATCTCGAGTCAAATACCTTCAATTTATGTTACGGTAAATTGGATATATTTTTAGTTCGATCGCGCCACATACAGTATCAGAAGTTATTGAGTCGCTTCGTACGAAACGAGTACCGAGATTAGTCTCAGAGATGACTGTTTCCTAACAGTATAGGTCAGAATAACCATTGCGTTTACACATACTTTCAATTCATTACGCTGTTCTCTATTATAATTAATCCATTTCTCTTTCTTTTGCGTCTGTGGTTCTCTCAGCTCCTGTGAGCCATGTATTTTTCACTTAATGTTATTACACCTGCACTTCGATCATGTGTACCACGTGACTCTCCCATCACCACTGAGACCGCAACTCAAGGCGTTCTTCGTTTGTGAGGAACAAACGACAGATAAAACACACCAATTATCTTTGAATGTACCTGAAGCCAGGTTTAAAAGAACGTTTTTATGTATGCGGTCTTGCACTCGCTGACGTCGAATCAAAAAGTCTCTTATTGTGAAAAGTCCTTTTACAGCTTGCCACACAAACTGCCACACAGTCCCTTGGCTGACTCAAAGGTGGTGCTTGGTGCCATTCATTTGATAAAGGGTCGTATCTGACAGTATATGAAGAAGATATGGAGTGTTAGTTTTAACACAGGCAAACAAGAGAATGAAATGTATATTACCAGGATTCTTGTCCTAACCCGTCTCGAGCGCCTGATACGATGCAACATTTCCAATAAGAAGTAAAAAAAACATCAATTACTGTAGCTTTTCATTATGACAAAGATGCAATACCATGTGACTAATCGACTAAGTGCAATATATATTAGTATGTGGATATATTTTGCTTTCACTAAATCAGAACTGTATTGAAACTGGGATGACTGCTGCAATTTGGCGAAATAGAACTAGGGCTGAGCGTGGTAATTCTCTCTATGCGTGGTTACTTCCTTCATGAATAGATTAGTAACAAACTATCAAAGCTTTATATTTTCAATTCAGAATGGACTTCGCCTGGCTTTATTCAAATCATCCGTGCTTGCCGTCAGGAAGTTTTATGTTATAGATAAAAAAATTCAATTAATTGGTCAACTAGTCTTACTCAAACAAACTTACCTTTCAACTGAACTAAGATACGAAGTCCCATCGTATCCTCCAACCACATAAATAAAGCCGTCCAGGACTCCTACTCCACATCCACTGCGAGGAGTACTCATCGATGCCACAGGCACCCACTCATCTTTGCCAGGATCGTATCTCTCCACTGTGTCATACCTGTGACCGTGATCACAACCTCCGATGGCGTAAAGGTATCCTCCTAAAGTAGCCACGCCCACTTGTTTTCTACAGAAAAGATACGAGATGCACCGTTATCTTCTAACAAGTAACTAGATAACATATATGCGAGGAGTGATAAAGAAAACGTTTACACGCTGTATGTTAGCTAATGCTTTCCTTATGGTATGAAAACTTTCCTCCTGGAATGTGGTTTCGAGTATCTCTTGGGAGTGGGGGTAGGATTCGGTAAGGGGGGCTGGAGTTAGCAGGGGTGAGGGATATAATTCAGCATGTAATGATTGAAGTAATGCCACAATTGTGGCATGATATAGTGACTAACTCTGATGAATAAACCAACTAGATCGACTGATCAATAAGAAGGCCATTGAACATTTTTCTCGTAATACCGAATATGTCTACGTAACAATCAGTAACATGTAAATGGCAACGTTTCATAATATGTCACGGTATTCAAATCTAATACTCTGCGAAATTGTCACTCGTGCGAAAGACAGTTTTGGGAACGAAACGGACGACTTAATAGTAGTGCGGAATAAACGCCATTTTTGTTCCCAGGCAAGATAATTTAACTAATGTTCATTCTATACTTTATTTGACGAATACTGTTTTAAAATATGTGAGCTAAATCAAGTTATCAAACCCACCTTGCTGTACTCATGGATGCGACCATCATCCATGTGTTTGTGACTGGTTCATATCTTTCCACAGTTCTAAGATTTGTTCCATCGGAGCCTCCAACAGCATACACCACATCATTCATTACAGCACACCCCACACCAAACCGACACTGGTTCATACGAGCAATCTCCATCCACTTTCCATTCTTGGGGTCATAATACTCGGCTGTGTTCAGCGGCATCGAGCCATCAAAACCACCTAGAAACGCAAAATATAGACGTTCACAAGAATTTATGAAAACGTACCAAGTAAAGTTTTGTAACATTCTCACAATCTTGGAAGAAGAGGGTGGTTACAGGCTTGGGAAAACAAGTAACTGATGACGAAAAAAAAAGAAAGAGCCCGAAAAAAAAGCGATGGCACTTCTCAAGAGACACATTTCAAGCCTCCAAGCCCAATCGTCCCACTGGAATAAGCTTATTTTGTTTGCGCGGCATTGCGACTCCCCCCTGAATGGAATAACAGTTCAAAAAAGGTTACCTTACCCCAAAAATTCGTCAGCTTTCAATAACACTTTCCTGGCATTCGCCTATACCGAAACCTGCAAGTGGAGAGAGGCCCTCACCTCTTGACCCAAAACCCTCACCTCTCGACCTGAAGCCCAGCGCACTGACTATAAGAGCACAGCGTTTCTCACCTTTCCAAGCGACACAATAGATTACACGAAGCACACATCGCTGAGCTATATTCTAAACATATTCATGTGGTGTACACTCACTGTCTGCGTAACAACAGAATAGCCAGACGCGATTCTTAATCTTTAACGTTATCAATCAGAGACGAGTTGTTCAAAGGACAGATAACACTATCCAACAGATAAATCGCTATCCAACAGATAAGTGTTACCAAAACGTACTGCCCTATCTACCTGATAAAGATTTATCTATTGGAAAGCGTCATCCAACCTTCGAACAACCGGAACTAGTTGTAAGAGGTCAACCTTGATTCCTCTATAGAACCCACCTATAGCGTAAATTCTCCCATTTCCTGCCGTTACACCAACACCATTACGACTGGACGACATTGGGACAGACGGTACCCAGACATTAGAAAATGGATCGAACCTTTCCACTGTCTCCAGTCGCGATGCATCATCGCTGCCACCACAGATGTAAAGAAATGGACCTAAAGCACCTACCGCAGCACCCCAGCGGCAAATGTTCATGTCACCTAAGAGAAGAAGACCAGAAAAATACTTGTTGAGCTCTCCAAAGTGACGAGGTTTTAAAGAAGCCTTAATCTATTACCAGACAGCTAACTTCCATTCGAAAGAAACCACAAAATATCAAATGAATGCGTTTAATAACCAGACGAACAAACAAACAGGGGAGCAAAAGGGAGCCATGTCGGTCGAGGATGGAGGACAACGACAAGGTCCGCAAATTACGAAGTTGGAAAATTATACCTAGCACAATTTTCCACGATAAACAAATCATGAAGAAGCTGTTTTGGGGCCACCTCACATTATGAGACTTGTACAGTCCAGAACCATGTACAGTACACAGGAGGCGAAAAAGGATAAAAATTTTAATTTTTTTTGGAAAATGTGAGTTTTGATGTGTAAACACTCGGAAAATATTTCGTATTTACTTTTTTTTTCAGTTTGATTCTAATTAATGCCAGAGGGAATTAAGACAAGACATACAGACAGACGGATAGACAGAAAAGTAGGGAGGGACGGAGAAAGAAAGAAAGAAAGAAATAGGAGCTATAAACTTTACCGATAGTTTTCCATTTTCTCTCTCGTGGGTCATACTTTTCCCCACTTTTACTGGCCTCTCTGCGGCTCATTCCACCAATAGCATACAGTACATGGTTTACTGTAGTGGGTCGCCTGGGCACAACTCTATGACTATGTATCTGTGATTTCCTTTTCGGGAGGAGAAGGCATTCGGCAGCTTCCAGCAGGAGATCACTGTTGATCAAGATACAAAATCGGTTAAATTGTCAATTCCTCACCGTTTTTCCTTGTTACCAAATAGCGCTTGCTTAATGCGCATAGTTTTCGCCCATGAATAGCGCGCCAGAGGGGCACATCCGACCTCTTTCTCTCTTGAACGAGAGCGGCGACCCACTTTGTACTAGTGTTACACAATCGTAATAGAAAAACATATTTTAAAAAGGATTATTTCGCATCTTTACGTTCCACTATTTACGGACCACTTAACTTCCTATAGCTACCACCAAGCACAAGTCGCCAAATTTCCGACTTTGGCTGCATCTTTAAAACAAAATCTTTTTCCTGCTCGCCATGTTGACCAAAACTGTCGTATAATAAAGTACTGAGTCAGATTTTGGAAGTGAAATGGTTTATTTATTTATTTGCAGAAATAATAAATAAATCCCAAACAATAAACCTATCATCGCGAGAGAATGTGCATGTTATTGCTCTGTCGTTCACATCCTAAAGAAACGGATAATGAGCTGAGGTGTGACTAATAATTGTGGCGTGTTTTAAATCGAACATCAGGTAAAGCCAATTTTTCACAGCGCTACTGAACTCTAATTAATTCAACATTTTAAACGAATCGATAAAGAATATGAATTTTTATAGTGTGTAAATCCCCCAGAAATAGTGGGAGACCTTCCGTTGATGTTCGAAACTTTACACAAGTGCCGCAAGTGTATATTTCCTTTACTCAAATACGATAAAATTTTCGTCAAGATATATGCAAGGACGCTTTTTACAAAAGTCTTCCCGATTTGTTTCTCTGGAGTGAAGACAATGAATTTAATGAAATTACTGAAATACACTCTTTATTAAGGGGTTGGTGAGTAGAATCTTATTTGCCTTTTGAGCATAAAATCCCTTTTTTAAAGAAAACTACGAAAAATTCTTACGCTGATTAGCTTCACCAATGTTGTAATTTCTCATCGATGAGCTAGCATTTCATTCACTTCCAAGAAAATTTCACCTAAAACATCTGTGACTTCCGTCTTCGCAAATGGTTCTTTTGAAAGGGATTTTTCAAAAAGAGTAAACAGCTGATTTTGCAACAATTTTCCAATAAGCTATGAATCCTTCAGGTTCCGTTCTCGCGGTCAACACGAGAATGAGATCTATGGAGATTCTCTCATTAACACCTCCCGATCAGAGTTGGCTTGTTATGGTGTATCGCAGTTTTTCTAGGACTTAGAGGAACCAATTTCCCGGAAAACCAACGATTTACACCGAAAGAAACGCAACATTCTTATCACTAGTTTGGCCGCTAATGATCTCCTAGTTCTAGTGGGAGCAGTTTCTACGCTACTGGCCATTGCTGCTAACCGAAATCAGTTTCGTCAGTTTTTAACTGATGAGAAATTTACCAATATTTTTGCAGGATTTCACTGAAAATGAGCAAGACCTGATTTTCTTTTTTTTACGTAAAAAAAATTAATCTAAAAACACACTTAAGAGGGAAGGAAGAAACTCTTAAATGAAATTGTTTAATTGGCAGCAAACTTCTCATCGCCGGAGCATTATTCTTTCTTGCATATAAAACGCGACAACATCCTCGAGAGGAAATTTCTTTCCAACACCTTCGATCTTGGTCGTCGGAAATGAGACTTGAAAAAGCCTTCTCAACAAAAGTTCTCTCGCAATCAGTTGCGACAAGCAACGAATGCTTTAGAGCTAGCTGCAAAGTACCTAGCCATCAGCACTGGGGGGTCATTAATATGAATGCCAGTATCGCTGGAAATTCGCTCATAAACGTCCCCCGAACAGTATTCATTTGTCCAAGTGCACCGCATCACGTCTGGGACTTGGAGGAAAAAACTTCCCTTCAGCTTGCAATCGCCGTCGCCGCCGTCACTTGTCTATTTACCATTTTTTTAAACATCTTAGTGATCGTAGCAATCCTGAAAACTAACGATTTACGCCGAAAGAAATGTAACATTCTAATCACTAGTTTGGCCGCCACTTATCTCCTAGAGGGAGCAGTTTCTACGCCACTGGCCATTACTACTGATGCGATAATCCTACAAGGAACTGTATTGGAGCGGAATATTACATGTTCTATGGTTGACATAACTGTCTTAGTCATGTACAGTGGTTATGCTGCTTCGTACTATCACTTAATTTTATTAGGTTGGGAGAGGTATGTCGCGATTGTAAAATGTATGGAGTACAACTGTATAGTTACAAAACGACGCTTAAAGAGATTCGCGGTACTCGCTTGGATAGCAGCCTTCACAGGATCTACATTGTATATCGCATTACAAGCAGCTGGTGTTTCTGATCAGGCCTTTCACGTTCTGGACATCGTCTTCAGCATTGTCTGGTTCATTGGCGAGATTCTGAAACTGTATTTTTACTTCAAGATTTATATTGAAATACGAAAAGGGAACCGACGCCAAATCAGCCAAGTAGATGCTCTGATCAAGGCCAGGCAAGAAAGCAGAATTGCCTTCACTGTGTTTCTCTTAACAGCTGACCTTCTAATTTTGAGTGTACCTCTAATCATTGCACACGTTTTTTCGCCAATTTCGCCTTTTATGCGGGCGAACTCCGTTTTCCGATGGGCAGAAATTGTCTTTCAACTGAACTCTATCGTAAATCCTAAGCTTTATTTCTACAGACACAGAAGACACAGGGAGGCTGTACTCGACCTACTTAACTTCAGAAAACCTCACGAAATTCAGTCAAAGGTTCACACAGGTCGTCACGCGAGGCGGCCCCATGACTTCTCTGAGTCTGTAAGTATGGGTGAGCTTTCTGACACCAAAAGAGCTAAACGCTTCGTGCGGTCACAATCTTGGGCAGCGGAGACACGTGGATACTGGATTCGTCCATCTATCGTGCGTAGAGGACAAGATGTGGCAGTAATTGAAAGAAGAATGTCATATCCGCATTTAACAAGCTATAAAAACTTATGTGACGTATTTCAACCTGACACTCGAACTGTCACGGTGCAGATTGAACGTGCTTCGATAGAAAAAGAGAAAAACCGACCGAGAGGACAATACAATTAACAAATGATAACAAAGACTTAACAAAGGCATCTCGTCTCAAGCTGACGAGATCGAAGTCTTTGGATGAGACCGCGTTTGTCATAGCGACCAACACTCGTCAAAAACCTGCGCCTTTGAGACGCAATTCAACGCAAACTGGTTAAGCGATTGAAATTGGCTCGTAATCTTCTATGCTGTACCTCCTCTAAAGGAAATTATGGTTACTGAATAAAATTTCGACGAATAATAAATGCAAAGAAAATGAGCCTTTGCAAAAGCGTTGTTCATAGATGTCCTACGATGCATACCTCATATTTAATGACGCACATTTACGATGTATAAAGCTGTTTCGAGAAAGGTCGACGGAAAAAAGGACAAAAGTGCACTCGAAAATATGCAAAGGTAATCTGGGTAAACGGTAATCAGTAAATTTCAAAAATCGAATAAATGAACGTTTAAATTCTTTAAACTCGCGATGTCCCGTCGTTACAGGGGCATTTTCTCAAATTTCCTTCAAATCTTGAGGTCAAGGAACCGTGAACTGAAAACTACTTACAATACCTTTCAGTGTTGTCGCGTGCACTTGTAAACCTTTTTTCTCTGGATAGAAGTAGAAATGTAACGAATTTAAGAAAATGAAAGACACTTTTGAAATAAAAATAGTAACATTATTGTAAATGCATACATTGTTCTGTTACTACTTTATATTAAAAGTGTTGTTCATTTTCTTAAATATACCTTTCTTCCTGATAACTTTTCTCGAAACAGCTGTACATAGCAGGTTTTCATATAGAAGAAGTCCGCTTATTGGATATAAGATGATTACAGCCAACCCGACCCGCTATCTATCAACTCATACCCAACGCGCACTCGTGGAATAATTTTTAATTATTATCGATGCGGCTCGAGCGTTTTCTCGCCCGCGGGAAAGTATGAGGCCTTGAGCAATGCGAGCCGTCGAGAGGACTGACAGTAAACCATAGTTAGTGCCAGATCCCCAGCAAACCAATCCCTTCTCTTCTTAAATCTTCCCGCGGGCGGAGAAACGCGCGTAGTGTAGCGCTGTTAATGAGGGCCTAGTCCTAGGCTATGGTTCGAATTTCGTGAGGTACTTGTCCGACAGATGTTTACATCATACTTTTTATGAAGAATACTCTACGTAAAAAGATGGATTTTACCTGCAAGCCCTATTGTTTCTAACAATTTCCTCTGTTGCAACTCTATCCATTAAGAATTCCGGTGACAGCGTAGGAAACCGCACATTGCTCAGGATTTCAGCAGCAAATTTCTAAAAATCAAAACGAAAAGACAAAGGAACAACCCCGATTACCGACTATTACAACTTATAGGTATTGATTCATGTTATGTACTTAATGCTCACATTTACTGTTACATTCATGTCTGTACTCTGTAACGAAGACCAATTATTTTTTATCTGATCTGGATTAACATGTGCTTCTTAGAAAGAGACAATACTTTTCGATTGTGTCATAGGCCAAAACTTAAGTAATCACAACTGCCAGTCGAAAATATATCACATTTCGATCTAAAAAACAAGCAAACTGCCTGCGGAGGTAAAAAATGTAAATTGCCAAGTTGCGATTACTTCTTATTTTACTCTTAATATAACACGGAATAAGCCACAAACTATTGAACATGGCCTATTTTGCTTACTTTTGTGTTTACAATTCAAACTGCGGCAACTTTTAAACGACACACGAATTTCTCAACAACATGCATGCAAATATATCAACATGCTCATTAGCCAAGAATATGCATACTGATGTTAGGGTGCTATTCAGAATTCAAACAATCTAGCCACTGGCCATTAGTATAGTCTAGTATATTAGTATAATCTAGTACAGTTTACAAAAGTTACCAAGCAACTTTAACCTTAAAGCAAGTCATTTAAATGTACACACCTGTCTCCCATCCAAATCAAATTTGATCCAAGCTAAAACAGCCTCAAAGACTCTCTCTTCAGACTGAGTGTTCAACGTATCATCACGCAAAAGTCGTGTAAGCTGCTTGGAGGATATTTCCATGAACTCTTCACTCTGAACAACATCAAGGAAGTAATATCGGGCAAACGATTCGGAGGACGTCATCAAATCTGTACAATTATGACGATCCGCAAAGGCGCTGATCCCTAAGAGCCAACAACGAAGATAGAATTTGTGTCATTAGCTTCCTCTGATTCGGTTCGTTCCCTGAACCCTTTAAGAGTGATAAACATCTAATTTCTCCCATTTAAGGTAATAGTTACAAAATCAAGAAGCTCTTGATTGTTAAACAAATTCTCATTGCAAGTGCCACGTGAAATGTATGAAGAACATTATGGAAAACTTGCATACGATTGATGTTAAAGGATCCTAGTCAACCACAAGGCATTGCGCGCTTAGTGCGACATTTTCTTTGCCATCTAAATTCGGGAAATTTTCATTGTGGTCGATCATCCAATTGCATCCGAGCTATGAAATATATAGAGGTTTGATTATGAATTGGGTTCTTAAAAAACGAAACTCATGTTAAAAGTTGCGTCAACATTCTTGGTGCTTATAAAACATAGAGAGGACGCCAAGTCCGTTTCTGTAAACTTCGCTCTATTTGTATGCGCGTTTCATGTCGCAATATACTACATCTTAGCTTTCATTTGATTTAAGCTTCATACGCCAAGCTACACATAACGTCAGAATCAAATCGTCACCGGTGGAGATTTGACTCTCAGTGGTAGCTAATTGAAGAAAAAGTTTGGCCCCTGCGAGTGACTGGCATTTAATTTCTCATTACCATATCACCCCTGAATCAAACATAAAGTCATATAAAGGAGATTATCACCAACTAAAGCAGCTCTTGATTGTTAAAAAATTCTCCTTGTCAGCCTCTTTGGAAATGTATGGAGAACAGTATGGAGAACAGTATGGAGAATGTGCATTCTGATGTGAGGATGTACAAGGTTAAAGATCTCAACATTAAGTATGAAACCCACATGTTTGCAGAATGTTTCTATCATTCCAATAAAACGACAACTCAAACTCTCCCAGACCAATTTTTTTTAAGGCAAGCAAAATACTTGCCATGTCACTAATGATACTATTGTGAAAAAACTCACCGAGGCAATTCTCTGTGCTCAGCTGTCTTTCCAGGAAATCACAACAAGCTTTTTGTACGGACTGCACTTGTAGAAGACAAGCCACTGGTAAAAGTTCCTGGACATTGTTCTCTGAGATATCGATTTCGCCAGTATAGAAGAAGTCCACTATGGCCTCCATGGCACCTTCATCAAGTTCTTGTAAAGTGACTGTGCTTTGTCGACTCTCTGAAAGGTCTCCTGTGAATGCATAAACGATGGGAATTTCAAATGAACAAAGGGCTAAGTTAAAAAAAAATTAAACAAAAAATATGGTGCTGCGTCGGGGGGAGAGTATAACAGGGTAACTAGATAACGTAAATTGGCCACCGAATTGGTCATTCGCTCCCACGAAGGACTAATGCTAGAAACGTCTGCTTTGAAACTCTTTACGGTGGCCATTTTACATGATCAACTCAGTTGATAAACCTAAAAATAATGGTGTTATTCTTCGAACTAAAGCAACCACAGCAAACTACAGCAACCTTTGAAAACCGAACTAACCATGATTAACTATCGCTCTGACAAAGGGCTAACGCTCGAAATGTCAGCTTTTAAACTCTCCACGGTTGCCAATTTACGTTATCAACTCAGTTGATAATACTAAATTACCCTGTAGCACTGAACTACACCAAATTACATCAAACTGAAGCAAATTACTCCAAACTAATAAATAATGTGGATAAGTGTCTCAAGAAACTGTGGTGCTGCGTCGGTGGAAGAGTATAACTAGATAATTTTGGTTTTATGAACTGAGTTGATCAGGTAAATTGGCCACTGCAAAGAGTTTCAAAGCAGACGTTTCAAGCAATGGCCCTTCATCAGAGTGAATGAGGAAACCCTGTCACAGACAACTGCACTTAGCGACAGAATATGTCAAGCACCAATTTAGTAGCAGACTACTACTAAGAGACTACAAATTGCACTCACCCTATGGGCTTGTGCAATTTTGTTGTCTTTGAAAAATTTACTAGTGTTTATTTGCACCAAATTGAAATCAAAATCATGTCATTACCTACATATACACAAATAGGAGTTTACCAAAGATAAAACAAGACGACTATACAAGGGGGCTCTAAAGGACTGCCAGAATCTTGAGGGCAGCAAGAGGGCATGCATTCCAAGAAAATTATGAGAAATACCTTGTATATGCAATTATTAAACAACTGAGCAGTGAATTACCCAAGTTACCAGATGACAGTTGGAACACAGCTGAACAATATCTTGTGTTCCCTTATACCCCTTTCATTTATTCAGTCTATTTCTTAAGGCAAAATAAAGCAATAATTTGGAGATCAAGTTCCCAGTTAATAAGGCAAGCAAAGCTATTTCAATTTCCTGAGAGAACACAGTGGAAGGTTTATCAGCAACTCTGGCACCTTGCCCAGCATAGATGATTGTGTGAAGTGGTATAGAGGAAGCAGATGACCTTAAACTGAAACCTTTGATAGCAAAATTTACCATATTAAGCATGACTCACCAGTAAACATAGCTTTGAAATATGGACTACTTGCAGCCAGGATAACTCTGTGAGCTGATATACTGGTACTGCCCACCTTCAGTACTACATCACACAAGTCCTCATCTCCACGCAATGACTTCAGGGCAGTGACCAGATCCTTGCTGTGCGCAACATCAGCAAAAAGATACTGTCGTCTAGCAATGCTGCTGTCACTTTCACTTTGGTAAGGGCTATGTGCAAAGGATACAGGAGAGTTTCTGTGGGGTGAAGCCATTGGGGAGCCTCTGTGAAGAGGACGGGAATCTACAGTGTAGAGGGAAAAGAAGGAAAGATCAGGCACAATCTATCTAGAGAAAAGGTGTAATCTACAGTACAGTATGTACTGTAGGCAACAAAAAATAGAGTTTTTTTGATAGTGTATGTGTTTAGGAAATTAATTCAGTGTTACCATATATGCGTATGTTCTGAAATAGATCACAGCCCTGATGACATCAAAATATAGTACAAACAAAATATGTCTCAGTCCTTGTCACTGATATAGATCCTAAAACCCAATCTATTTGCCTCATCAAAAAGCCAAAATATGTCTGTCCTTCAATAGATCATAAAAACCAATCAATCATAAAAACCAATCAAAATAAGTAGTAGAAATATCATGATATAATTAAGAAAATAATATGATTACTCTGTATAGTTTTGGTCTTTCGATAAAGCATGCACATGATTCCATGTGATTTCATTGTAACAATATTTAATTTTTTTTCTGATGTTGTTGCTGTTGTTGCATGCCTTGTTGTTGTTTTTTACTCAATCCACATCATTAGCTTCATCTTTTTACAGTGTGACCATTTTAAACTGCATTTTAGTTTTTGGTTGAGGGTTTCCCCAAAAAGACAAATATAAATAAAATAATTTTAATAGGGATTGTTATTTTGCAAGTTACAGTGAAATTTTCATCAAAAAAGTTCCAAAAAGGTGACAAGAAATTAAGTCTTTAGAAGGAGAAATGCAATGAAATAGAGTTGGAAATTGTGACTCATATAAAATAATACAAATTTAGTATTTAAAGAACAAAATATTTCCAGGTTTATACACCCTAACTATCCTGTATTTGGGCTTTTAATGCTATGTTCCCTGCTTCTTAAACAAAATGAAAAACAGAAAAATTTGAGCTCACTTTAATTCTTTTCTGGGAGAAGAGGAGAAAAACATGCACAACTAAGACTGAGGATCCCCATTAAACCCTTTACACCCTAACATCAGTATTTGTATTCTCCATACCCCTCTCTGTACATTTACTAAGGTGCTGATAAGGAGAATTTGTCTTACAGTCAAAGAGTTCCTTTAGTTGGTGATCATTTCCTTTATTCTCATGACATTAATGTGTGATTCAGTAGTGATATTGTAAAGAAAAATTAGATGCTAGTCACTCTTAGGGGCTTACACTTGCTAGAAATTTAAGAGTTGTGTTCAGAGCATCTGAGAAACTAAGAAATAATACTCTAAACTAATAAAGCCTACAGTTTGAAGAGAAATATCAAATAGGTATTGAAGTCTTGCTCACTGTAATGTTTAGTCACGAATACTTCTTCAAAAACATACTTAACACAGATGTAATTTCTGACAAAATTATCACTTCTCTATTTTGTTGAGAGTACTAAGATTAAGAAATAGCTTAATCCAACAGAAAAACATGATATATTTTCTTGTGGATTGTTAAAACCTTAAAGTAGTTCATTACCACTGACAGAATCTTACCCTCAATCAATACAAGCTGAACTTACAGCTGTGATCTTATTTAAAATGTTTACTTAACATTTGTTTGTTTAAAGATCAACATACGGGTCGATGGATTTCTGTAAATGTCAAAAATACAAACCTTTGGATCTAAGCATTGCTTGTTGCTATCATGGGGATTGTGGACTCTTTAGGAACTGACCTCTTATGAACACCAAAAATCGTAAATATTTCAGCAAATACAGATAATTTGCAAATACAATCAGCTTATTCAAATTTACAGGTTATAAAATATTGAAATGCAATTGGCACGTGGAAATACACCAAGATCTACACATCTCTTAAACAGAAAAATTTGGTGTCAAAATTGTAGTCATGTATTCTTTATCATGAATGGTGGGCAAGTTTATACTTGCAGATTGTATAAAGTTAAAAGATGACTAGCCTGTCTTTAAGTGTAGAGAGTAGCAGATCTCAATTATCACATGCAGAACTTTAAGAATCAATAAATAGTGAACTACGAAAAAAAATTTATTTTTCGCCGACCAAGGCAGGTTCGTGATTTTGATTTCCCTAAATTCGTGATCAGGGCCAATTGCAGCGGAAATGCTTGTTGGTGCGGAATGCAAGTTTAAATTTATCCCAGATTAAAAAAAACACAAATATTTTCGTACTTAAAAAAATTATAATAATTTCGTATTCAGATAAAAAAGGGTATGTTAATGGAATACAATAAACACAGAGTAAGGATTTAGCTAAATTAATGGCCTATCGAAATTATTTTCAAAAATTTACTTTAAACGTGATCAGACCACCAACTGTGTTAATTCAAACTGTAATCATATCGAAATACGACAAACGCTCACACAGAACTGATAATAAATTAAGCAAGCGATTGTGCAACAATTTCTGACACAAACACTCTTTGTTGTGGGTAGGCTGTTAGATATCGAGTTCAAATATAACGTTGATCCATCACTTTGAGCGAAAAACCCGGTTCAGTTTAAGACCACAAGCTTGCTTAGACTATCTACTTCAAAAAATATTTTAGATTGACAAGCTTATTTTAAGGCGAAAAATACGACAGCCATCTTAAACACATAATTAAAGAAATTAATTGCATCTGTACGTTTCGAAATCGAAATGTCCACAGTAACACAAATGCGGAACATAACGCTGAAGTTAGCTTTCAATATTTTAGAGCTTTCCCAATTTCTATTCCTGCTACGGTGCCAATTCATAAACCCAGCTGTGGCGATCACGTAAACAAGCCAAAACTCACACACGCATCATTACCGGTGCTAATAGATCTACACTCACTTACTTACCAATAGACGCCGTCTTGTGGTGTTTATGGGGAGGCAATGTATAAAAAAATTATTTGATTCAACACCGCTTGGTCAGCAACTTCTTTCAGCCGCTGAAGTTGAAAGGGAAGCTATACGTCATCGATCGTCTGCCAAATTTGGAAGGGACCGCATCCTTAGAGATTTGGCATTTCCGGTCAGTCACGCAAACAAAAGCTTATAGGATAAAGTGGCTTCCGTTTTCAACAGTGGATTGGAGTGGAGGAAAAATAAAATTTTTATGACGACAGCCAAAGGACATCCTTTCTTAGGCTCTACCCTTTTCTTTCCCTTTCCCTATCAATCCTTTCAAAGATTTTCTTTTTTTTTAGTTTAGAAACGTGAAAAATTGACATGTCACACCACCAGCTCGAGGAATGAATGGATAAATTTCCCCAATTTGTTAGCTTTTCTTTTCTCATAATCACAATTGTTCTTAGGGAGCCTGTTGCTTCTTATCAGATAATAGTTTTGTTATAATTACTGAGTCAATGAAGATATTAGTTCAAAAATGTCCAATAAAGTGGCCTCAATGTATCAGCAAAGTTGAGACATACAATACCCCTACCACCTGTGGACAGTTGACTGGTACCCATTTACACCTCTGCATAAAGAGAGGTACTGTGTGATTCAAATATACTCAAGAATACAAAACTGTGACCCTGCTGTGTTTCAACCCAGAATCCAGCCTACCAACTTTTGGGCGCAGAGGAGTGAAAAGGGATACACCGAGGCTTACCAAGTGACCCTGAAGTGCATCAAGTACAACAGCATTAGCATAAGTTTATTTTCCCCTATTGGTATTAGCTTTTTCAAATATTACAATTCACCAATAAATTTACTACTGACAGTTTCCATTTTTTAGCAACTTATAAATATAATTTAATTTGTATAATTCTGTTACAAGTATGGTACCGTCATCACAAGTCCCAGCCTTTAGTTAAATGAAGGCTTCACACTACTACACCAGCTGTCCAAGGTAAATGGACTTGGGAAAAATTGTTTGGAGCTGTTGCCATTGAACAATAAAATAATCTGCAAAGCAGTACATGATTTTCCCAGATAGTGATAATGTCTTTACTCTGCAAATGCTCTCAACAAACACCATCGTAATATCCCTTACACCAAAAATCTGGAAAAAAACAAACAAAAACACAAAACCAAGATGATTTTACTATCAGTCCAAAACAATGTTTAGTTGTATGCTGACTACTAAACGTTAAAAAAAAATTTTGATTCACAGCTTCCTACTCAACATTTCACTACATTCAAGAATTTCCAAGAGAAAGTATAAATTACTTGTTATCACAAAAATTACATCCTCTTATTGACAAATAACACAAGTAGAGGTAAAACAAAGTTTTCTTACTTTTAACACAAATGCTGCTACATTAATTGGAATGCATGTTCCTGGACCATTACAAAGAATCTACAAAGAAAAAAAACCTGAGACAAAGGCACTCAGTGGTTCCTCTCTGCGCATTACAATAAGAAGAATATTCAAACATACTGGATAGCTTGATTGTTAACCTTTTACACCCAAACATCAGTATGCATATTCTCCACACTTTTCTCTATACATTTCCTAAGGTGCTGACAAGGAGAATCTGTTTCACAATCAAGACCTTCTTTAGTTGGTGATCATTTCCTTTATTCTTGTGACCTTAATGGGATTCAAAGGGTGATATTTTAAGGAGAATTTAGTGTCAAAGGGTTAGGTGAAGAGCAGGGAAAGCCTGGACTGCTGCCAAAACAGACCACATTGAAATCAGGAGCATTTACAGCCAGGAATGTAGGAAGTGACAAATGTGACAAAGCCTCTTTGCTTGAACAGGAAATCTTATTCAATGGCAGGAAATATTTATATGTACTCACCAAATCTGGTTTCTCTTGCAATACAACAGGAAATGAAAAAGTCAAGGCATTCAAAGTTGTAAAGATTGAAGAAAGCCATGATTGATGCACTTCTCTACTTCGGGGAATTTTAACTATTTTGAACTGTGAAAAGAAGTAAAGGAAAGAGTCTTAGGAAAGAAAAATGTGTGTCAATTTTCATTCAATAAAAAAATATGAAAACTTAACTTTAAGAAGAGAGAGAGAGAGAGAATTATGGAGAGGTGTTAACATGTACCCCTGATTTATCCTCATCTTCCTTCTTCTTAGATTTTTCAAAACTATTAATCTTGTCTTCACTCATTTTATCAGTCTCAGCAACAATATAGATCCTTGGTTGATAACAAGAAGACAGTGAGCCCATAAGTCTGAGCATCTCTGAAGTATGACCACCTACAAAAATGAAAACATGATCAATTTGGAAGACAGAGGGAGAGTGAAGGCTTAATCATCTAGATAAAAGGGTCCTATCAACTGTGTTGATAAAGTTCATGTATGTAACCCGGACTCCATAAAGAGTTTACAAAGCTGATTTTGTGAGTGTTAGCCCTTCATTATCGCACTCGAGACATCAGCTTTAGAAAATCTTTACAGTGATCTTTACATTATCAACTTGGTAGATAAAGCCAAATTATCCTGTAATATCCCTTACCAATACAGGCCACCACAGTTTTTTTTAAAACTTACCCCTTAAATTCTTACTTTTAGTACTTATCATGAATGTATTTGAATCATTTATAATACAATAGTAGAGCATCTGAGCCACTGGATCAAGTTCTGAGTGTAAATATAAGCTTTTCAAAACCTAATCTGATAACTGGCTCTCCCAAAAGCTGACTATACTTTTTTTTTTTTTTTTTTTTGGCCTTTTATAAGAATCTGACGCTATATCAAAATAATGGATGTAATGATGATATAATTTGTCTCACAACCAAGTTACTAGATGTAGATTGCATCTTCAGCTTCATCTAGTGACTTTGTCGTGAGACAACAGAACAAATTTATATCATCATCCAGCTACCACGATGAACAACAACCTATTTCATAACAATGGAGGTATTGTTAATGTTGATAAAAAAATATCTTTGAAAGGAAGGCGATAAAGAAAAAGAGGACATTTTCTATTAGGTAATTTTTTAGTTCTCATCCTCAAATTTTGAGGAGAATGGGGTAGATTTCCGTACAACCTCTAAACAAAGCTGTAGTCACAAAGGCAACCTATTGCCATTGCCCTTTTTATCCAAGAAATATTAATGCATACTAAATATGGGACTGTGCGGAATCTTGCCACCATTGTATCAAATGATCAATCCAAGGAGAAATTGCGCTTAAGCTGGCTGTGATCGAAATACACATACATGCAGACACATTCATCTCTAGAATCCATGTTCATTTTAAATATAAATAAAAATTAAAACAAAAATTCTGCTAATTAGCTAATTCATATTTGCGAAGGAAAAGCACTTGTGGTACTTCTGGATAAGTGTACCTGAGCCGGCAACCACCATTACTTTAGCTGACTTTCTCCTGTCCAAAGAACCTTGATTTCTTTTTTTCTTCAGAACATATACAGTGCGAAGTATCAGTAAGAGAACTAAGAAAAGAATCACAACAAAAAGTACGTAGAACATTTTTGCAGGAGTGAAGAGGTAGAGCGGGATGGGCATTGCCGCTGAATGTATGCAGGCTCAAGAATTCTGGCGGGACACCGTGTCGTGGATGGCCTTTTATTTTTCAAAGTGAGCACTCCAAATATTCATGAGTGGATTCGTTTAGGATGAATGGATTTGGTAGGTATTCCTTTGTTGAAGCACTTTTCTTAAGCTAGTACGCTTTGTTGTCCTTCAAATCTTGCGTCGCGCCTGAGGGATGTAAAGGAATTTCGTCCTGATTGATCGCACGAGTGCGCAAGCTCTACAGGGCGGTCTCCCACTTCGAGTGTTTATTCGCTCGTATTTGTTGATATATTGGACATTGAGACGTTGAATAACTTTTGTATCGGAGCACTCGTCAACGGGCCTCCTTCATTCTTCGCCATGGGGTCAGTTGAATGATCGTCTTTTTGTGGTCGGCTTTCAGGGTAAAATTTCTGCACAGCACCATACTACATTATGCATTCAGTTCTTGGATTGAGAAAACAATGACCAAAAAAATACATTGCCATTGGGAAAACAGATTTTTTTTACAATTGTATGGGGCTGTGAGGAAATTTTACCGCCTTCAGTAGGGTAAAGAAGGTTGGATGGTGCGATATTAGGAGAACGGTTAAACAATCGTCAGAGCGGATTCACAGGATAAACGATACTAAAGTATTATCCATCAGGCCCCGCCTGTTTTCTGTGTTTGTTTGTCTCATTGTTTTTGGCTTCATATACTTTTGTACACAAAGGTTGCTAGGCAATCCATTACTTCAGATGGTCTGAGTTTAGAGGTCAGAGTCACATTTGGGTGGGGATGGTTGCTGATAGATGATAAAATGTGGTAGGTTAGGGGTGAGGTTTGGGATGAGGAACTTTGATATGAGAAGGAGAGTTAGAGAGGATGACAATGATGCTGGTTGATGCTGATGAGGAGGACAAATAAATGACAAAGTCATTCCTTTGACCCTTTAACTCCCACGAGAGACCAAGGTAGATTTTCTCCTCAATATCAATTCAATATCAAGCAGACAACTGATGAGAAAAAATAAAAATATCAGTAAGGGGTTTATTATTTAATGCAGCACCAAATTTTTCAAATTGACATCATGAAAATTGTAGAGCAGGTAAAAGGAGAAATGCAAAAGAAATGAGATCTTATGAGTGAAAGGGAATTTTTTTTCCTTTATGGTATTTTTCTGGTAAATAATGATTTCCTCTCTAACAAATTAAAGTTACTGTATTTGTCATAAGCCCTGGAATGAACTAAGCCAACTAAGAGCAAGTTAAATAGATATCTTTCTTGGGATTGACATCTTTCTTGGGATTGATGTCTTTCTTGGGATTGAATTGTCAATTTAACCTTCTAATGGAAAACAAAACTGTAATCACATTGAGTGTTGTCAATGAGGGACTGGCAGACTGTATTGTTTACTCTTAACCCTTTTCTTTCAGATGTTGGTGAACACAAGAGGGAGCTGAAGGACTTCAGTCTTTGTTTCTATACATCAGCAGCTAGTTTTGTACTCTGCTTGTTTTTATTTTATTTTGTGAGCCCAAGATTCTCAGCACGGATCTCCTCAGGATACTGCGAGCTCAGTGTTGCCAAAAAAACTGACTGGGACACAAGGTGATGATGATTATTGACACGATCAGACCCTCTGTCATTTCTGTAATCCTCTTTCCTTCCCTTGAAGTACCTGACCCTTATCCTTTAACTCCAAAAAGTGTATTATATCCACACATTATCCAGCAAACAGATAATGAGAATACTCAAACTTATCATGCCAACCAACTTCTCATAGCTATTTTACAAGGGAATTTGTAGTAGCTAGAGGAGAGAATTTACAATAAGATCTTGAAGGTAATGGGATTAATTCTTTATGATCATATTCTTTTCTACCCCTATCAACCTATCAACTTGTTTTGTTTTTTATGGCTCCTCCACATCCACACTAACTTGCATTTCAATTGGACAAGTCATTCAAAACTGTGGATTAGATTATAAATTGCCTGTGACAAAAACTACTTTTCCCTAGCTCTCCACTTTTTAACAGCTTCAATCCCTTCCCACTTTTTATCTTGGTTCAGCTTTTCCTTCCCTTGTTTTCATTCATTTTGCTTCTCTTCCACCTCCATCCAAAATAATAATGCAAGGGAGCTTTCTAGACTAGTCAATCTCCACAGTATTCTTAACTTTAAAAGGCTTCATTTATAGGCAAATGTCTTATTATCATTCAAGAAAATGTCTACACAGTAGGTCAAGGTGGAAATGACACATTAAGGACTCCTGCTACTCCCTTTGAGTGGTTTGAATTTGTACTGAATTTATTCAATGAACTCTTTCACTCCCATGAATGACCAAAACAGAATTTCTCATTACAATGTCACTACAAACTCAAGCAGACACGTGATGAGAATAAAGAAAAATATCAATTTGGGGATTATAAGTTGATCTAATTCCAAGTTCTTCAAACTAACATGTAGGCATTGTATGGAAGACAGTAAGGGGAACTACTATTGAGATCTTGGGAGTGAAAGGGTTAAGCTTCCTGGGTGCTTATTAAATGTTTGGACCTTAAAAGTGGGCACTTATTCAAGGCTAAGTGCTTACTATATTTTCACCATGTCAGCATTTACGGGTAGTTAATTTATTTTGCAACGAAAAAGTAAACAATTAAATGTGAAGAATTGTAGCATAGACAGTGAATGTAGAGATTGTAAGCCTGTAAGGAAATAATAATTAGTACTTCCCTTGTGCATTTCACATGTTAGTGATATATGTTTTCTGAGTGAGGCACAGTCAGAACAAAATCAATTTGTAAACAACATTGTAAAATGAATCTCTACATAGTAAGTGGGAATTTTTCAACTGTTTATAACAAGAAGCTTTTCCTCTTCTGCAGGATTGGTTCAAATTTGCATGCAGTGGTTGTCAGCACAATCAGTTTGTATTGCTTCATATTTGATGTGGAAACAGCTTCCAATCCTATCAAGTATGTTCCATTTGTTTGTAAGCAGATTTTGTCAAGTTTTTAATGATGATGAACTTTATTTAACAAGGGTTCATAGCACAGTGTAAACGGATGAAATAATGAACTTTATTTAACATGGGTGCATATAGCGTGAACTGATAGAAATAATGACCATCAGCAAAAATGTGTATAAAAAACATCTGTAAAATAGTTACACTTGATTAAAACTATATGAAGGAAAACCAAGATTATCTGGACTTGTGAATGGTCCAGATTATGGAGATTCCTGAGTCCCCCCCAATAAAAACTGAATTCAGTATACAATATTACAAAATAATTCCATTCTTAAAAAAGTGCATTCTCAAATCATTGTGCATCATTGATAAAAAATTTGCCAAAATATTTCAAAGAGTGTTTTACAACAATGTTTCACAACCTAAAATGCTGATGTGAATCAGTTTGTTCAAGCTGCTACAGCATATTGCACATCCCAAGTTCTATCATTCTTTGAAGTTGGATTTATGGAAAAAGTTGTTACATATCTTGAATGTGACTGATAATACAACTTATATCTGTGGAAACAAAAGGGAGCAGAGAGGGAAGTGGGAATGATCAAAAAAATTTGAATTTGAAATTGAGGTCTGAACAGTCATGGTTCAACTGTATTAATTTAGTTTTGTAAATCATCATCTTTAATATGTTTACTTCAGTTGTCTTCCTTTCTTTATAGAAATGATGGTGTGTTAGTAAGAGTTGGAGTAGCTATTACATTGGGGTACCTTTTAGCAGGTATATGTAAACAATAGCCTCTATTTGGTGCAAAAATATGCACAGATATCTTTCCATGGACATTATCTGTTCCAAAACACTAACAGTTTTCTGATAGTGAAGCTGGCGGGAAACTGTGAGCTTCTGTCACATGCATTTAGGCCAATTGTGTGCAAGCAAAAATATTTGATGGATCATAAGCCTTTGAGTACATAATATGCATATATTATATGCTTTAGATATCATTTTATAAAATGCAATGGTACAAGTGGAATAGCTGGTAAAATTAAAAAAATAAACAAGCTAACTAGCAAAAATCAGTAACTAACAAAATCAGGGTCATTGAAAAGTTCTCTGACAGATTTGTAAGTAAATATGTCCCATTTTTTAGTGCAGACAAAATTATCACTGATAGCCTATTCCTGCAGGCTGGCTGATCTTTGATGTTTCCAGCTTCTCAGAGTTTCCCACTCACTGATGATTCATCTGACATGAAATGTTTATCATTAATTTTTTCAATATTGGTTACTAATTTGTCAGACAGTATAAAGTTCAATAATTATTCAACTTTTGCTTGAGACACAATGAAAGCTTTGATAACACGGAGTTCCACAGGGGGTGCTGGCATTCACAATTATTTTTACCAAGGAATCACCATAGGACTCCAAGTTTCTAAAAATTAGGGTATTATGTCAGAATTTTTAAAACTTTAACCTCAGATGTAGTTATTACATAGCATATTGACCTGCGCAAACTAGCATCTGCTGTCTGCAGGTCAAAGGAGTATTTTGTGTTTATGAGAAGATAGATAAAGTGCAAATTGAAGTGAAGTGATCCCTAGTATGCCATAAATAAACAATCAGTCTATCAGAAATATTCATGTACTTTACAGATGATAAACATTTTTTCAAACTAAGTATCATAATTGTCACCAAAATTCAAATTTACTGTCTAAAAATTATTCAATTTTTCTTGTTGATTATTTCAGATTTCCTCATCATAGTCTGGTCCTACAAGTACATTGGAGATTTGTTTACTTTGGTTCACCACCTCATGGCAATATCAGCATATTATTTTGTTGTGGTAAGACTGTTTTACACTGTTTATGTGAACAGATACAGTACCGCTCATTAACAAAAGAAACAACAACCAAGCTGTGGTCACCAGTGACTATGATATTTAGTCCCCTACAATAGAAAGATGTATGGAAAATACTCCAACACTCTACCAGCAATGATTGTAACATTACAATTATAGTTATAATAAATTATTAACAGTAACTTTTTTAAGTCTTTAGCAGCTAAATAATAAAGGCTGTTTTCATAATTATAAGTCTCATACTGATAAATGAATAATTCTGATACTCAAGTTAGGTTGAGGAATCAATTTTCCTTTGTAGGTCAGTGGTGTTTTGCCTTACTTTGCTAATGTTCGTCAACTTGCAGAGATCTCCACCCCATTTGTGAATCAGAGGTTAGTTTGTTTGAGAATTAATTTGCAATGACATTTATAGTTCTCACCAGATCTGTGTTCTGTATATTTTCATGTCTTACTCCCCTAAACACTGAGGTACCTGTACATGTCACTCTCATGCTATCATGTGACTTAGTTTTCTTTTCAGTCTACCCAGTCACTGTAAAATTTTAGTGGTAATGAGATAAGTAAATATAATGGAAAATGGAAATTGGAAAATGATTGTGGCTTGATACTTTAAAGAATTTATCAGAACATCTAATTATTACAAAGTTTGAGTAAGGAAGTTATGGATATGGCAGGGTGGCAAAGAGTGTCTTCGACACCGTGAAAACAACATTCAGGTGTGAGATAACAAAGAGGGTCATGTTTACAGTAAATACAATAATATGCATGAGGCTTTTGTTCAAAACAGCAGAACTACATGTGTAATTTGAGCAAAGTTTCGCTTGAGATTATCAAAATCGTGAAAAATTAATGGCAGGAAAACTCCTTGATCCTTGAACTTTTTGAGAATCAAAGATCAAGGATTGAGTTTCAAGGGACCTACCTTTGAGTTGTGTTGTAGGTGCACACTCGTGTATCTTTTAACACTTTGTTATATTTTCTTTGATTTTTACATCTCTTGGCTTCCCAAAGGTGGTTTTTTGATGCTGTTGGTCATCACAGGTCATCTAGCAGCTTCATCATCAATGGATATGTTATGGGTGCTTCTTTCTTTTTCTGCCGTATACTAATGATGCCCATTTACTATTACAAGTGTTATTTGGTCTGGGGAAGTGAAGAACAACTGCAGCTGGGTGCACTTATCAATTTTTTCTGGATTTCTACCTGCATTGTGCTGGACATAATAAACTTATATTGGTTTACCAAGATAGTCAAGGGTGCGATGAAGCTGACTCAAAAGCTTAAAGATCGTAAAGACTGACAATGAATTATGTAAATGTTACAATATTGTATACTTGTTATATCATGTGGCCCGAGTTGCGTGAAGGGCAGATGAGGCTATCCACAGGATAAATTACTGCTGATGGATAGCATAGTACATTTATTAACACTTACCTGCTGGATAGCGATTTATTCAGTGGATAACACTATCTGCCTTTTGAACAACTGGGCCTTGATCTTTATGCAATTTTTTATGAATTCCATGTTCAATTTTCACTGCCTTACACCCACGCGTTCATTGATCCCCATTTTTTGTTTTCGTTTCTTTATTTGTTTGTTTTGTTTTTTGTTCGTTTGTTTTGTTTTTGTTCGTTTGTTTGTTTTGTTTGTTTGGATTTTTGAGAGCCAATTGTTTTTTCCTTTTTTTATTTCCTCTTATTGTGGAAGAATATAACGTTAGCTATTGCCAGTTATTGTCAATCTGTCAAGATATAGGATGAGTGTTTTACTTGTGTATGGGTAAGCTAAAATCTATGTGGATTGACCTACGTGAAGGCTAAAAAATATATTACAAAGATAGAAGAAAACCCTAATTTTTATGAATTACTTACTTTATGACAGCATTTTTTATGTACAATTTCTCTAAAATTTATTGCAAATTATGTTTATATTATTGTTAGAAATAAGAATTTTATTGTTATTGTCAATCAGTCTAGATTTGGGATGAGTTGTTTATTTGTGAATGGGTAAGCTAAGATTTGTGTAGATTAACCTACTTGACAGCTAAAAAATATATTACAAAGATAAAAAGCAACATTACCCTAATTTTTATGCATTACTAACTTCATGATATAGCATTTTTTATGTACAATTTCTCTAAAATTTGTAGCAAATTATGTCTATTATTTATCATTAGAAATAAGAATTTTGAACTTTTGACAAATATATTTATAGTGTTTATTTAGAGTAGCAGAAAAAATAAATAAAATGAAAGATTTATTCATTATCCTTGAACTGTTTACTGTCTGATAGTATGATCCCTATGCACTAATTTCTACTCACATGGGAAACATGTCTAACACATGTGTGCCTTGGGATGAAACCCTTTTGTGATCAGGGTCTTTCAAGGTATTACTTGATCAGCTCACAGGTGCAGGGCTTTCATTTTTGGGGCCGGTAGGCAGTGGAGACCCTTCGGCTGTCGGACCATTTTGCACCTGCTAAAAATTTGAAATGATTCTTACAACAATTTCTGGCGGAAAAAAGTTAATCAAATACGTTCCAGAGTACTAGAAACATCTATTCTGTTTACTGACCAGCACTGTCCAGTCCTATCCTTTACAGCCACTATTTATTTTCCTTATTAGTGATACACTGACTTCAAACTCTGCTGATAAAAAATGTGCCTTTCAGAATGGGATGAAAGAATCTGAATTAAACTACTGGTATTTACACAACAAATTAAGAGCTAACTGTCTACTTCCCAGCTTGCAGGGATGTTACAAGGAAATCCTGAGTTCGGCAAGAGAATATATTCTCTTGATTAAATACTTGGTGAATTACTAAAAAAGGTTAAAATATTTAAAAAATAAATTAAAAATGGTTAAGGAATAGAAATTAAAAATTAACAATCAATAATATTAAAATCAATTAAAAACAATGAAAATGAATCAAATATTAAAAATAATGTTAATAATAAAGATAATAATAAAAAGATAAACGCGTTAAAAAAATAGAACTATTAAAAATAATGAATGGTAAATTCACCTTTTTTACAACTTCAGTTTTCTTTATTTTAAGTCACATTTCTAGCATTTAAAACATTTACGTCGATCAGTCTTTAGTAGCTACCGTAACAGCTACAGCGTCTGACTATTTTTTTACCTTCCGTGCAGCGATTTTTACTGCATGGCATAATCGTTGCCATTAGAAAAGTTTCTAATTTTATCTTTTCCCTTGATGCCATTTCAAATCCATTACACCTCCAAGCGCCCACCCTTCTAACAGACATTGTGTTGCAGTTTAATTACATCCACTAATTGTAGTACTGGTGGGCACATCACCTGCGCTTTAATGTACTTGTGAAAGTCTTTTCCACTTCTCTAGAAATTGATGTCAATAATCACCTCTCAGTCGATTTTCGCACTTTACCTTTCTCTAAATTGACACACGATAACTCTATTTCGGAGATGAGAAATTTGTTTTTTTCTTCCGAATATACTGACATGATCAACCATCTTTTGGAGTTTTGAACGCTTTTATTAACAGAGTAGTTAAAAGAAGTAATTTCAACGGTATTTCTACGAACGTAATGAGGTTAATTGCACGAGTTGTGCTTTAGTGACCACGGCAAATGGAAGTGATTGACCTAAGTTATTGTATCTGGATAGCACATGACCTTCCAAAGAAATAGCAGCTGGTGATAAAAATTTTATGGTTTAGAAATATGAGAATACAATTGATACTCTTTCCGTTTCATAAAAGGCCCTTAATTTGTGAAGTATAGAGCGGAAACATTTCTGGCAAGATAAGTTTGATTTTCTCTTTCGTAGAAAAGGAAAATTTCAATGGGACTTTCAACGTGGCCGGTTATTGAATGGGTTAATTGTTAGTAACCGGATTCTTTTCTTTGCGCAAAGATTTCTGGGATCGTCCTGGGCAAACACTCGCAAGTGCAAGAAGGAAATGGTTGGCCAAAGGTTGTTTCGACGTCCAAAAACGATTTTGCAGATAGATCAACGTTTTTTCGTTTTTTTTCGTTAATCATAAGTGAATAAAGATACTATTGATATGAGGGAAGTATAGGTTTTTGTTAGGATTGTTAATTCTATAAATTGAATGTCAAATGTCGATGGTGTTATGCGTTTCCATCCAATTAATTTAGTGCCTTGCTTTAGCTTCACGTCAAATTAATAATGTTAAGCTCTACGGATATGACCTTTAAAGGCATAAGTGAACCTAAAAATTCTCAATTTACTTACTGTGTTGATTTTTGTATCAGCTTTACTCACTCGTTAAACAAAACTAACAAAAAATTTAAACGGATGTATGTTCGAAATTCGGAGAGAGCTTCATTCGAACTCAACATGGGAATCTGAGTTAATTATTTGCCTTCCTTTTGTCAGGAAATGAATCAAACTTGCCTCGGCGACATATTCAAGTGAATTTCGAAAGCCTTTTCTTGAACTGACTTATAGTTTTGATTAAACCGTATTTAAAAACATATTAACCCTGAAAATTGACATCAACTGGATGGTAAGATTCTTTAATCCGAAGAGTTTAAGTTCGCTGAGCCTTAAAATTTATTAATTCTAGTGGCAGTTTGCTGCACTATTAATTTGCCGCAATAAATTTAGCCTGTGTCGGGACGGTGAATCAGTTATGCTTCAAATTTAAAAAGAAATGTGAATCATTGTCCAGTCTTTACATAAACCGTTATTAAGACGAATTAACACTATAAAAGTAATTTTCACTGAGCGGTTTGATTCGTCAATTCAGTTTGAAAAGCTTTGCCGGGTTTTTAAGCGATGTCACTTTGATAATCGAACATCTCTTCGCTTTTCATTTGCCGCCGTAAATTTTTTCCAGCCTCAACCATAAGTTGTGTTTAAAGGTGAGAGTTCTAATCATTACTATCGATATTGAATGTAGGTGATAAGCTGCGGTAGAGAATTTTGAAAAGCTGACATTTCGAGGCCAAGCTAAAGTCGGAGGATGTTAGCTTTGAGGCGACAGCTTTTCACTTATGTCGGAGCATACATGAGCACGTGAAAATTTTTCATGTATTTCTCCCCCGATGCCCATTAGAATCCATGAACTCTTCCAGAGGCCTAACCTTTTTCATAAGTCGATGATACATTGCCATCTTAAAATATGAGTGATACTGCGGTGCTGCTCGCGTACTTTAGCTATAGTTCTAAGGGCCACACCATCTGCGATTTATTTAGGTCAAGTACACTCCACCACTGCGACTTATTCAAATGTAAATAATTACCTATCAGTCGATTTTAAACCTGTTTCGTTGTGGAGAAACTACTTTTTTATGTCTGTCCCTCTCGTGACGCAAGTTATATTATGAAAAATCCAGGGTAAAACTTTTTACTTTTCTTTTTATAGTCCAATGGTGCACCGGCTAACGTCGCATCACACTGCATCAAGAGCAGTTCAGTCTTCGTAAAAATCCCGCTAGTTTACGAGTGTCCAAACTAAGCAAATTGAATTACGACTTATAGCACCCTAAATCCCACTTTATCTCTTCTATGATATGAGAAAACTATATTTCCTGATGTGGAAAAGCCATTGTCATTGTTTACTTAATCATCGTTAAATATGCAAAAAAGTAATTTGCATGAATTATATTTTCAGTGAGCAAGGTAACCTTTGCACCTGGAAAGAAAATTGCCTGAATGAAAAATAGGTAACGGTTAAATTTTTTGGACGACTAGAAACAGCATCGATTTCATGGACATGTGCCTAAACTGTACAGAAACAACCAAAGACTTTGCTAGCAAGGCGAGTCCAAATTCACTTTTCTATTGCACAGAAAGAGAAAATTTCAAATGGATCTTCAACGAAGATGGACACAATTACAGCTGGAATATTCTTGTCATCATCCGATCTGTTGCATCTCCTTGTATCGTACTTTTAAACACTCTCGCTATCATTACCATGCAGAACACGAACATTTCAAGAAAGAAGTGGACCATTTTACTATCCAGCATGGCCGTAACAGATCTTCTCATTGGGGTCTTAGATATCCCAGCGACAGTAACCGTTGATGTATTGATTGTTTACCGAGTCTCCTTTCAGTATATTTGCCACTTAGACTGGGCCAATTTTTGCCTCAGTAATATCCTTTTAGCATGTTCAGTATATCATTTGACAGCTATTGCCCTGGAGAGGTACGTGGCGATTCGAAGGTGGATGGACTACCAAGTTATTGCCAGAAGAAGCCGTCTCAGAAAGTTGGCTTTAGCCACTTGGTTGTGGACAATTTTTACAGCATGTCCAGCTTTTATCATGCAGGATTTGAGAGTTTCCAGGAATGCTGTGAAAGCTTGGATGTTGAGTGAACTTGTCGTGATAACTGGTTGTCTAATCCTTATTTTGTATTTCTATTTGGTGGTGCTTCTGGAAGTGCGAAAAAGCAAGATAGCTGACATCCGTCGGTTCAATGTATTAATAACAAAAAAAGCAGAATACAAAATTGCTACAACGACTGCCCTATTAAGCTTTGTTGCCTTCTTTTCTTTTCTGCCAGCCGGAACTGCATTTATATTCGTAGATATTTTTCCTGTAATTCAAACAAACCAGTATTTTATTTTCCGTTCAACACAAAGTCTAGCACAGTTAAACTCTCTGCTGAATCCAATCCTCTACTGTTTCAGAAATCCTCAGTTCTGGAAAGTTCTGAAAGAAATGGTAGGAATAAAAGGTAACACAGATTTTCAGCCATGGCTAAAAAGAACACGACACAACCAAGAAAATATTACAAACTATTCACTGAAAGACAAACGAAGGGTGGAGAAGCATAAGAACTTGAGCAAATCAAAATCCTTCAGCGAAGGCTTCCTTTCAGATCCGAATAGAAAAATGGAAATGTTACCGAGGAGGTCATTGTCCTACCCCATTCCTCGATGTGAGGCCAGAGCAACATTTATCGACGGTCAGAAACAACAGGCACGTTGATACTCACTCGAGGAAATACGGTTTACTAAACGGTAAAGATAAATGGCTAGCAGCAGAACCATGACAAGAAACTGCATGCATTGTAACCACGTTAAATTTGGAGTCTAAGAAAGTAATTAAAAAGGAGTTTGTCGAATCAAGAATAGAATCGAGTTCATGGGTTTTCACAAAAAAAATTGGGTGTATGAATACACGAATAAAAATGACACTATGGTGTACTCATGGATGTGCTGCACATGACATAATTAGAATATACTGTCATAATATTAAAAGCCAATGATTCCAAGACACAGAATCAAGCGTTTTCCCCCACAAAATTTCTCCCTATTTGATTCGCCATATCTAACTATCAGTCTGCCATCTTTGATAAGATGCATGCCATCCCCAGACTCCTAAGGCTGGGCTAAGGCTAAGAAATTTGCATGTCGAATCCCAACATTACCGTTCCTATGCTTCGTATATCCATGAGTTAAAAGCAAGAAAAAATCACTGGAGAATTTTACTTGCTCTTTTTCTGTCGTCTCTTATTTAGTAGAAGAGGTCAACATACCTTAATGATGTCTCTGTTTAAGTAAATTAGATATGATAGCTGGTGATATTTCAATTGGAAATAAATTAACCGCTTAGCCCGCCATTACTTTACATAAACGAAAGGAAAGCATCGCAGCTTAAACTTGTACGAACGCTCGTGTTTATATTTGGCGCAAATCAAATTTAAGCTATTTCAAACTGTAACTTTTGACCGCTTCTTGTTTTTTTTTTCCTCAAGTATATCCTACACCCACTGCTCGTCTTCAATTGGCAACTGTGACACAAGATCCAATCTACTTCTTTGTCGCTCCTGATAAACTGAAACCAAGTAAAATATATTGAACATTATTATTCCACTAAAGCAACGAGGCAACGGAACGCGAAACATATGCGACGGTTTTACATTGTGGAGTAGGGCATTTGTGCATCTGCTGCCACATTTGAACAAACTTCTAAGAAATGTAACGGGAAGGAAGAGGTATTTGGCTGAATGACAGTCTCGTCAATGAATAACTTGTTTATCGAAAAATCATAATCAAGCTTGGTCCTCCTGTGCCTAAAATTCCTAAAATTTTGCCGAAACAAATTAAAAGGTTATACCCACCAAAACAAAACTGGCAACACAGTACAAAACAGCAACAGCAATTATATAAGCAACAACACTGTAGCAACAACACTGTAGCAACAACACTGTTATAGGAGCGGGGGGGGGGGGAGAAAACGTATTTAATCTTTGTTTTTCAATGAAAATTAGGATTATAAGTCCCAAAACGTTTTGTAGACTTAATGGGAACCCGAGGTCACTAGTTGTCAGACTGAGGCTTTTTTTTAACACCTTCTCTCAAAAGATGATAATTTAAAAAACTAAGCCGTATTAAAGTTCACCAGCTTTATATTTTTTTTCTTTGTTAAAATATTTCAATGTCCAAATATTGGATCCACTTAAGACTTTTTGCAGCTTACAGAGACACCGTCGCTTACCTAGTTTTCTCCTTAACCAAAGCACAACTCTTTCATAATAAGCAATGCTCGCCCTCAAATTCCCCAAGCAGTGATATGCGTTAGCAATACTCGCGTTGGCCTTCGACACGCTGTTACCGTCTTTTAAACTTTCGGCAATCTTTCGCCTTTGTGACTGATAATAAATGGCACCTTCAAAGTCTTGCTGCATCTCGGAGATGTTTCCGAGATTGTTGTACATCCTCGCTTGACAACTTTTGTTTTGTAACTCTTCAGCAATCGCTAGACCTTTTTCGAAATACTCTGTGGCCTTTTCGAAATCACCGAGCCTTCTATAAACACATCCCAGGTTGCAGTAAGCTCTCTGTAAATGAATTAACGAACGTTGCCGTTTCACCAGACTAAAATACTGCTCGTAGTAATCTTTGGCAGAAGGGAACTTACACAATTTGTAGTGAGCGTGACCTAACTCAAGCAATAACTTTTCCTTCTCTGGTTTATTGCACCGATGCTTTGCCAATTGCTGCTTTAGATCTTCTATCAGCTCTCTTAGATCTTCCTTGGTTTGCGAAGCGACTCTTATTTCTTCAACATCTTCCTCTTTTAAAATCTCCCTGAGATTTTCTTTCGACGATTCTTCTCTATCGACAACATCTCCATTAACATTCAGAGTCTCTTTATCGTCAGTCTTTTTTGCCAAGAAATTTTTTCTCCATTTTCTTAGCCTAGAACAGAGACTAGATCCCATAATTTTTGTGCAGTAATAATAATTAGACCTCGCTCTTGTTAAACGCTACCTTTGCATAAAATGACTATCTTATAAGCTTGCCACCTGTTACTCGATAAATATATGCCATGCCATTTGTAAAAATACAATTCTGTTTAAGAAAAACTACGAACACAGATGTTGTCAAATAATCTAACTAATAAGAAAACATCTTTAAGCTTTTACACTGAACTGATAAAAAATATATATGTATTTTTAGCTAACAATTATTTCGACCATGGAAATGCATTTAAAGGAAAAGAGGAAAAAAACGCGCTCTAGGAGCGCGGTCAGAACCAGTTGTTTGTTGTGAACTATAAAGTATAGGAAAATTGTGATCGCTTCTGATAAAGTATGACATCCATCAGATTTAACCATCGTCTCGTAAAAGAACTGTGGTTGTGGTGTGTTCCAATTTATCCCTAAACTATTTATTTTCAAGCCAGTAAACAATCACTTCGCTGACCCTGGAGTCAGATATTTTTTAAGTGTTTGGGTGTATTTTAAAATGTTCACAAATGTGATCTATAAAACTTATTTCAAAAACTATAATTATGTAAGGAAAAATTTTTTTCTTGTTCGCGCACTGATATAACGATTCGTCAGGCCAAGGGATTCCACTTTCGTAACGAATTTTTTTTGCAACAGGAACTTATTGATCAAAATTGTTGATGTCATCAAAAGGTGGTTTAGAAACAACGGATTGATCTGGCGGACTGTCAAGGAGGCAACTATAGCCTCGATTTTGTGATGTGACTATTTATGGAGCAAGTCTATGAACATTTTCGCTCCAACGAAGGGCTAACGTCCGATAGGTTAGCTTTAGAAACTCTTTACGGAGGCAAATTTGCATCATCAACTCAGTTGATACAACCATACTATCTATGAATTTTTGAGATCATTTTTCGAAACGGTCTACCTCGAGATCACTACTGGTGAATCATTTGCTCCTCAATGCCTTTTTTTAAAACTATATCGGACAGTTTATGGAGTGAGGAATTGACAGATGACTTACACAATTTTTTGGATTATGTTTAATGTTATCTGGTTTAGGGAATTTTGTGGTTGATTGTCATATTTACAGTACGAGCAGTAGTTAAGTGTTCGCTAATGTAGCAAAGAAACAAAGTAACGTTGGGATAAGAAGGCACTACAATTGAAATGATCATGCTATTACATTTGACAAGGGTGAATGATGTCATGTGTTTTAAATATATTTTTTTTTTAGGGGGCACAGTAACGAATCCTGCAATCTGATTGGTTCTTTACCCGGTCAGTAGTTTCCTATCTCTGCCCACGGGCCACGGTAACGCTTTCGTGAGTCGCCGAGTATATCCCAACTTTCGTTGCCATTTTTCATAAATATATCTCATTTTTCCGGCTGAGCAGTATTTTTAAGCAAACACGTCGGTCACTACCTCAAGCCTATAAATAACTTATGAATCCTCTGTTTTCAAATCACTTTTGTCGACAGAAAAATATTGGTTTCAGAATGAATTTGTATAAGCAATAGTGTCAATTACGTTGGTTGACAAGCGGCCTAAAAACCGTCTGCAGTTAATTTTAATCGTTCACAAAAAGTACATAGAAAGTTAAAACGTGAAGTATTTGGTTACAGTTAAACTGAAAGATGGAACTTTCATTCATTTAATATCTGAATTTTCTTTAACAATTTGTTCGTAGTGAAAGAGCGAGCGAAGTTTTAATTTAAGTTCTACAACAAATTTACGCTCTCGGTGAGTCTTTCCGAGTCCGTTCAATTTGAACATTTGTACCGTAAATTGCACAATAGAAACTGAAAGAGTTTAATGAGAAAAGGCCGCATTAAATCCCTGTCTGTTTCGTTGGAGTGTGCCATCCGAATTTAGTTTTTGTGGAGGAAAGACCAGATTTACACACGCCATTGCAGCAAACAAACGAACAAACTCTCACAACTTCAAAATAAAAAATTTAATTTACTCACATTTACTATCTTCGCCGTTTACCTAATGAACAGAGGTACTGAAATCTTTGTACATGAATGAATCGTCGATGAGAGTGAATAATACTTTCCGTTAGATCATTGATTGTTTTTGAAGAAAACATTGTCGTGACAGTCCTCGCCAAACTAGTACCATTGTTTTTCAAATGTTCTTGCGCTTTTTTTGTCTTTTTTTTTCTTATGCGCTCACTAATTGACAGGTGTCAGATTGTGACAGATACTTGTAAAATCAATGTTTCAAAGTTTCTTTGGAAGCCTTTTAAATCACCGTTATCATTACGGAAATAAAAATGTTTCGGTGAGACATCTCTCTTTAATTTGCATCACCTCTATTTTAACTACCATTTACTCGCTCAAAAATTGTTCAGTTTATGAAAGATCTTGCCGCATTTGCAGCCCTAAATCATTTGGGTTCTTTCGGAAAGAATTTCGTCAAGTTTAAAAAAAAAATATGTTATTTACCGGCTAAGGATCGGTCCGTATGGTGAAAAACTGTGACCTCGGTCTTGAAATGTTTTTCACTATACGGACCTCCCAGCCGGCAAATAACATACATATATTATTTGTGTTTCTGGTTCAAAAGAAAAGGTTGGAAGTAAATGTGGGTGAAAAGTGAAATTTACTGTCTATCATTGTAAATATTGGAAAATTAAGACAACACTGTCTTAATGAAAACATTAATGATTCCCTCTTTATCAAATGAGAAAAACGGGAACGAGTTTTGAGTGACACAACTAAGCCAAGACTGCCACCGTCATTTTGGATTTCCACCTGGGTAAATTTTGGTCACGTGCTAGGCAACGTATAATGAAGAACAAGATAGAATTTCATTTCAGGCCTATTTATCCATTTTATGGTGTATAACTTTCGCATTTTAGTACGTAATATCTATTTAGAATCTTCAAATTGTCTTGAAACTTAAAAGAAAATTGCTCTTTACAAATTCACTGGAAATCGGTAGCCAAAATTATTTGTTTAGGTGTTATTTGATTTTCGTGTTAACCTGTAATTTCGTCAGTCGCCGGCACCTTCCGTTGATTCACACAGGAAAAACACACGATACGAAATGTAATGATCGAATTTGTCCCCAATCTCACGCCATAACAGAGAAAGCTTTTGAACACCTGTAAAACTCCGAGCGCTTCGGCATAAGTGATATTTTTAATGAATCTTCGGATTGTTTTCAAGTTCAAGGATTGTAAATTACAATTTTATGGAAAACGAAGGTTGTTCTCTTATTTCATTGTGAATCCTAGCACGCCTGCCAGTCGCTAGCGCCGCTTGTTGACACTAAAACGAAAAAAAATAAACTCTTGTAAGATCATCATTGGCTTCTTTTTTACCTCGCCACTATTATTAGCAACAAAGGTCGCCATTTCGTTTGTTTTATTACTCGCCAAAAACTATCAAATGCACTCAAAAGCCTAAAATTGAAAAAAGTTTACAGGAATCGACCAACCGAGCGAGCGAGCAGTGCCATTCTTCACATCATAGCTATAACTCGCTCTTGCGCATGCGCGCAATTCACGAGCTAAAAATGGGGTAAGTTTCTAAGGAAACTGTGGTGCTGCGTCGGTGGGAGAGTATAACAGGGTAATTAAGTATTATCAATTGAGTTGATAGCGTAAATTGGCCACCGTAAAGAGTTACAAAACTGACATTTCGAGCGCTAGTCTTTTGTCGGAGCGGATGGAGGAATTGTGGGTTGCGTGTGTTTATATGGAAAAAATGGAGCTACGCTAAAGGTTGAAATATGGTGACTAGCAAACAATAATAAATTAGTTGATTGAAAAGCGCTCGTTGATACCGTGGAAATTAAGAGTGCCGATTTGAAAAATAAATTATTGTTCTAATGTTTTGCGGCTTTCCGAATTGCCTAGATGTAGGGAAAGGCCGCAAACTACCACATGCTTCGAATGATTAGTGCCCAGAGACTGGTTTGAACTAAATGCATCCTTATCAATTCTTTCAGCGTCGCGAAGGTTTGCTTGGAATCGGTCATCTATTCGTCTTCCTGTTTCAGCAATGTTTAACTTTTTGCAATAAGTGCAAGTTATGCAATAGATGACATTGGCGGAGGTACACGTGAAGTGACCAGTGAGGGATTTACATAATCACTACTTGGCAGCTGCTGTTTTTGTTGCCCTTTACAAGGATTCTTCCCTCCATCCACCCTCCATATCATACTGTTTGATAACACTTATGGTTTCGGGGTTTTTTGTAATTAGTTTTATTCATTTTATATTTTGGGAATAAAATGTACCTTATGGTTCGCTTACTGTGAAGGAAGAGTTTTTTCATCCAATACTGAAATGATGATAGCAATGGCTACCATTGCCTTTCATACTAATCAAATACCTAAATAAACAAGCAGGCTTAGCAGACACTTTGTTTAATAGGAAAGCCTCCCTTTTTTACATGTTTTAATTTTTTTACACGCTTCATACATCTGTCAATCGCTTTCAGACAATGGTTATGGTTACTTATCAGTCATACTCGTTTGTTTTGGTAAGTAAATACAGCCTCACGTTTTCATAATATTAGATCATCGTTGACATGCTAGAAAGGAAGCAAATTCACGTCAATTTATGAAATAACTGTTTAGGTGAATGTCGCTTGGCCCTTTTTGCAGAACACAGATAACCTGCGAAGAAAGAAAGAAAGAAACATCTGTTTCCTAAGCTGCAGAATTATTTCGAAAAGGACTTGTTAGTCACAAAATCAAAACATTGTTTTCAATCAATTGCACTTGGCATGTCTGTCTATACTTCTCGTCTGTAAAACCGATTTGTTTCTTTTAATTATTTCCACACTGCTGAATGTTTTATTTTAAACACTGTTTTTGAACTTCAGTTGCCCGAAACTAACAATGATTCGGTAAAGATCTCGAGATGACAGAAATAGTTTAAATACTTATCAGTCACTGAGACCTAACGGTGGAGGTTCTACTAAATTTCTGGAACCTTTTTCCATTGTATAGTGAAACAAGGAAAATGTAACC